TCAGCTGCAGCAATATCTGATCAAAGAGCGAAGAGTCAACCAAATATTTCCACTAAGCAAATGTCATAGTTTCGGGTACATACCACTCAAGCTGTACAATGACATCTGAGGTTTCCTTGAGGTGGTGTCAGGTTTCAGCGTGTCTTGATGGCTTGTCTCACTCGCCAAGACAGAGCTTCTCAATCCGCTCTTGAGCATGCCCACAATAACAGGAAGCATTTCCGGGAAAGCAATTCGCAGATCCCCATTAGTCAAAAACATACTAATGAGTCTCGGGGCATCGAAGGGTTGGTCAAGGTCCATCAGAGCAATATCCTGCCCGAAGAGGATAGAAAAGCAGATCGGCCACAAAATAGGGATGTTCCACCATCTCTTAAGATGGTACTCGAGCACAGTGTATCCTCCGTTTTTGTCGGAGAATTTCTTACTGTAGCCACTGCCGTGGATAACGAGAAGCCTGGCCAGGATTTTGACTGCATGTACGACGACTTCGGGCTCATCCTCGCAGGACAGGTATAGAAGCCACTGTAGCGGTTGTCAGTTTGAGTGCTGGTATGGAATGATTTTCAAGACAAACCTTGTTTGTAACCGCCTTCGCGAACTTTCTCATCGGTGTCGGGTCCAAGGCATTACATAAGATTGAAGAATACAGCTGCAGCATCTCGATGCCCAATGTGGTGCTGGATACGTGCTTTCCAGAGTCTGACTTGGAGGAAGGGGGACGAGACGAGCTCGGGGCGAAACGAATGCTCTTCTTCTTTTGAAGGGCGGTAGGTGATTTTGGTCGATGGAGATTATACGTTATAGACAAGGCTAGAGAGCGGAGGAGATCCGGCGAAAGATTGCTCTCCAAGAGAGCCCGGAAGGAGGCAATGCATGGAGCAACAGTCTCCTTGGTCAATTCATCTCCTTTCAGAGTTTCAAGCAGTTTCTTGTTGACGCCTGTTGTTATTAGCAATGTACTTGAAAATACCCTGATCTCATGGAAAGGCAAAGCGAAAGGGGATTGGGTGGAACATACGCATGCGACCGAAGCGTCTGGCGTTGAACCGACGGTAGTTACTGTCGGACACAAAGGAACGGAATTGCGAGTAATACAAATCCAGCACCTGTGGTTCACCATAACGCCAGACATCCATATCGACAAGCAAGACCCGATAAGCCAGCGGGTTGGAAATGATAGAATGGTTCGGTTGTTTGAAGTCGTACCCTACAAACGCAAGCGTCAAGCGCAGGAGTTCAAGCATCAATGTGTTGAGCTCATCATCATTGGTGCTGACGGCCGTAGATCTACCCGCATTTGGGGTATTGCTGACTTGGAACCCGAGCTTCTCGCGCAGAAGAGATGCCAAAATACCGTAGCCATTGTCTCGCTCCATGGCTTCACTGTTCCTCCAGTTATCTTGCACTGCTTCATAAAGCGACTCAACCGCTAGGCGAAGAGTTTCCGCGGAACTGGCAGCCTGGATAAGACTGAGATGGACAGCGGCACAGCCGCCTAAACACCAGCTTGCGTCGTCCAGGGACCAAGGAACCGCAACAACAGGATCTCCAGTCAAGACACCCACACCTTGTGGTTGTGTCAATCCGTCATTGATGGCCGGAGTGCCTCCGTTCACTGCAACCGCATTGCCTCCAGCTTTTGTCAGCTGTTGTAGGCTCTTTGCCGCCTGTCGAGATAGGCACTTGATAAGTTGTGACTCGTCCACATTATTGCTGTCATCATCGTCCAGGACTGCAACTGGAGACAGATTTATCAAGATTGAGCCCTCACGGATGAGTGTGCTCGCTCGTCTTCGGATGGCTGTGACAATGTCCGAGTCTTCCTCTTTTCCAGGATGGAGATGTTCGTTGCGCAAATTCAGAGTGGCAGAAGCTTTGTATGTTTGGAAAGATCCTAGACAATCCTGGAAATTTCCAAAATACCGAGGACCAAGATTGTAAAAGACAGCAACTAGGTCGTCGCTGTACGCCTCATCAAAGAGCATGCCATTTGCCAGGGACCATCGAGAGATGGATACGCCTTTCCCAAGGCGCATAGCAAGATCTTGGGGGGTTCCAAAGAAAGCCTGAATCTGCGGAGACCGATGGGGGTGATTGCTGACTGGCACAGAAGGGTACTCGATCTTTAACTGCTCCACGAATTCACCGTCAACGAAGAGCGAAGCTCGTGAAGATGATGCAAGTTTTGGTTTTCTGTGAACGAGGCAGATATGGTACCAGCGACCGGCCTCGAAAGTCGTTGACTTAAATCTCACACTCGGGCGTGGCCCTCGAATGGATGTTTGGAGAATAAACTTGCGTGTGTCTTTCTCCACGTAGGCTAGAACGAAACAGGTTTGACTAGCATCAAATGCACCGAATATCGTAGTGTGAGTGTTGACATCAAAGTCATCAAAGCGCACCCAAGCGGCCAGTGTATACCCAGCAGAAGCAGTAGGTGGGAATGGGCGACCTAGGGTAGCAAATTCAACGGAACAATACCCATGTAAAGACAGGTCAAACTGTATTGACGGGGGCTCTTTGGAGTATTTGAGAGCTGATAGAAGAAACTTGAGGACTCGAGGATTTTCGTGAGCGCGACGGTACAGAGACACGGCATCTTCTAGACTGTTCATGCCCTGCACACTGAGGTACCGAGCCAAGTCTTGGTAGAGCTCTCTTTCGGTATCGGACCGGCCGTCATCGAACAAGAGAGGTAGGATGGAGGTGAGCATCCCAGTGGCGTGCAAAGCGACCACATTCCTTCGCGATTGCGTAGCCAATTGGCTCAGGCAAGCCGGGAGGGCTAGACGGAGGATTTCGTTGCCCGGCAAAGCAGAGTGTGTTACCCAGACACGGACTAACGGTCCCAGGAGCTCTGGCACCTCGACCGTCTCTGCAGACCCCATATACTGGTTGACGGCATCGCGGACTTCTTTTGGTGAAGCCGAGCTGTTACTCTGCGACAACTTCGCACTTAGTGCTACGAAAATGCCTGCAACACTCTCCTGGCACAGAGCCGCAGCCAATATGGCACCGTAAAGCTGCTGGGCATCGCTTTCAGTCTGGTTTAACTTGCCCACCAAGACCGTCAAGCTCCGCTCCAGCGCTGCAGTTCCGCCGCCGGCAATCCTCCGTGCAAAGTAGCGCTTATTACCATAATGGTCCTTCAATCCCTCGGCAAGGGCTCCCAAGACATCCTTAAAGATCCCCAAGACGCTTTTCCGGTCTTCTTTGGCCAACGCGGTAGTATCATAGAGCTCGGCGAGCTGGTCCGCAAGCTCCAGCAGGGTCTGGAATCCCGCCAGCTGGCGGAATGCATCCTTGGCTGCGCGTGGGTGTGCATCGTCAATAAACGTATGGCGGAGACGTAGTAGAGGTTCGGTAGCGGCTAGTGCCTGCGCAAGGGCAAGCGGCTTCTCGACTGTGAGGGTCTTGAGCTGGTCAACGGTGGGCGCCAGCTCCTCCGCTAGTCGCTCGGTCGATCCGGAGGGGGATGAGGGGAGGAGGGGCGGCGGAGCCATAGCCGAATCTTATCCACGACCGGACCGATGGCGTGTGACCACCAGAGACCGTGAATGGGCGATTGGCGTCTCGAGGCAGGCGGTCTGCATTGGTATGTCGTGCCGGTTGTCTAGCGGGTCCGGATGAGACACTGCAGAGATGCCATCCGAGGGGGCAGACGTGGATGCAGTGGAAAAGCCAGCGAGCCAAAAGTTCCGGGCTGGCGTGATAAGCGACAGGAAGCTGCCCCAAAATAGATCGACGAGATTTCCAACGTGGGGGAAGCAGCAAGTAAGAATCAGGTGACTTAAGAGGGGGGGGCCTGTTTTCCAAAGAAGTTGGCTCGAGGCCGAGTGGGCCTTGTTCCTTCACCACGTCAGAACCGGGCGATCGTTAAGAGATAAGACGGCGATAAGGAAGGATAAGACGGATTAAGACGTGCAGTACAACAATAATGGACACGGGTGATAATCATTGATACGGGCTGGCGCTAGATACAGTATAGCCGCGTATGGAGTGGTATATATTACGGTATCAAGGCCAACAGAGCATACCAGCCACTGATTATTACGCTGTTGGCAGTGGAGGAAGAAGTTACAGCCACCTCCCAATGATTGCCCAATAATCATCCCCGGCTCTCCGCTCCCAAAGGCTGTTTAATGGTCAATTGAGGGGTTCCCAAGCACCTCAGACGGGCGGGTGGTTGCGCCAGGGTCACAGTACCCGAGTCAAGTATGGAGTATCGAGTATGTACTACCGTACTCTGTACAATCACATCATCTGGACAGAAGCACGCGACGTCGGAGTTCAAGTTGCCTTGCGGATCGTCGAGAGATCACATTGCTCCGCCGTAGGACCAGTGGAGCTGCCAGGTACCCGGGGGTAAGACACCCCTCTTCATAATAGTAGTTTTCCTAACCTTGATAGCGTCCTTCTGAGTCATTGAGTCATCCGGATTCCGTCGCAATAATCAGGCTTATTGGGAGGCAAGGCAACAGAGTGCACAGCCCCTGCTCGTGTGCTTCACAAGCCCGGTTGTCTTCCCCAGTAACCGCTCCTTAGATAATCCAGTTTCAATGAGATCTCGTGACCCGTATCAAAGCGTATCGCCCCAACCCCAGGCTTGATGACTCCACTATGATCGACGGCCCAGCGCCAATCGTCCGCTTATCCGCACCCGTATTTGTATGGTATTCCCCGTATCGGAGCGTATCTAGACCGTATCTAGGCCGTATCTGGTATCTAGTGGTATCCGCCCCGTCATCGCCCGCTTGCATCATGCTTTCTCCGCCTTCCCTTCGCCCTTAGATAAGGACCATGGTCCAGTGACTCTGCACCTCCTCATCTCTCCTCATCTCCTCCTCTTCCTCCTCCCTTCCCCCATCCCATCGCTCTCCCAATACACCCTCTTCGACATCCAACTCCCTCATCGCTTACCTGCTCTATCGTTTTATCTCTCCTTTTTTTATTGACTCCCTATCCTTTACTGTCATAGTCCAAACCCGACCGCCATCATGAAAGGCTTCCTCGGCCTAACACTGCTCCCGCTGCTGGCAGCTGCCTCTCCCACTTGGACGGGATCTATCCACAACGGGGCAGCTCCCATCCTTTCCTCCACGAGTGCCCAGGAGATTCCGGACTCCTATATCATCGTGTTTAAGAAGCATGTTGGTGCTTCGGCTGCGGCCGCTCATCACAGCTGGGTGCAGGACATCCACACCGACAACGTCCGCATGGAGCTGAAGAAGCGTTCCCTCTTCGGCTTCGATAACGATCCCTACTTGGGTCTGAAGCATACCTTCCACGTCGCTGGCTCGTTGATGGGTTATGCTGGCCACTTCCACGAAGATGTCATCGAGCAGGTCCGCCGGCATCCGGATGTGAGTAGCTCCCTCTGCTCCCCAACTTGGCCCCCAATCTCCCTATCTCCCCGATAAGAGCTTCCCCGGCTGACTGCTATCTCTCTTTGACCCACAGGTCGAGTACATTGAGAAGGACTCGGAGGTCCACCACTTCGCGGACCCAGCCATTGAGAAGAACGCTCCTTGGGGTCTGGCACGTATCTCTCACCGTGACAGCCTCTCCTTCGGTAGCTTCAACAAGTACCTGTATGCCGAGGATGGCGGTGAGGGTGTTGATGCCTACGTGATTGACACCGGTACCAACGTTGACCACGTTGACTTTGAGGGCCGTGCCACCTGGGGCAAGACCGTCCCCCAGGGTGACCAGGATGAGGATGGCAACGGCCACGGTACTCACTGCTCTGGCACCATCGCCGGTAAGAAGTACGGTGTTGCCAAGAAGGCCAACGTCTACGCTGTCAAGGTCCTCCGCTCCAACGGCTCTGGTACCATGTCCGATGTCGTGAAGGGTGTTGAGTGGGCCGCCGAGGCTCACATCAAGAAGTCCAAGGATGCCAAGGACGGCAAGGTCAAGGGCTTCAAGGGTAGCGTTGCCAACATGTCCCTGGGTGGTGGCAGCTCTCGTACTCTTGACCTCGCTGTGAACGCCGCCGTTGATGCTGGTATCCACTTCGCTGTCGCTGCCGGTAACGACAATGCCGATGCTTGCAACTACTCCCCTGCTGCCGCTGAGAAGGCCGTCACCGTCGGTGCCTCCACCCTGGCTGATGAGCGTGCCTACTTCTCCAACTACGGCAAGTGCACTGACATTTTCGCCCCCGGTTTGAACATTCTCTCCACCTGGATCGGCAGCAAGTACGCCGTCAACACCATTTCCGGAACTTCCATGGCCTCTCCCCACATTGCCGGTCTGTTGGCCTACTACGTCTCTCTCCAGCCTTCGTCCGACTCTGCTTTCGCTGTTGAGGAGATCACTCCCAAGAAGCTCAAGAACGCTCTGATCACCGTCGCTACCTCTGGCGCTCTTACGGACATTCCCTCTGATACTCCTAACGTAAGTTAATCCCGTGGAAACATAATAATGTGAACATATTAGCTAACTCCATTCTAGCTCCTCGCTTGGAACGGTGGTGGTTCTTCCAACTACACCGAGATCCTCGCCAAGGGTGGCTACAAGGCCGGTGCCACTGGCTCCGTCAAGGACCGTCTTGACGAGCTCGTCGGCCAGGTTGAGGAAGTCCTGGCCAAGGAGCAGAAGGTCCTGAGCCACGAGCTCGGTGCCATCTACAGCGAGATCAAGGACGCTGTCAGCGCTTAGAGTAGACACATGATCGAGACCTGTCTGTGACGGGCCGGTTCTTATGGGCATTTTTGGATGGATGGATTAACACTGGCGCAGATCACTTGTTCATTTTGGCTTTGACTTATTGTCGTTTATCGTTTTGTCTCTTTTTTTGGGTGTTCCATCCAACGCATTCGGGTTTTGGTTCCCACAGACTGTCACTTGCTCTCTGGTCACGCTCTCTACTTTTCATTTTTATTGCTACTCGTAGTATACTTTTTGGTTTACAACTATACATTTGAATCATGATCTAGAGTCTATCTAGGGATCAGATATCCGTGATTTCCTTCCGAAGTATACTGTAGCTCCTGTACATTAGCGAGATTCATCCCACAATTCTCCGCTCTCGTCTAGGTTGCGTCGTCGGCCTTGAGAGCGCGTCCGCACTTCTCGTGTACCATTCTCGGCCGGTCTGGGAAGGCACTAGTACATTAGAACACCTCCGAGGCCAAATCGGGCATCATGTCTGTGACACACTAAACCATATTTGTACTTTCCTATTCTTGTATTTTGTTTATTTTCATGTACCGTGGCCCTACCGTAGACACTAGTGCAGTCGCGGACCTCGAAATCCAGACTAGGAATCAATCTATGTCACTCTCGACTTGATACATAGAGCGTTTACACCGTCCATGCAATCCCCCCCGTCTATCTATCCTTCCTCTTCCTCTCTAACTTCAACTCTGTCGTTCTCAATCCGATAATTTCAATTCCAACTGCGCGGGTCAGTTACAGACAACCAATCACGATGGGTAAGAAAAAGGGATCAAGTTCACCCTTGTCGAGGATTGCATTCAAAGCATTCTGCGATCAACTGAACCAAGCAGTCAGAAGCCAGAATGCCTCTGCGTCATTTGCCTGTGGAGGCACCATCCCCATCAAAGGCACCGAAGCAGCTAAGCTAACAAGCGGCACTGAAAAGGCCACAAAAGGCAAACCGGGTTCGGCATCCTCCCCTGTGAACATTTTCTGGGACTGCAAGGATGGTTCGCGAGGTGGAAAGCTTACGCTTCCACTTGATGGTTCTAAGGATGATTCTAATGCCAAGCTTTGTGGATTTGTTGCTGATTGTGAGCCTGCCGGGTTTGGTAGAGGCCAAGAGGCCGTTATGGATCCCACTTATCGCAAGGCTGGGAAGCTTGATACTGATCATTTTATGACGAGCTTTCATCCTGCAGATTTTGGGATTATTGGGAACGTTGAGCAAGTCCTTTGTACTAATTGGAGTTGCCGGCGGATTAGACTGGAACTCTACAAGCTTAACGTCTGTTATTCTACCGCCATATTTACTCCTATTGATGATTGTTTCTAACCATGATGTCTAGGTGTACTCTGGTCCTTCTGGTCTCTTCCAGAGCCATGTTGATACTCCACGGTCCAAATGCCAGATTGGGTCTCTGGTTGTGTGTCTGCCCTCGCCTTTCAAAGGAGGTAACTTGATCGTTCGACACGAGGGTAGAGAGATCGATTTTGACTGGGAGCAACGAAGTGCAGATACGATTCAATGGGCCGCTTTCTACAGCGACTGCGAGCACGAGATTAAGACAATAACTGAGGGCGAGCGTATTACGGTGACGTATAATCTTTATGTCACAGATGAACCGATGAACACTCTCCCTCCATCTGGACCAATTTTCGATCCGAAGACGTTGCCCTTATATCAAGACTTCAAGAATGTTTTGCAGATTCCCGGGTTCCTGAAGACAGGTAAATTACACCAAACATCAACTTGGTAAATGTGACGCTTCTAAGTGATATATAGGCGGGACCCTGGGCTCATTCTGCACTCATGCTTATCCGCATACCGCAGACGACGCGTATACCTTACTTCCGAGGGGTCTGAAAGGAGCAGACTTAGTGCTGTATTCTGTTTTGAAAGCGTTTGGGATCAAAGTCAAAGTCCTACCTGTTATTATTCAAAAAGATTTCAGCCCCAACAACTCCGACTCTGACGATGAATACTATGAATATGCAAGACTAGATGGAAAGGTGTATATAGGGTCTTACTTGACGCCTCGCTTTTCAGCCAATAATTTCGAGGACGATCCATTGTCGAAGGTGAGTTTATTTGAACATTTTTGTTCAAATTCCATGACCTTCAATGCCAGGCTGAAACATGGAGGTGCTGGCCAACTCTCTACTCCCTCTTCTATTCCACTGGAGATCCATCTAAATTATCCTTATGTCATCCAAGAGCGCTCGATTTTGGATAAGCATTGAATTCTGACCTTTTCGGCTTCAGGTCCTCGACGAGTATTGGCCGGAGCAAACGTTTGAAAAGCCTATCACATGGATTACGCATCCAAGCCCTTGCACTTCACAGGAGGCAATGTCTTATCTGGCTTACGGAAATGAACCTAGTGTGCACGAAGTCTATTCGTACGCTGCTATTGTAGCAATCATACCCCCATGGACGGAACGTCAGGAAATTGTTCAACAGGCTCGGAATAATTGATTGCCGAAGGAGGATTGAGGGGTTGGTTGGTTGCTTCTTTGCTTAAGTTTCGCTTCGAGCAATGAGGATTTTATGTCCTACGGAGACTGGTGGCGTCTATTCGAGAAACATAGATGTCATCGCTATTTGCTATTAGCCAGAATACAGGGGTTGATTGAGAACAATGTGTGCAAGGATGCCTTTCAAGCAGAGACAAACGGATGGTAACTTGTAATTGAAAACCGGACTGGTAATGGTAGGCCGGATTTGAACTTTACTCAGGTACTCTGTAGAGTTGAGGCTCTTTTAGATTTGGTGGGACCCTTTGAGTTTGTACCAGTGCTCCGTCCTGCCTTAGGCACCAGTGCATTTCTCGTATTCAGCAGCTCCCAAGTCTGGGAGCTAAGTTCCTGTCACAATGCAGAATCTCTTCTTCGTTTGTTTTTTTTTCCGTTGAGCTTGCCTCTTTCTCTCCACTCTCTGCTACGTGAAAATTCCTTCCCACTGTTCTCTCTCTCATCTCCACAACGCAATCCCCTTCAACCTATCTTCTTGTGTACCTTTCAGTGCATCTCTGATCAACATGGATGAACAAAAATGTCCCAGAACTCCCATGTCCAGCTTGTCGAGGATTGCATTCAAAACAGTCTGCAGTCAACTCGAGAAGTCGCTCAGCAATGAGAAGGCTTCCGCTTCATTTGCCTGCGGGGGCACGATCCCAGTTAAATGCACTCACGCTGCAAACCTACGCTCGAGCACCGCCGAAGAAGTCCCAGAAACTGGTGAAAGGCTCAAGTCCTCCGGGCCTGTCAACATTTTCTGGGAGCTCAATGATGCTTCGACTGCACGAAAACTCACCCTTCCACTTAGCACCTCTGTAGAGACCAACGACTCTTCCAGTTCCATGACTAGACTTGGTCAACTGGTCGCTGACTGTGAGCCTGCTCCTTTTGGTAGAAACCAAGAAACTGTCCTGGATACACAGTATCGCAAGGCCGGGAAGCTCGAAACCCATCAATTTGCGACTACCTTCCATCCGGCAGACTTTGGCATCATTGAACGCGTTGAGCAAGTTCTGCTCCCTTCGCTGCAGAAGCTTATGCAACAATTCCTGGAGATTCGCCGACTAGAAGTGGAACTCTACAAGTTGAATGTTAGTTAATATCTTGTTATCGATTGTGACGTTAACTAATCTTTTATACCTGGTCAATAGGTCTATTCGGGTCCTTCCGGTCTCTTTAAGAGCCACGTTGATACTCCGCGCTCGAAAAACCAGATTGGATCCCTGGTTGTGTGCCTGCCTTCCCCCTTTAAGGGCGGAAGTTTGATTGTGCGCCATGGGGGCAGGGAAGTCAAATTTGGCTGGGAGCACCAAAGTGCCGATACAATCCAATGGGCCGCTTTCTATAGTGACTGTGAGCATGAGATCACGATGGTCAACCAGGGTGAACGAATCACTCTGACCTACAATCTCTACGCGGTCACTGAGCTGCTCGACAAGGCGGACCGGGTTAGTGCAATCATCGACCCAAAGTCCTTCCCGCTATACAGGGACTTTAAAAATCTCCTCGAAATGCCAGGATTCATGAAGACAGGTACGACTCTGCACGGATGATTATAATGAGCAAAATGTCACTAACCGATATAGGTGGGGTCCTTGGAGCATTCTGCTCCCATGCTTATCCCCATGCGACATCCGACGCATCTATTTTGCTTCCACGTGGTCTCAAGGGCGCAGATTTGGTCTTTTATTCTGCATTGCATGCCTTGGGGGTCGAGGTCGATGTTCTGCCCGTCATGCTCGGACACGGGTATAAGAATACCAAGGACGACTGGTGGGATTCCGACGAGGGCAAAGAACCCGACCATGACACCAACTCCGACGATGATGATGAAGACGGCGATAATGGTAGGAAAAAAAGAAGACGCAAAAACAAGAAAAACCAAGACAGCAATGGTCCCCTCGAGTATTTGGACCCCGGTAAAAAGGTGCGGGTAGGAAAGTGCTTGAACTCTTATGTGGCTGCCGAAATGTATGAAGAAGAGCCATTTTCTGAGGTGAGTCCATCTTGTCCCGTTCATTCCATATATACACATAAAATGCTTGTGCATATGAACATATGGAGAGGCTTCTTCCATACTTACTCCACTTTCCTATCTCTATTCCACTACTCACCAACCTTGTCTTTCACTTACATTTGAAATTACCTTTCGTCGGCCAAAGGGATGCAGAACTAATGTTACGTGCTAGATTCTGAACGAGAACTGGCCAACACGATGCTACGAAAAGCCTATTACATGGGTTACAGCTCCACGGCCTGAGAACATTCGCGCGGCGATGACTTACATGGCTTATGGGAATGAAGCTTCCCAGGCCGAAGTCTACTCTTATGCTGCGATCATCGCTGTCATTCCCCCGTGGACAGAACGTCAGAAACTGTTAGCAAAGCTCGAGGAGAAGTGAGATCGGCTCTTGGAGACTGCCTGGGGAACGATAAATACCATGGGTTCTTCCTTAAGAAAGGAACTTTTTGCTTGCCCCGGCTTTTGCCGATGATGTTGTTTTAAACGATAGTGTGTCCATACGTCATGAAAAGAATGTTACGGATATTTTTGTAATTTCTTGGTAAGGGTCATCATTTTCGTAATTTCTTTGCAGAAAGTCCCGCATCCTGACATATTAATCCAGCAAGCTAGCTTTGCTAGGAAAGGGGTTTAACGTCAACTCGAGACTGCCACGGCTAAAATGACAATAAAAAAATATTCAACATCAAAAGGACAGCAAGCACCACCTTACGCCTCCAGTCCAACAACGGCACCCGACTCATCAATCTCGACCTTGGTCCTCTTCATACTGGCATTCCGAGGATTCGGTGCCTCGAAGATTTCTTTCAGCTCCTCTAGGGTCTTGCCCGCAGTTTCGACAAAGCAATAATAGATAACAACCATCTCAACGACGATCCAAGCAATATAGACAAGGTACAACTTCCATCCAATTTTCTCGATACCGACGGAGATACCGTAAGTGTTGACGACCATGGCAACATTTAGGAACAAGAAGTTGAGACCGGATCCCTTGGCACGAGTGCGATTCTCAAGACACTCGACGGCGTATAGAGTTTGCAGAGGAGTAAATCCCCATGCGAAGATAATACCGAAGAGGTAAATAGAGACGATCACGCCGTAGCTGAGAGAGGGGTGATACTCGCTCTGCGCAGTGAATGCAGTAAGCATGATGTAGGCTGCTAATCCTCCAGCAAGGCCACCCAAGAGCATAGTTCGTCGGCCTAGTTTGTCCAGGAGGGTGGCACCGTAGATAGCGCCTAACATGCTGAAGATGGGGTTGATGGCGTTGATGAGCAGCTGCTTGTCCGAGCTGGTGATACCAGCCTGGATGATCATCTGCGGCATAAAATAGCTTACTACGTTGTTGCCTGACCATTGTCCGAAGAAAGACATCGCAATCACCATGAACAAGCGGTATCGTGCAGCGCGTGTGTTTCCCAGCTCGCGGAAGTCCCACCAAGGGTTCTCGTCCCGTGTGGCGCTGAGCTGTTCCACAATTTCATGGTACTGGAGTTGGACAACAGGATGGTGACGATCGCCTATTAAACCGAATTAGAAATGATCTTATCTCAGAGATTGAAAAGACTGGGAACTCACCATCGCCATGGTACTTGGCCAAAATATCCAATGCTTCTTCCCGCCGATCCTGGGCGATAAGCCAACGAGGAGACTCCGGGAAAAACATAATCAAAACCAAGACAACACCAGGCAAACCAGCCTGCACGAGAGTAGGAACTCTCCAGGCCCATGAATTCTTCAAATGCAGATTACTTCCGTAGGTTGTCCATCCAGCAAGAATGTTGCCCAACCACCAAAAGTTATTATACATACCGGCCATCGTGCCACGGTATGCCGGGTGAGCGAGCTCGACAGTATACGCCGGTCCCGCGGCAGAAGCGAGTGCGGCACCGAGACCGAGGAGGAAGCGGCCTCCCATAAACATTCCCATAGTCTTTGCGGGTGTTTGAATGGCGGTTCCGATCCAGACGATGAGACATCCGACGAAGATGCAGACTTTACGGCCGTAGCCGTCAGCTAGGAGGCCGCAGAAGGGGAAAGCGGCGATTTGACCTAGGTTATAGATGATGAAAATCACGCCGGTTGATGAGCCTATAGTGGATTAGACCGTAAGTGGCTGGCCAGACACGGAGAGAGAAAAAAGGTATTGAAAATGTGATCAATTACCTGCTCCGGAGAGCCCGAATGACTCTTGGTATGGCTTCATCGCGTTGATAGAACTCATCAACGATGAGTCGAATCCGTTCATCGTGGAAATCAAATAACCAATGCCCATGATCATGTACAGTCTGCAATTCGATTAAAAACCTGGACTTTGGATTCGAGGCGAAGGGATAGCTCACTTGATCATATTCTTTGACAGCAGCTTCGGGGGTTGAGCTGCAACGGCCGCAGAAAGAGCTACAGACGCAGTATTGATCTCTTTCACTGCGCCTTGCGGCTCCTTGTTCAGAGTGACATGGCCAACCGTGTTCTCCTGGTGCTCGGCGGCACCACATTCAGATTTGGGCGCCATGTTTGGCACAGCCTCGACAGGAGATTAGGCTCGATTCTCTCTTTTTCAAATGAAAGACACGAAACGACTTTCTGAGGTGACCATTGAGCCCCTTATTAAATGTGCGGGTATTAGAGAGCGAGGGATTCTCGGGCCGTACTTATATTCCCAGCCTCATGAAGAATGCCGATACTCCCCCTGGTACTGTATCATACGGACAGTTTACCCCAGATTCCCTTCTCCACATCAAACATTTGCACATGCTTCTTGTAAGAGCCAAAGCGGGGCTAGGATCCATCATCCTTGGGCCTATAAACGGGGCTCTTTCCATTCAACCAATTACTCGCCCGCTCCTCTTCTAGCAGAGTTTCCACTTAAGAGCGATGGTTGTACTGAGAATATGGTGGCGCGGATATTCAGCCTGATCTGGCAGAGGCTGCTGGAACATGCAGCGAGCTTATCCAGAACTATACCAAATGTCCAGATCGTAGGGTTGAGCCATGCCGAATCTGTCATGATATCCGTTGTAGTACACCTTCCAAAGCCGTGTTGTGCCCCGCAATAGGCCCGAGGATGTGAGAAAATCCCCTGTAAGGAAGGTCACACGTTGTCATGAGCGATCAAAGTTAGTCGAGTTGGCTCGAATAAGGTTCCTCTTGAGGCCTTTGGCGCCTCCCAATTGGCACCACAACTGCGTCTGACATCTGACGAGACTGGCCTGATCCTTCGGTGAGATGTTCGTGGAGCTCGGCTAATACAGGCAATAGCGTCTTGCACAGGCTATTTGCCGATTCCAAAGACTTATATCCTCACCTTCTACCTACACCCCTTGAATCGCACATCTCGATCAATACCTTGGAGATCTGGATATTGTTCAGCCATCCTTACGCCTGCCATGCGCCACCATCAGGGTCTCAATCATAAACTCGAGCACAAACTGGGCAGCCCACAATTAAGGCCTCAGTGGCGATGGGAGGCGGGTTGGTGGTGGAACTTAATTCCCGGCAGATACGCCGTAGACCGAACCGTCTTCTCGTTAGCGCCTTGGCTTTGTTAAGCCTTGCATAGCATCCCCGGCACGAGGCTCGATGTTTTTGGCGACAGCGCCACTGCGCGTCAAAGCACATTTATAAAAGCTGACATATCACCATATCGAAAAAGTCGACTGAGATCAATAGAAAGGACATGACAAGACTCGGTTGTCCTGAGAGATTTTGAGGGGTTTCAGAGCTTGGGCTTGCGGAGGTACAGCTCCGTCGTGGCGAAACTTCGGGGAATTGCACTTATCTGTAGTCCAAAATGCGGAGAAAGGATTACAGTAGCTTGGTATGTCTCCCTTGGCTACGTACCTCGGTTTTGCCAAGTGGGATGTTTCGTGGCAGATTCGTGGTTTCCCACTACTAGTGTGAACGCCTCTTTTCACATAGAAACTGGCAGGTACCTTATGTAGGGCCCTGTCCCCACTGACGGAAATCGACACTAAAAGTGCAACTTCCAAATAGGCCCTGATCGTCAAACTTGCGCGGGGGATTACCACATCTTACATCGCCTCAACGGGCGTAGAAATACCAACCAGACATCTATCCAACGTTCCTCGGAGATGCGTGCCTTTATATCGCCGTCCTTCATTTACATCGACCGACCCGGTCGATGGCAAGCGGGAATACCCTTCGGCCACTTCTACTATCGGCCCGGTCGAGGCAAACTTAGCTGTACATCGTCAGAGTTACTGAAGGACCCCCGAGGCTCGGTCTGCTGTGATCCATGTATGGATGTTTATACCCGTTCGCTAGTCATGTGGTGCCGCTTTGACCTATGCTCTTGATATCAGTCGAGTCAGATGAAGCAGGCGAAGTGGTAGATGCAAACTAGACAGGGGATGGTCGGCTATTTTGGCGAGTTATTCTGACCTGCTTGATGCACATGCAATCGATGGACCTTTACAGCTGGTCTAGATTAGATAATACTGCACAATCTAGTGGGGCTTTTGGGGCATGTCTGTTAGGTAAATGCCAAATACCCCCACTTTCCGAGTTTGATACCTCTCCCCTTGTAGCTAGATTTGGCCAAAGCTCTCGTATGTTATGCAGATGGTGAACTCTCCCTGGATCCCTTGAACAGCTTCAACTGGAACGAGGATTGCAATACGTATGTTTTCGCCTTCATGGAGGCTGTTAGGTAAATCAAAGACGCTATGGCCCATCCCTTTGAGACCTTTCATAGGCCCTAATTTACCACCGTATTTCTCGCAATAACAGTCGACTATATGGTCGGTTTTAATCTGGCGCTGCTATTATTAAGTAGTAGTGAAAAGGATTTTGTAGTTTGTTTGTAGACATATCCCAATTCTCTTCTGTAGTTCCTTCTCAAGGTATATGCCGTAACTTCTTTACCTCGCTTGCTATCAGTCTCTAGCTTCTCCTCAACTATAGAACATCCTTAATGCAACGCACATCAACCAGTTTCTCCAACCCCCAACACCACTGACTCGCCTTCTCTGCCCTCTCCTGGCCCAACACCGGCAAACACTGATCCAAAAACTTCTCCGTCAACTGCTCATCCGTCATAGGCCGCTCCAAACTACCCAGCGCATGCTCAACATACACAGTCTTCAGACTCCAATCCCTGCCATCCACTCGTGCCTCGATAAAACACTCATCCGCCCTCGATTCTGGATCAACCTTAACCTCAATCTTCTTCCTCACAGCCACAACCCTCGGGTCAACCACAACATCGTCCTCGTACTGCGCCGGCGTAGCCCTCCCAAACAGCAACCCAACCGCACCACCATGATAAACACTAAACTTCCCCTCCAACCCATCCCTCGGCTCCGTCTTACCCGTTAACTCGACAACAAGCGGATGCACCTCCACCCTCACACCTGCAACCCTCTCAACGTCAATCCCCTCCTTCACCAACATCTCCCGCAACCGTATACACCCATCAATAACAGGATGAACCACAATACCACACGGAAACGGCTTAAACGCATTCCGCGCAATCTCCCACCTCCCTTCCACCCCCAGCGAGCCAATCTGCTCATCTAGTCGGTGGGAGGTACTAACAACATTCGCCCAGCCGCGCTTCGCTTCCAGCGCGGTGGTGGAACTGGTGAAGTCCTCTGCGGCGAGGAGAGTAGCTAGCAGGCCGTTTTGGGCGGCCCGGCCTGGGTGGAAGGATTTCGTGTGCGAGCCGAACATTTCGCGGAGGCCGGTTACTTGGGTTGCGGCTAGGCCGATGGCGTGGGCTGTTTGGGTGGGTGGGAGATTGAGGATTTTGCTCGTTGCGATTGCGGCGCCGATGGAGCCGGTTGTGCTTGTTATGTGCCTGGTTGAGTATGTTAGAGCAAATGGATATATAGATAGGTGTATGGGTGTTTGTATGGAAGTACTGGAGAGTTAGGTACTTACCATCCAACATCATAATGGTCCGGCCAAACAGCTAATCCAATCTTGCACTCTGCCTCAACACCCGCAACGAGCGCCGTGATGAACTCCTCCCCGGAAACGGGTCTGTCCAATGTCTCGACGATTGCTAGTAATGCGGACGCCACGGGCCCAGTCGGGTGAATAATCGTGTCGAGATGTGTATCATCGTAATCATGTACATGCGACGCAATGCCGTTCAACAGCGCCGCATGCATGGCGTCTACATCGACGCCCCCATCAGAACCTAATAATCTTGATGTGGCAGGCCCTGAGAAGCGTGCTAGGGTCTTGCGAGCGATTGTCGTTGCGGGGTGGGCGCTGCCTCCTACCGTGCAACCGGCCCAGTTGTAGAAACTCCGGATGGCGGCGTGGATTACTTCTTGTGGGAGGGAGGTGTATGTTAGGGAGACTGTCCGGTCTGCCAAGGCTTGGGTGGCCATTTTGGAGGGGTGATTTGGTTTTTTGGATTGGTCTTGGTGGTGTTAGTGTCTGGGGGTTATGGTGATGGTAGGGTGTTTGGCGAGGCTCCGATGTAGGAGGTTGCATAGTTCGGAGTTAAGAGCGAGTGGGGGGTGTGGGTAAAAGGTGAAACTCGGACTTCCTGGTGAGGGGAATACTGGTGGTCTGTATGAGGGGTTTAGGTAGAACGATCTCCTGCATTTCTGGTCCTAGGTATGAAAAAGTAGGATATATTGGCCTGATAGCAAGAGAAGCAAGATATAAGATATGCCACTGAACACCTCATATCCGTTGAAAAAAAGAAGCACCAAGAGAAAACGAACCTAAACATGCTAAGATAAAAAATGAACAACATAAGAGAAAATGCCCCAAACCATGCCGATGCGCGCCGCAGAAATGCTATGCTATGCTAAGAAGAAAAAAAGATACTCTGAGTTCACGAGAGATACGTCACCCCCGAGAAAAATGGCGGCTGCCGACAGCATGGTTAGTGATTTACGCTCACCTGAGCGCTAATCCTCATCCATCTGCTGCATCTCATCATCATCGTCCTCGTCCTCCTCACTGCCAGAGAACTGGTCCATGTCGAGATCCTCGTCGGAGTCACTACCCCCAAACACATCGCTATCGACGTCCGAATCAGCCCAGAAATCCGGCTCCTCCTTCTCGACCTCTGGGATGGTCGTCACCGTCTCATTGACCGGCATCACGAAGCCTGGAGGCATATTTTCCTTGGATGCCTCGACCTGGGCCTTCACGATGGACCGGTACTGAGTGGGATTGGTGCGGAACATCACGGCTGCGTCGACGTTGGCGGGGGAGGAGCATTCGGCGTCGTCGAGTAGCGAGAGGATGGAGATGAGGACGGACTCGACGCGCTGAGCGGGGGACCAGCGCTCTGCGGCGGATTCACCGGACATTTCATCTTCGCCTGGGGGGTGGAGTATGGATATGCAGAGACGGCCGTCGGCATAGATGTTTGGGTGGTAGAGAGGCTGCAGGAAACGGAATTCTGGGGGTCGAGATTAAGTCAGTGAGAGAACGATAGGGGAAGAAAGTGAAGTGACAAGTCGGTGAGTCGGGGTCAGGAGAAAGTGGAGTTGTGATCGTAGCAAATATGGTGGTGCGTACCTGGAGGTGCGTAGGGGTAGTTCTTCGGAAAGGTCATTCGAGCCTTGAAATAGCCGCCGTAGTAGACCGAATCTTCGTTGAGCACAATCAGGGCAACGTCCCACCTAAAGATGTCGTCCTTGTGTAGCTGTCGCAGTGGTCACATATTAGCGATCTGATCTCCTCCTTTGGGCACGGTATGACCTACCTCGATGTTCACCCATTTCTCACGCGACAGGGTGCGGAACTCGTTCATGAGAATCCGCTCGGCCATTTTTGGATGAAGGGCTGGCTAGGGAGATGGAATGACGGCAAGTCGAGTGACTGGTTCGATCAGTGCGTATGCCGAGCAGTGGAATGAGTGCGAGGGGCCGGAGAAGTGACGGTAGAGAGTGAGGGTCAAGAGACGGGGCGGAGACGGGCAGCGGAGGTGGAGCGATGATGAAGTTGGGGGCGTGGAAAGTCAGCTCGTCGCCCGCGTGGCAATTCTTTCACGTGGCGAAGAAAACTGCGAAAATTTTCAATTTGGCTTATAAAGAAACTCCTTTAGCATTTCCGGAGTATATAAAGGAATTGACGATTAGGCTACGATGGTGTCAAAGGTTAGGCAGAATCAACCTAAAGGGATGATGGGATCCCATCGCCAGGCAAAGATCAGGCCCCGACCCCATTTTGCAGGAGTGTCGGCCATAGTCCAAGGCTGCCGATAAACAGTGGGGAACATGTTTAGCCGTTTGCTGATAAGAAGCGATCGGCAAACTACAACAGATAGAGTCCTTTGTCCGATTTCTGCAGGCTTCCGTGCCCGTAGGCTGACGAGAATGACGGGAGATGGGGCTTTATCTGATCTGGGAGGTCAATTAGTATTTCTAGATCAAAATCAATGGGATGAATGGTAAATAGTAGCTTTGGGACTCTGGTCATGGGAATCGATCTGGCGGGGTCCATAAAGGTACTAGCACGCTATTTGCAGAGTAGTACGCAATAGTAGAACACGGGATAGAATCTACAAAATAAATACCTCGAGGCCCCGACTCAACTGATACGAGTTTGAGGGGAAAACCCGGCGTCCCAAAGAGGAAAAATCGTTACTATAGGGTACTCCACTAGATAATAGGATTGTGTTAAGCAACCATGGGCGGTTCCATTGACCGAATTGGCCATTACGTATTGAAATTCTGCAGGAAGCAGTACTACAAGTATAGAATCAATTCCTATAACCCTAGTCACTAGTATAAACGACGTATAGCTTTAAGTGCAGACCCCAAACAAATCAAGTCAAACAATTGTTCCCATTAGAATCATCTTCATCATAATTAGCTAGTTTTCTTCTGGTTTCGGGAGGCCAATGACACCTCACTCCACTTGTGGTGGCTCGTTTCCAGAGTCCCAGTGACTAAAGTGACTAACCGGGCGGGTTGACCCTCTTCTGAAAATCCGCCGCTTTGGGGAGACCAGACCCAAGGCTAGAACCCATCCCGAACCTCCAAAACGCGAATCTTCACTCAACTCCAATCCTTGCTCTTCCCCCCCCTCGATTATATCTCACGCCTTGCCTCTCGTTTTTTTCTACTCTCACCTTCCCCGAGATTTCCACTTTTCGACTTCTGTCCTGCAGCTCTTCAGCAATTCTTATCCGCCTACGGTCCTACTCTCCCACTCCGACGGCCTCGCAACGGCCCTCGGCACGTAGTCTCCTCCTCGAAAACGCTGCACTTCCGGTTTCGCTCAGTTTTGCAATGCCAGTCGGGTCCTGCGTGCTCGTGAAGGATTGTCGCTAATCTGCAGGGGTGGAGGTTTTTCCCGACTTGAAATTTTTGTTCATATCCCGGTCGCATTGCCCGTATCCTTATCGCTGGCCGCCACGAGCTGTTGATCGATCTCTGTGACGTTGGTTGGGAGCTCCCCTCGTTGCTTACACCCTCCCCATTCCTCCCAGCAAATCATGCTCCCGCAATGCCAGGGCCCCGTTTGGGCCATCGACGACCTGTCGCATTGCTTCCAGCGCAAGTGAGTTCGACCTCTTTCTTTCCTGACCGCTGTGCAACCTGTCTGCCGACCGTTTGGCCTGCTTTGTCATACCCTGTCCTAGTTTGCTGATCGTCTAAATCTGATAACAGCGTCCTACAAGTCTCCCTGCCGCTGGCTGCATGCGCCTTATCCCTGCTAACAATCGTCCTCCACCTCACTTATCGCTATGCCACCGCTCGGAAAGGTGTCGCCTACAAGGTTCTTCCTAACGATGTCTCCGACGACGAAAATGTTCCCTCTGCCGCAGAAACCGAAACGGATCCTATGCTCCAACAGGCCGTGCAGAGCGAGCAAGTCGAACTCGAAGTTGACCGCCCGCGCGGTGAGATGGTCGTCGTCGCCCTTGAAATCGCTGCGCTCATCGGTCAGGTTGCGCTTTACTCAATCATTCTCACCACCAACGGCTGGGGCCGTCATGGAGCTCTTCCCGCGACAGCAGGTCTGATTTCGTGGGGCTATATACTTTTCCTGGTCTTGGTTCGACTACTTTTGTCCAGCATGGATCTATTCTCTGCCCCGAGGCTGTGGACGCATACGGCCGTTCTGTACGGTGCTCAGTGGCTCTTCAACGTCATGGTCTTCCGATCTGCGGTCATCCATCCCATTTCTAGACGCGCCTTGATTCTTAGCAGCATCGAGTTCGGCCTGAGCACCCTACTTTTGTTGATCTCTCTTACCACTCGCCGAGGTAACAAGCCCGTACTGGTGGAGCGTGAGGATGGATTGGAGCCCCCACGTCACCCGATGGCTAGTCTGCTGTCTCTTGCGACCTTCTCCTGGTTGGATCCGCTTGTGATGAAGGGATACCGTCAACCTCTCGAACTGGAGGACGTGTGGAACCTGACTCCCACCCAGAAGGCCGCTGCAGTTCTTACCGACTTTAGAAAACGGCAGATGAAGGGCTCTTTGGCCTGGAAGCTCATCCGCTTCTTTATTGGAACCATTTTGAAGCAGGGTGCCTGGACTATTTTCGCCAACCTCTTCGTTTTCGTGCCAAGTCTCCTGCTCAAGGCTATCCTTGAATACGTCGAAGATCCCCGTTCAACAACTCCCAATGCTGCTTGGCTCTACGCGATCCTCCTGTTCTTCTCCGCTATTATTCAAGGTGTTGCAGATGGCCAGGCCCTGTTCATCGGCCGCAAGATGGGTGTTCGGATTCGTGCCATCATTATTGGAGAAATCTATGCCAAAGCTCTTCGACGTAAGGCCGGTGCTGCTACGGATGCGGCGAAGAAGGCCCTGGAAGAGTCGAATGCCCCCAAGGACCTGAAGCCGAAGAAGAAGGGACTGCTTTCGTTTGGCCGAAAGAAGAAGTCCAGCACTAATGGAGATGAAGCTGAAGCTGAAGCCGGGACGGCCAAACCTGCCGGGTCAGATCTGGATGATACTGCCGGCCAGGCAAATGTTGGTACTATCATCAACTTGATGGCAATTGATTCTTTCAAGGTCAGTGAGGTTGGTGCCTATCTGCATTTCCTTTGGGCCAGTGTTCCAGTGCAAATCATTATGGCCGTCACCTTGCTTTACAAGATCATGGGTTTCAGCTCCTTTGCTGGTATTGCTTTGATGGCTTTGATGCTACCCGTCAACCTCTTCATCGCCCGGCAATTCAACAAGGTCCAGAATGCTATTCTCAAGGGCACTGATGCTCGTATTCACGCGACCAACGAAGTCCTTCAGAACATTCGTATCATCAAGTACTTTGCCTGGGAGCAACGGTTCCAGGACATTGTCAACGAGAAGCGCAAGGCAGAGCTCAAGTCCCTGCGTCGCCGCTACATTCTGTGGTCTTGCGCTGCGACGGTCTGGTACGGAACACCGATTCTGATCACTTTCCTGTCGTTCTTCCTATATACCGTCGTGGAGAAGAAGCAATTGACTCCCTCGATTGCTTTCCCTGCCTTGTCAATGTTCTCGCTTCTGCGTGTTCCCTTGGATCAACTGGCCGACATGGTGGCCCACGTTCAGGAGTCGAAGGTCTCTCTGGATCGTGTGGACCAGTATCTGAACGAGGAAGAGACCGGGAAATACGACCAGCTGCGTGACAGCAGCGCCGCGCATGGACCTTCTCAGATCGGACTCGAGCAGGCAACCCTGACATGGGGTACCACCAGTCCTCGCCCTCAAGCTGCTTCTTCCTCGGATAGTGGCGCTGATGCTTTCCGCCTCATCAATGTGAATGTCAATTTCCCCGTCGGCCGTTTGAGCATTATCGCCGGTCCTACGGGTTCTGGAAAGACCTCGTTGCTCATGGCTCTGCTTGGTGAGATGCGCCTCGTTGAGGGTCGTGTCCATCTTCCCGGAGGCACGGCTAACCGTGCTGAACTTCCCGTTGACCCCGAGACCGGTCTTATTGACAGTGTTGCATACTGTGCCCAGGAAGCTTGGCTAGTCAACGACACTGTCAAGGAGAACATCGTCTTTGCCTCTCCGTACGATGAGAAGCGCTACCGCGCTGTGCTCAAGGCTTGTGCCCTCGAACGCGATATTGAGATCCTGGATGCCGGTGACCAGACCCTTGTTGGAGAAAAGGGTATCAGTTTGTCCGGTGGCCAGAAGCAGCGTATCTCTCTGGCTCGTGCCGTCTATAGCAGTGCTCGCCACTTGTTACTGGACGACTGTCTGTCCGCTGTCGACTCCCATACGGCGAAGCACATCTTCCGTCAAGCGCTGACTGGCCCGCTTATGCTGAACCGCACATGTGTTCTGGTGACGCACAACGTTGCCCTGACCGTGCCTCAGGCTGATCACGTTGTCGTTCTCGAGAATGGAAAGGTTACTGCACAGGGCAAGCCCGACGACGTTGCATCCAGTGGCGCCCTCGGCGAAGAGTTCTTCAAGTCCCAACCTGCTTCCCGTGTTAACTCCCGTGGTCTTTCCCGCGCGCCTTCGCAGCATGAAGACGAAGCAGCGGATGAGAATTCCGCTGCGGCTAATGGAACCGCTAACGGTACTGCCAACAAGTCGCAAAAGGACAAGGACGAGAAGTCACGCCTGACAGAAGGCAAGGCTACTGGAAGCATCAAGTGGTCGACTGTCATCATGTACCTGCGGTCTATGGGTTCTTGGCACTACTGGGTCTTGGCTGTTTCGGTGTTCTGCATGCAACAGCTCGGCTCGGTCTCTACCAATATTTGGATTCGTCAATGGGCCAACTCGTATCACACGTCCAAGGTTAACGCCGATGGCGATGTCGGTAGCTACGCTGCCGCTGCTCACCTCAAGCCACCTACTTTCAACGTCGGCAGCGTCTCGAAGATGAGCACCTGGGGTCCACCTCAGCTCGGCTCGCGATCCTTTGGCCCAGTCACCGATGACGGACAAGTGAATGTGGGGTACTACCTGGGTGTCTATGCGCTCCTTGGTGTTTTGTACATTCTCATTTCCCTGTCTCGTGAGGCTGTTCTTTTCTGGGGCTCCCTGCACGCCTCCTGGAAGATCCATGACAATCTCCTCAGGGCTGTCATGCACGCCAAATTCCGTTTCTTCGACTCTACTCCGCTCGGCCAACTCATGAACCGTTTCTCCAAGGATGTCGAGTCGGTTGACCAGGAGGTTGCCCCCGTCGCTATCGGTATGCTTCACAGCCTGGCATCGGTCATCATGATTGTCATTCTGATCTCTGTCATCACGCCTGGCTTCTTGATTGCTGGTGTCTTTATTACTCTGGTGTACACCGCTCTCGGCGCCATCTACTTGAACTCTTCTCGTGATCTCAAGCGTCTGGAGTCTGTGCAGCGCAGCCCGTTGTACCAGCAATTTGGCGAGACCCTGAATGGTATTGTCACTATTCGTGCTTATGGCGATGGTCCCCGATTTATTGTCGATAACCACCGCCGTATCAACGCTTACAACCGACCCCACATCTACCTGTGGGCTAGCAACCGTTGGCTCGCCCTTCGTGTGGACTGGACTGGTGCTTTGGTGTCATTCTTCTCCGCTACCTTTGTATTGATCAATGTTGGCAAGATCGACGCCGGTGCTGCTGGTTTGTCTCTGACCTATGCCGTTACCTTTACCGAGAATGTCCTCTGGCTTGTTCGTCTCTACTCGGAGGTCCAGCAGAACATGAACTCGGTTGAGCGTGTTCGCGAGTATCTCGAGGTTGACCAGGAAGCTGCTGCCGTTATCCCCGAGTCTCGACCTGAGACCAACTGGCCCACCCAAGGTGCTGTTGAATTCAACGGCTATACCACTCGCTATCGTCCTGATCTGGAACCCGTGCTGAAGGAGGTATCCTTCTCCGTCAAGCCTGGTGAGAAGGTTGGTATTGTCGGTCGTACTGGTGCTGGCAAGAGTTCTCTTGCTCTGGCTCTTTTCCGCGGTTTGGAAGCCGAGAAGGGTCAGATCATCATCGACGGTGTCAACATCGGATCTATCGGTCTTCGGGATCTGCGTGAGGCTATCACCATTGTGCCACAAGATCCCACTTTGTTCACGGGTACTATTCGCAGCAATCTCGATCCCTTCGGGCTGTTCAGCGATGAGGAGATTTTCACAGCCCTCCGTCGTGTGCATCTGATTGGCTCCGGTACCTCTGGCACCGCAACCCCGATGACCTCAAGCACGGCTGTCGAACCCAACGGTATGAACGGTAGTACCGCCTCCATCGTCGACAACAAGAACGTCTTCCACAACTTGGACAGTCTTGTCTCCGAATCCGGCTCCAACCTGTCCCAGGGTCAACGACAGCTCCTGTGCCTGGCACGCGCTCTTCTCAAGAAACCTCGCGTCTTGATGATGGACGAAGCCACCGCCTCAATCGACTACGCCACCGACGCTAAGATCCAAGAGACTCTGCGGGAACTGCACGACAGCACGATCATCACCATCGCGCATCGCTTGCAAACCATCATCGACTACGACAAGGTCCTAGTCCTCGACCACGGCCGCGTCATCGAGTTCGATCACCCCTGGACCCTGATCAACAAGGAAGACGGCCTGTTCCGCGGTATGTGTGATAACAGCGGCAACATGGACGTTCTACTAGACGGCGCTAAGCGCGCCTGGTCTCAAAAGCGACTCGTGGATGATTCTTGAACACAATTCCATCCATGCCCTACTTTCCTACAATAACCCTCTCGGTACATATTTATCATTATTCTCGATTTTTCCCTCTTGTGCATGCTCCCGTCCCTCATCCTCCTCGCTCTTTTTCCGAGGAGTCCTGCAAAAAAGAGTTTCGTATAATTTTCCTACTTCCTCTTTCCTTTTTTTTCCTTTTTTTCTGTCCTTGTCTGTCTGGGCGGCATCCGTGTACTATTCATTGTTATCTAGCCATTCTTATGGTTTGCGGCGTCGTGGGTATGCATTTCCCCTGCGAATCCGTTCATCACTGTCCGCATTTTTTGACTTCCTTTCTCCATTGTCTGTCTGTTTCTCGTCGCCGTATTTATGGGATGCCATGCCCTCGGTCGTCTAGTCCTGGTCATCTGGCTAGGATGTGCTGGCAGGGTATACAATTGGCATGGGAGGTGTCTCTAACGTGGATAGAAAATGGAAAGTTATTGGTTGTCATATTTTGCTTATCTCCGTGCGTAAACGGCAGACATTTTACACCCCGTCGGGTCGATTAGCAAGCGGCAGCAGCTTGAATTAATGAGGCGTTATATGCAACAGGTAGACAAGTACACAAGCAAAGTCTAAGCCAAGCTTCATGGAAGGGCGTCAATAGGAGAGGCATTGGCGTGGGCTTGCTGGTACAAGTGGTGGGCTCAAACACCGAACAACGCACCGTTCCATTTTTACAACATAGTCTTGACGATAGGATGATTCAGCACCTGCTTCTCTCTGATCTTTCCCAAAATTGTCCTGAAACTCATCAACTAACCCTTGGTGGGTCTATATATCCAGAAGCATGCTGTAAATTAAGCGCCGTGGGACAGCCCCGGTGGCTATGCTCAGGATGCGTTGAATCGGTTTCATAATTTATACCCGGAGATTACCTCTGGACCAGTCTCTCGAAACAAATTCACACCCAGCCTTGTGACTGTACTTATAAGACTCGCCTTTGATTTAATTTTGGTAGATTTTGAATTCATAAATAGTAGTCCAAAAATATGCCGTTGTAGGTTCATGCTCGAAGCAAAGTCATAGCCACACAATAGGCGCCATGGAGTCACAAATGATTGTACTTAAGCGTGTCTATGACCTGCCTCGCAATAGCTAGACATTTTGAACCTATTTCCCAAATTACACATCATCTTTTTAGATTAAGAGCAAGAATACTGCGGCTCCAAAACGTACCAATTTCCCATCATTAACTGCACGATGAACGAAGCAGCGGGCCTGGATTGGATGGAGGTGAATCAGATCCTGCAAGAGCACTACCCGAACCTCCCTCCCCGTGAAGCCTTTGTCAACTTTCTTCGCGATGTGTTTATCAATCATCCCCCAGAATTGATGAAAAGGATCCCCCCGGGCATGTTAGAAAAGCTACAAGGCGCTGCTGATATCGCAATGATAATTGGAGTTCTCAGGGGGTCGTCACTAGTTCAAGCCAGCGCTCTTGCTATGAGCATGGTCGAGAAGGTGTTCGCAAAATGGTCACAATCTGGAGTGAACACGGTGACAGCGGCAAAGCCCAGCACGGTTTTAGAACAGGCAACTGTTGGCGTGTCCAAAATGGCAACGCCGGCATTTGAGAGTGCAATCACTCGCGATTCGGATACAATGCTACCCAATGTGGATCTCCTTGCCGACAATATCAAAGGTCTTGCCGGCTCGGCTGAATATGTCACTAGAGAGTTGCATGGCATTCACGTCATTGGGAACTCCCTCGTTGATCATATCAATTATTATGGACGCTGGATGCAGACGGTCTCTTCGATTCAGATTGCGCAGGGATACCAGGCAATTCAGGCCTTGAACGTTATTTGCGATCATCTGCGCGATAGTAATATCATTACCGTCTCGGGCGGTGGTGGTTCAGATGGTTTCGCTCGTCCTGTTTACGACTTTATCCAGAAGAGCATCAACGACATTGATCAGACGACACGGGACAACCATCGTTTCTTCGTCTTCCATCCCGACACGAATTGGTACGGGGCATTCCACCGACTGATCAGGGAGAACCCTCTTCCCCCCGAGTTCTGCGCAAAGGCGGACAACCTCGATACTACCTGTCTATTCATGCAAGATATTAGAACGAGTTTGGCCGAGCAGTCAGATCATGGAAAAGACATCATATTCCACCTACTTATTCCCTCGTGGTATAGTCTGGCCATCGAAGAGCCACTACACTTCCCGGACAGCCTGTATCCATTGCGAGTGGAGGGGGAGAAGCATAAACGCAAGGAGCTGGTTCAGCTCAACCTTCCCGCCGCGCCTGCTGGTCTCTTACATGGTGTTGCGAATGTTCTCGATCCTAAAGGCTTGAATAAGATAGCAGCCGGGGCCAGCGTTGTAACAACATTGCCAGGAGTGGGCTGGGGCGTTAATGGTGCTTGTCTAGCACTTGGGCTCGGTATTGGGACTATCACAGGGCTGGGGGCTTTTGTTGCCGTTCCTATCTGGCTCGGCACGGCAATGCCAGCCATGAGCACGGCGGCCCCAGTTATTGGGGAAACCGTCTACAATGCCCTCTGTGAAGAAGCACCAAGAGTGCTTGGGTCTGCAGAGCGATTGAACATGCGACAGTGGCGTTTTTGAAGGAAATTTACCCAAATATCTTGAGCTACCTGGTTGTCGAAGAAGGTACCCTTTTACTAGTTGTATTGCGATTTTGGTCCGTCGATGAGTGATTGGCAACACACGGACGAGAAGCTTTTATTCTAGAGAAATCTCGAAGAAGCACTCAGCCAAGTCCACGCCTCAGAGGTGTGTGACGAACATCAATGGCCAATATTTATTTCCCTATCTATGTCTGCTCTTTTCATCAGAAGTCCGGTTCTAGTCTGTAAAATTTGGGGTCGGCAAATTGTCAAATTGGTAACTGAGGCGTCAAGTTTTTCTGCAGCGGTATAAAAAGCCTACCCATCGTCAGTGTAGGCTATGTAATATTGAACACTGATTTCGCTATATCATGATCACATAGGAGTTTAAATAATCCACCACCATGCATTCCAATAGACCTCCAAAATCACCCAGGGAGAAACGAGCCGACCGGCAGCGTCCGAAAGCCGTAGGATCACAGAAATGGGGCGGGTTTATAGTTTATAGCACGCCAAGCTCAAGCCACGGTCGCGTTTGAGTTTGACGGAGACCAGAGACACCCCTCCTGATGGAATGGCGACCAACCAGTGAAACACGGCCCTAACTCATAGGATCACGTTGTCGCCCGTTACAGATTGTGCAACGCGAACACGGAGTACAGGGTACGAACCCGAGTTAAGGTGTGAGATGTGGGGACCCTGGGTGCCTGGATAGGGACGAATTAGGGACGCCGATCGGTCGATTCGGATGGAAATCGAGTCTGGTTGGAGCAATTATTGATGCTGTGAGAAGCCTTGCGCGTGTTGACAGAGTGCTCTTTCGCTCTTTTCCAGTGGCATACTATGCACGTGTGGTGACTAGGAGCTTTGAGTCGAGCCGGGAGGGGCGACCCGAAGTGTTTAGCGCGGTGGGTGGAGACATGCTGGCATAAGAAGTGGGTTTACCATTTCGCTGTTGCATAAAAGAGTGATGCCAAGAGAAAGAAGTTGAAGTGGCAGGGGGCCGAATCACAATGTGTATATCCAGCACGATTTGCCTGCAACGACTTCAGCGTCGAGCACGCACACAGCCCCTGATAACAGTGAGCACGGCGATGATCGAGCTTGCGATCACGAAAAAGCGAAACGGCGGTAGTAAAGAAGGCAGCATTTCCCAGACGGACTCTGTAGCTTCCAAACGGTCCAATTCGGACATCAAGTCCCGAACGGGAATCATCCGTGCACGGGGGGTGTCGATCCCTGCATCCGGAGATTCGATTGACTTTGGGTTTTGGCCATCCTCGCTGGCGAGGAGACCTGCTTCTCGCATTGCAGTTGACCGGTCGGTGATTTCGTCGGCGTCAGGGACGGTTTCGGGGAAGTAATAAGGGTTTCGTTTGTTCAGGTGGTCGTCGTCATTCCGGGAGACTGATTGGATAATTCGTGGCCATGACGCGTCTCGGGATGATAAGGATTCTGCTTCTTTGGCAAGGCTGATTTCTTGGAGGGCTGGCTGTGATGGGATAGCTGCTGCTGTGACCAGGCTTGTTGTAAATGCCAGGGCTAGAGAGAGTCGTGCGAGGAGCATGTTGTGTTTGCGATGTGGTACAAGTACGGCTGTAGGAGTAGTTGGACTGATAACGAGGACTGATAAGCGGATGAGGCAGTGTTACATCACTGGGCGAAGGCTGTAGATAGGATATATAGATGGAATCAGGTGAGGTATGAGATGGAGGGAGAAAGAGAGAAGAGATTCAAAAGAGAGAAGTTGCTGGGGTTTAAAGTATAAGAAAAAGGAAAAGATAAGGACTGCAACGATCGGATTCGGCGGCACTCAACGCGGGCCCGGGCTTGGCGTCTGGTCAGCCCGGAGTTTAGATATTGCACAATTAGCTAGCTCTAGACACGTGATGAAGATAGATGTTTAAACCTCATATGTTATGTGATAAAAGAGAACGTGAAGGTCCGGTATCGACTCGGGATTCGAGATTATGAATCAAACAGAGAGATCCGTTGAAGATGAAGTGGACAGGAACAACATGATGCATAATGCCGAACGGCTCAGGCCACAATTAAGGTCATGTGACTAGAAAGGTTTTGGCTGGTATCAACAAGAAGAAAACAACAATCGAAGAGCATGCTAGCTCCTTCTCCTTCAAAAACTTAAATAACAATGCCTGGTCTTGACAGGAGCCCAGCCCACACAGGACTAACGTTCAACAGATAAGGTGAAAGTTCACGATGGGACAAGAAAAAATTCGTCAAGATTTGACACTTTCAGTTTGCCTTACAAGGCAAGGAGGCAGATGAGCATCCCGAGCTGATATTGAGATACTAGCGGTCTGAATCCGGTTCGGCCTTTTCCATGATCAAGACTGGATGCTTGCCCTTCACCTTGAATATCTCTCCACCGACTTCGAGACTCATCTTCCATTCTAGGACATAGGTTCGCTTGATGTTATAGGTAATAAAAGTTGGGGCTTCGTGAGCCTGGAGCTGCTCATTCTGAAGCTTCAGATTGAGCTTTTCACCTAAATTAAGGGGAGTTGTGTTGTCGCTAATCGGCAATGTCAAAGACCTGCTATGGGGTGGGTACGCGCCCAGTAGACATGCTTCAGGTTGAAGTTTTTGATCTTTCGTCTGCTCAGCCCTCCTCCGTTTCATGTAGACCCCTAAAACGGTCTTTGTGTTGAAATGGCTCTCATGCACCAGTGTGGCTCCACCCGCGGTGTCATCAAAAAGCCCCATGATACTCAAGGTCGAGCGAAGATTAAGAGTAAATTCGTTTATGTCAATGACTTGCGGAGTGTTCACCAGATATTCACTCGTATCCACATATTCCGGGATAGCTCGCATCTCGAGTGGAATATAATACGGGCTGTCTTTCTGGAGAACCGAAGCTATCGTAACTTCCAAACGAAATGTAAGACGAGGAGCCCTGGAAAATCCCAAAACATGGGCAATCTTTTGCCCCACGGGGATTCTGGTTGTTTCCATACCAAGAGTAAGACGGTGAGTGGCAATTGTGTACCTTTGGCGAGAATGTAACCTCATGTCAAAATCTGTAATTGGGAAAGGAGATGATTCGCATCGAATTTGAACTGGCATCCGAGCTATCAGGGGTTTGGAAGTGCATGGAGTCACCATCGTAGCTTCCAGATAGTACTCAACGGTTGCAAAACCGTGACCGGAAGTAGCAGCACAGGTACTCAGATCAAATGAAGGTGGAAGGGCATGCTGGTCGGCGTGTAGCAGTGGTAGGTATGATGCATTCCCAAAGGGTTGCGATCTTAGAGAACTTGGATCTGGGTGTCTGGGAATATCGATTTCAAAAAGCCACTTTTTTCCAGGTAGACCGGATGATTGAATGTGTAAAGCGCCATTATATAGCTCTTTTCGAGTTCCATCCTGCCCGAAAAGCGCCAAGCTGCTGCGACACAAGGAAGAATGAAGATGAAAGAATTCTGTGTTGCATCTGCCGTGAAACATGATGCTGATATTCGTTTCCTCACTAATCCAGGGCGAGCTTCGAGATACGTAGCCAGTAATTCGTTCGCCGGGGAGGAATGATCCGACAGAGTCCAGATGAATCGAAAGGTCACAGGTGTTGCAGGCCTGAATTTTCCCCATGATGGGGCAGTAACTGCCGCAAACAATGACGTTCACTCCTCTTCGTCTTGGGATAGTACGACTGTGTTGATAGCTCAATATCACGCCTCTAAAGATCCTGCAATTTTAGATCCTGTAGAAACTGCCCGAGAGTCTGTGATGAAATGACTGTATAATGAGCATTCCAGGAGGAGGCAATTACTTTAGACGCAATATATATACCTTCAGGAACAGGATTCCTTCTAACCGAGCATAGTATGGATCAGGTTGAGACTTTACCACTTATGGCTTCAATACGTCATGGTCGGTTCTCGGTCTAATTGGTAGGTCGGAATAAATGTGCCCGTGTAGATGTATCATAACGAGCATGAATAGATCTTATGAGTGATTTCCAGGAGTTCGGAGTTAAAATGTCGCTGGTCAGAATTTAGCTATGCAGTGGGTCGGTATTAATGCAGCATCTATTCCGAGTTACTCCAGTACCTCGGAATAGATGTAGTGGGTCGGAATAGATGCAGTAGATCGGCATAGCATCCACTGATCCCTGCCCTCATACAGTTGATGAAGTTGAATTGATTGTATCCATCTAGGTGGCGACAATTCAAATATGGATTACAATATATATTTAAAGTGACATGCGCGGCCGTTTTTATTTTTATCAAGGTAGTATGTAACTAAGTCACCATGAAGTGTTCTGTGTCAGCATACATTGAATTATGGTCGTCCATGCCCAACAATCATCAAAACTTACTTTTCGAGTGGCATACGGTAGCTCTTCTTAAAGTAGTAGGGTAACTATGACTCGACTCCAATCCTCGTTGGAAGGAGATGCCCATAAGATTCTGCTACATACTGCAGCCCTAACCATCGATACTCTCCAGCCACAGCCTAAAGGTATGATCTGGGCCAGAAATCGACGCACTCATATCATAAGTAGAGTCAACCATCATGAAAAAACTATCTGGTACACTCGTGCTTGGAAATGCATCGTTGGTAGATGCTTCTGCACAATGCTGCTCTGTTGCATTGGAGAGAATTGCCAATGTCGATCTGCGGTATTCCGAGGACTCAATATTTTGTCAAGCACCCGTTGCAGCACTTTCCGGCCCTTCTCACAGAGATCTTTGTCGCCAAACATTGGATCCAAGTCATTAAGCTTCTCAGCGAAGACAGCTAAGTCTTGGATTGTCTTGCTCCGAGGCAGAAGCGGATCATTTGGGTACAACGGCAGCCGTTCCTGCTCTAGGAGTTCGGATGCTAGTAAAATCGCGCTACGCAGTCCATGTACTGCCAGGAAATATATGAAAGATGTTGCTGCCGCCATCTCAGCACGTTTATATAGTCGCATCACATCACTCAGGATTGTTTGTGCCGTATGTATCAATCCTGCCGGGCCAGTACCAGCTTTGTGCATGAGTACACGGTGCAGTAGCAGTGAGTTCGCCTGCGGGCCTTGGCGAAAGACATGCCGAATGTGTAGGTCAAAGACCGTTTGTGCTTCAAACTCGAATGTGCTTGCCCTTAGGCTCAACAACATGGCTGGGAGATTTGCCCAGTGTTCCTCGGTTTTTCTTTGAATAGCGTCGGCGGTATGCTGTACTTCATCTGGAGTGCAGTTGCCCAAGGATAGCTCAAGGATCTCCTCTCTCCTTACCGTGAAGTTTATGGAAGATCTTATCCAAGAGACATCGCGGATCTCTCCATTTCGGTTATAGCCTTGCTCATCCAGCTCCGTAATGGCAATAGCTAGTTCCTGTGGATCTTCAGAAAACAGCTGAGAGTCTGTTAAATCTAGAGGTGGATCCAAGTCGATGTAACGATGCGATAGTCGGGGTGGACGGCCTAGGAACGTGGCTATGCCGATTTCTGCCATGTAAACCATAGCTCGAAGTCGTTTGCGTAGCTCAGTCAGAAAAAAAGGAATGCGGCTATCGGAGTTGATATTCTGATGAAGACCCATAGCAATGAATGCACTATTGAGCTCAGCACCAAGACAGTACGTTTTATAGCACGTTTCTCCCTTGGTATATCTGGTAATGTTGTAGTGTTCAAACAAGGCACAGATGAAGGTGTCATCTAAAGCGTCGGATTGTCGGCAAAAGTCGAGGCATGCGTCTACAACCTCATTCATGTGGTCTAACAATGATTTGCGCTCCAGGTTGAAGTCCTGGAAAAATGGATCCGATGGTGGCGTTATCAACGCATAAGTCCCCACGTAATTAGCAATCATAGCGATTACACCCCAGCGTATTTGCTTTCCGGTGGCAGAGTAAGCCCATTGTATTGCCGTGGTATTGGCATTAAACACCAGCGGCGTCGCCGTATTATCACACAGTAACTGAGATAGCTGCCGTATGCGTGAGGCGTCCTGACTCGACAATGTCTCGCCATGGACAAGCCATAGTTGCGAAAGCCAGTGCCTAACAATTAGCTCGCCGCAATGGATATGAATACATTCAATCGACTTGAAAAACAACTCAATTCCACGATCGATCATCGCCCTGTTCTGGAAAATGGAAAGGATCCGGCAACCCCTGGCAATTCCTTCGTTTAAAATGGGTTGCTTGTGGACGCTCGTGGCTTGATCCAGGTCGGTAGAAGTCACACCAAATTTCACTAGATCCTCTTTCATGATGGATATATGTGAGGTGAAGCCAAGGAATCCATGTTGTCTAGACGTGGTCTCAGGGTGGCCAGCTATTGGGGGTTCTGAACCCTCACCATGTTCTTGTGTCGAACCGGCGCCGCCGTGGTGCCCTTGCGAAATGTTAAAGACCTCAAAATCACCGCTCATACAAGATTCCTCGACCGCGAAGGTCGGAACGCCATTGTTGAGCCCTGGTGGTGAGAGGTCGCCTTCTGTATCTACTGCAGCAGTTGCCGTCGCGATATTTTCCCGTCGACTCTAGCTAACAAGGCTATGTTAGTGGGATCTACTAGCAGCCAGACCTTCACGCCAGGGTAAGACTAAAAGTGAATTACTGACACGCGTCAGAGGGTTTGGGTGATAGTAGCATCTATCATCACACCGTCTCCTAATACATCGACCACAAGGGATTCTGTGATCGCACGCAACTTTTGACTTTCGGCATGGTTCACAGGACTGCATCTTGCGATTCCGGCGATACTTGTCGATAAGAATTTGATTTGTAGGCTGCATCTGTGTTGCCCGTTTGTTATTTCCCATCTTGACAGGATTCGCAGAAAAGTCACAGGCAGAAAAATTCCGAGTAAGGATGAGATGACTCTGATTGAGGTACTGCAAACTTTGAATCAGATGAAATGCCGATGGTAAACCTCTGGAACGCGAAGCACAGCCAGATTTTATGGATTTTACGGAATGACGGGTAGGTAGAGAGGGAGGTGGCTGCCAACCAAAGAGAGGAGGTCAGGGGATGGAAAAGGAACACCGATTTTGACCATCTGGCTATGAACAAATGCCAAGACGCTAGCGTTTAGGGGAAACTGTTATCTCTAATGTTATTCAGCTGTCAAGATATGTAGGATTGGTATAGACTAGTATGCATATGGACGAATGAGAACTATCGGAATCATACAGAGAAGGTTGATTGATTGAAGAAAGGAAAAGGACTCGAACGAATGGGAAAAGGGGCAGGTTGAGCTGTCCCATGGCGGTGTAACCAGGTATTCAAGTGACCATACCGATGGTCAAGGGTTACCCGCATATTACATACAAATACATAGGAAATCTGGGATGGAAGTGACCAATCCGAGGTCACTGTAATGAATCTCTCCACTTTTCCACGACATCAGCCTTAGACTCATAGCCCAGCTGAGAGGTAGGTACGTGCGCCGGCTGGCGCGGCCCTAGCCACAGTACATACTCGCTTAAAGCACGAGAATCGATTGAGTAGAAGCCAGACGCCGGCCAGTTAGTAGTATAGAGGGTGACCATATGCAAATCCTCGCTGTTGTATGTTTTTCTTTGCCTTCTTTTGTATTCTACTTTTGTTTTGTACTGTGACCCGCAATCTTTCTGGTGAAAAGTCTAGAAAGCGGGGTGATACCAGTGCGCTAGTCAAGCAGGTTAAAAGACCTACTAAATCACTATTTTGTCCAGTGATCTCATAATTTAACACTTCGGGCTAGCAATCACATAGTCAATAGAGCGTTATTGAGTACCTTAACGATCATCCGCCTCAATCACGGTATTCAACTGGAAATACCGGGCGTCCGGCTAGAGCCATCCAACCCGTACCCTCCAAGCACCCTACATACTCGCATTCTATTTCGTTGCCTTTAAGTACAGTCGTTTCTACCCACAAACAGACCTTGCCAGAGCTCATTTCCCCACCGGGTCCGTAAGCACGCATGAAACGGTGCCGCAGGTCAACGTGCCCTTTGTTACGGCGCCCAATAGTCTCCATATGCCTCAAGTCTTTGAAGTAGAAGAGCTGCACCTTCTTATTGTAGTCCAAGGCGGGCAAGTCTGACTCTCGAAATATACCGCTCTCTGGGTCATAGCAGAGTCTGCTGTCGAGGATGCCAGAACTTTCATCAGCGGACAGTAGATCTTTCATCCATCGTTCGACTGACTGGTCGAAATTTCTGAACCAGAATTCATTCTCCGCGTCTGAAACATCCGAATGGTCTTGGCCCTCCACGACGAAACAGATGTTGTCCGGAAGATTTGCCAGGAATAGGCGTCCGGCTCTGATCGGGAGCTCATCGTGGGTATCGTGGGGTGAGCGGCGTGCAACGATATCTTTTTCAATATGTGTCGCAAAGTTATCATCCTGGGAAGCAGACATTCGATGTCGATAACAGCCCCAGTACCCAGACCTTTTCCCCATGCTTGTAGGAGGTCCCAGATGACCGAGACCAGAAGACTTGGGTTGATTGGTCCCATACTGAGTACGTGTTGTACTTGGCATCATGATCTCTCTCCACATCCCTGCATATGGCGATAGCTGTGTCCAGAAATCGGTGACTACATCGCTAGTCCACCAGTTGAGATATTCCGTTCGCGTCTTCCAATAGCCGAGCCATATGAAAGTTTTTCCTTGCTTGGAGACTGCACATCCGTCTTGGAGCAGGCGATCGATATGGCTCGCATGGTTGGCGATTAGATCATCAAATTTTGCTTGACAGGCCTTTTGTTCGTGCGTTGGCTGCCCAAGAGGATACTGAAGCCCGAAGATGGAGTATACAAAAGGCTCAATAGACGAAAGTTGAACACTCCACATACTGATCTTTGCTATATGATCTCGACAAAAGAAGAATCCGGTATGATCGTTACTTCTCGTAGAAGATTGAACATGGGCTATGGTGCTTAAGTAGTGAGTGGTATGACCATACACTGGCTCTGATAAAATGCGGAATCAATCATTCCGCGGACGAGAGGAGAAGACCCCCTATCAAGCAAGGGTAACCTGAACTCATGAACTCATTGTATCTGAAGTTGGCCCAGGGTGTGGGTTTCCGGTGATTATGATTGGCGGGCTGTGTGGAATCCACCAAACCTTATCTTTGCGGAGGCTATTCACTCCGCAGATTTTGGGCTGCATGGTAGCTTTTGCGGAGGTTATTCCCTCCGCAGATGCGGAGTCATAGCTGCTAGATTGCAAATGACCTTTGACTAATTTCCCAATCACGTATTATCATTCGTGACGCATAACATGCAAGAAGATAAGCTCCTTTCGCCAGCGGAGCCTTTCCTTCCGCACCTTATCGTGGGAGCCCTTCGAACTTCTGGGGAAGTGGGGTATAAAATGCAGGACAGGCAGTCAGTTTTTTTGACATCAACTGAAACAGTCAATCTCACTCATTTGAACAACGCCCTACATTCTTCTTGAAAATGGATCAAACCATGAGCAACAAAAAAGTTCGTGTGGCTGTCACTCAGTCTGAGCCAGCATGGCTGGACCTCGCTGCAGGTGTCAAGAAGACATGCGAGTTAATTGAAGAAGCTGGAAAGCAAGGCGCAAGCCTGATTGCTTTCCCCGAATGTTGGATTCCAGGTTATCCCTGCTGGATCTGGTATGCAATGTCCACGTTGCATGTGTACTAGTATCATCCATGTTTACTAACTAGTTACTTTCGTCAGGTCTCGCCTTCTAGACGTTGGGCTAAATATTACCTACGTCAAGAACTCCCTGCGTCTCGATTCTGTTGAAATGAAAGCGATACAGAATGCAGCAAAAGCTCATTCTATCGCTGTCTCGTTAGGATTCTCTGAGAATGACAACAATTCCGTCTATATCGCACAAGTGATGATTGGCCCAGATGGACTAATCAAGTCACACCGTCGAAAGATGAAGCCTACACACATGGAGCGTACCATATTTGGTGATGCATCGGGAGAGTGCTTTGCAAGCGTATCGCAACTCCCGTTTGGGCGAGTTGGTGCTCTCTCATGCTGGGAGCATATCCAGCCGTTACTGAAGTACCACACATTCTCGCAGAATGAGGACATTCATGTTTCTGCCTGGCCAAGCCTGACTCCTCACACTGGTGGCTCAGACTTGTGGTCAATGTCGGCAGAAGGTATGTTGTCTCGTCTTCATTTCTCGATAGACTAGTCCAGCGCTAATTGCTACACATAGGTTGCCAAAACTTGTCGCGCACTTATGCAATTGAGGCACAAAGTTTTGTCCTCCATTGCACAGCTCTGATAACGGAGAAAGGAATTGATCAGATGAAAACGTCTGGTGGAGCGCTGATGTCTTTCCCCGGGGGTGGGAGCTCCGCGGTATTTGGACCTGACGGGAGGCTGTTGACTGAGCCCGTGGAAAGTACGACTGAAGCAATCATTTATGCGGATCTTGACATGGACCAAATTATTGGCACCAAGCTCTTCGCAGACGCAACCGGTCATTATAGTCGCCCTGATCTGATGTGGCTGAATGTTTGCAAGGAAGTGAAGAAGACCGTTCGCGATGACACGGATGTGGATCTGGGCAACGTGATCGCGGGTGATTCACCCGGCCACATGTAGTTCCATGTGTATCTAGTTTTCTTTGCAAATTATTCATCCCTTTCATTAAATGACTGAGTACCTGCTTTGGAGCGACTAGCACTCAGAGTTCCAGAATAAATCACCAACTTCGCCAAAATTAGGGAAGAACGACGAAAGACCGAAGTGGTCGTCACCTGATGCAGGTAGATCCATAATAGAAAGATCATATTGCTGCTCTGTGTCATCTGGAAGGCCACTATCGAGTTCTGGGTGAAAGCGAGAAAAGTGAGGAGCATCAAAACTCTGCTGTGCCGTTTGACCAGCGTTCGAAGGACTTGAATCGAAACTCCCCACAAACGGCGGTATATGATCTAATGCGCCGCCATTTCCATCACTGAGATCGAAGTTCTCATCAGGTAGCAACACGTCTTCCACCTTCCAGCGTTGGGCTAATGTTTTGATTGCGTTTATGCTCTTTTGTGATCGAAGCTCCCAATACCGGCCCAGTTCATGTAGTAGTGTCAGACATTTTCTCACTGATCGAGTACTGTAGCGTCGGAATGTAGGTATTTTTGTCGTTGTATTCATCAAATGCACGATGGATGCACTGAGAAGATGATGTATCAGAAGAGGATTTGCATGTTCAAATCCATACCACTTGCAATAGTTTTGCACAAGCTGGATCATGGATGAAGCAGCAGACGTGATAGATTGCAGAACAAGAGGTCTTGCATGTGATACCTGCCCCTCAGTTCGGGCCAGGGCAAACAGTCGAAGGAACGGAGGCATGGTTATCAAAAGGGTCATTTGGTATGCCATATGAAAAAGCAATACAGGCTTTGGAGTAACCCCGCGACCAAGATCGAGCCGCGAATCTCGCAACTTCATGAATCGATTTAGAGTTTCATGCATCGAAATGAGAAGAGCGACTTGATCGGAAACACTGCACTTCTCGAAGGAGGACGAGAATCTAGACGCTGATTAGTCGTTGTCACATCCACAAACTAGAAGCACACGCAAGGCGTACATCTGATCCATATTCTGGTCGTGCATGTACCACAATTTACACTGCCATGCAAAGGAGAGTTCGGTAAGATCTCCCTCTCCTTCAGAGAAAAATGCATCGATCGTAGGCACATTCACGCGACGCCACGGAAGGATACAATTTCTCCCTAGTATGGAGATTGATGTGCGATCAGTCATGTAAAAAGACCAAAAGGCTTGTGCACTGGCTATTGTTGGCTTCAGATGTTGTGATGCAACCTCATCTAAAACCAGAACATGTAGCTTAAGATGCACAGCCAGTCCCGCAGCCATAGAAAGGAATGCCCACCCAATATGATCGTGCCCCAGCGCGAGAGACCGCCATGACAGGATACAGAGACCCTGGATAATGTGGATAGATGGTGCATTCTTGAAGCATGTGAAGACTAAACTCTCACTCAGCTCCGCAAATTGATTGCTCACTTCCAGTGAGTCCGGCTGATGCTCAAATGTCGCTCCAGCTGCTAACATCGCCGAATGGAGGAATAGTAGATCGGCCTGCTCGTCGGGGTAACTGGAGAACGGTTCAGTCGTCTTATAACGCGTGAACTGATGTTCACCGTTTATATGGCGAAGAAAAAGACTAGCGAGATTGTTGACGCGAGTAGAATCGTTCCCGCATTCCGGAATAGCGCGGGTTAGGCTGTACGCCAGGGTCGGTTGAGGATTACCGACAGGAGTAATGTTAGCCTCGTTGTTGATCGCAACACCGTCTGCAAGATTAGTCCGCCACATCATGACACTTAGCTCCTCCATTACTGTTGGAGATTGACTGAATACAGTCTCTTCTCGGATTTGCCTCGCAGGAAAAGCAGGTTGCTGCTGTGTAACGTTGCTGCTTTTTGATCCAACGCCAGAGGATTCATCTAAGAATGCCGTGCTTTGACCTTTTCCAACAGAGACTTCATTGTTCTGGATGGCTAACAGTGTCTGTATTTGGTTTTCGAGGGATTTCACGTAATTCTCGTCCCAGTACTTCCGCCTGGCCGGTCTTAGTATGAATGTAGTGGGACTTCCAATATTAAATAAAAATAACTGATACAACATACTTTCGCTTCTTAGGCTCGGAGACGTAAGTGCATAGCTTGTTGGCCTTGCTGCAGGTTGAACACTGTGGTTTGGCCCCATCACACTATTGGTCAATCAGCGTCCACTCGAAGGGTCCAGGAATACTTTGAATATGAGGGCTAACGCGGCGTTTAGATGATCTGCAGGGTTGGCAGGCAAACGCGCCTGAAACGGACGGTCTTTCTGCCATGCAACTTCAGACAGCGTGCCTTTCGGCTGACAAGATACACTCTACAGGACTCAGCAAGGATGAAAGATAAGAGGTCGAGGGCTGTATGATAAGAGCACCGCAGAGTCACGTGATATATCACAGAGTCATGTGCGATATTATGAAGAACTAGGTGGAGCGGGGTAGGGAACAAGGAAGAAGGTTACTTCTAAGAGGATTATTGAGATTGAGGCTTGGTACATGAGAAGTTGGCAAAGATTGTCGGAACGCAGGGCATTGCGCCAATAGTCCAAGAAGTATTAGTTCAATCTAACGTTCTCTTGAATATATATATGTAGGATAAGACTAATAACACTACGAGAATCTTTTAAATTATTTTCCCAGTAGGTTATGGTTTAATAGACGACTTAAGAGGTCTTACTGAGGGTCTCTGAAAGATAATTGGAAATACCTTTAGAAAGACCGTTACCTAGAAATAGAGAAGGTTAAATCGTATCTAACCCGCTAGGCCTTCTTTCTAGCTCGTATTTCAAAAGTTTGAACTATGACTATACATACATAAGGGCTTACAGTAAACTCCCGTTTTCGGCACTCCCAGGTTAGGCACACATTTTTATTAGGCACCAAAATCTGTAGTTTTCCCATATATAAGAGGCCAACCGGCACACCTTTTTGTCTGGCACACAAAATTCTCTTCAATTTTTGCTTAGTCATATAAACCGACCAATCAGAATGCAGGATTTTTCCCCTTCCAACCCTTCCACCCCTTCTTCGGTCGCTCTTTCAGCTAAACTGGCTATACCAAAACAACCCAACAAAGGCATATCCGATGCTCAGAAAAAAGCATTACGTATCTATGCATCGGAGACACGCCCTAAACCTACTTAGAGAGAATGCGCTGAGTGGTTTTCATCTCAATTTAATCGTTATATCAACCGTGCGACCGTCTCCAAGATTCTTTCATCCAAATACGAGTACCTTGATACTGGTTTAGCTGGTCAGAACAAACGCCCGTTAGCATCTCGGTGGCCTCTATTAGATGAGGCCCTATATATCTGGCAGCAGCGTCACGAGAATGCCGGTTTTCCTATAACAGGCCCATTGATTCAGAGCAAAGCCGTCGAATATTGGAAGAAAATACCCCAGTATAAAGATCTCGACCCGCCACTTTTCTCTGAAGGGTGGCTATCACGGTTCAAACAGCGCCATTCGATCCGATATCATACCTCCTATGGCGAATCTGCATCGGTTCCGGCTTCGATGTATTCCGACATGGAAGCTATTCGGGCTATCTGCGACCAATATCAGCCAAACGATGTCTATAATATGGATGAAACAGGTCTATTCTAGCGTCGAATGCTAAATGGGGGTCTATCGAGTAAGGGTAGTCCTGGTTATAAAAAAGACAAGACCAGGATTACTCTCGCAGTAACGACCAATACTACTGGTTCAGATCGAATGCCTCTATAGTTAATAGGCACTGCGAAGATGCCTCGTGCTCTACGAAAACTCAATATCCCAGCACTTGGATGTATCTGGCGATGGAACAAGAACGCATGGATGCGCGGTAATGTTATGCAAGAATGGTTCCGCTCGTTTTATAGGCATATTGGCACACAAAGACGAGTCGTGCTATTGCTCGATAACTTTAGCGCGTATCTCTCTGCGCTTAAACATGCGCCACCGCCGTCTAATATTAAAGTCGTTTTTTTGCCACCAAACGCGACCTCGGTTTACCAGCCATTAGACCAGGGTATCATCAGAAACCTTAAGCACCATTATCGGAAGAAATGGTTGACATGGATGGTTAATATGATAGACCGCGGCGTCGATCCTACGCAGAGAATGAGCCTCTATTACACACTACATTGGATCACCCAGGCTTGGAGACGTGACGTCCTAGATGAGACTATTCAGAAGTGCTTTATTAAGAGCACGCTTATTAGTCCTAGCACTAATGAGATGAATACGTCTCCGTCTGAGGACCTTTAACTAGGTGATTTATACGCAGAGGTGACCGACCGGCTTCCTGGTACAGAGGTTATGGCATTAGATGAATTTCTAGACCCTCCAGGAGAAAACATCGACGTGGAAGAGCCTGATTTATCTGATATTATCGTTCATTTTTCAGAAGAAAATACAGGTGGGGATAATGGGGTTCAGGATAGCGAGGACGACCAGGACGAATATATATTCGGACCACCGCTGGATATCCTCTCGCGTGTTGAAGCTATTGAATATATGCATAAAGCTCTTCAATTTGCCCAGCACCAAGAGGGAATTACTGAGAGAGATCTACGTGATATAGAGAGGATCGCTCATCTTTTTTCTCGATTCGAGATCAATGGGAGGAAGCAGAGAAGGGTGGATGACTACTTTAGACCAAAAACAGACTAGTTCTTACTAGATGAGGTTTAGCGCGATATTAGTGGCACACTTTCATTAGGCACATCGGAATTCTGTTGCACGGAGGCCCGTGCCGAAAACGGGAGTTTACTGTAATGGAGATTATACAGATATTGAATGCTACTGTACTTGTAAGGTTGGCTTTTAATTAGGCTGTGAGTGCTAGTGTCATAGCATCAAGGGCGTTTCTTGTAGAGTTATGAGTATGATCCTACATACATGGCACCGACCATTTGTTCAAGCAGTTGTGTATTCAGGATGCTTAAGATCTATCGTTTTAGGTCGAACCGCTGTTATCAGCACACGAAAATGCCGACGAGATCTGTCCGTCAGCATAAGCCTGATTAATCTGGACAATAACGCCATAAGTCCCCCCTACAGCCATAAAAGCTCCTAACAAAACAAGCAAGACGTGTGCAGCATACATCGCTTTCCGCAGGACACTGCCCTTCAGGTATTCCCCATGACTATACAGCCAGAGCCATCCCGGAAGACTGATGGCCAGCGGCGCAAAACACAATGCGCCGACCAAGGCCAAAACGTAATTGAAGATAGGAATTGCGCAAGCCAGGATAAACGAGATTGCTGCCATGCCAATGGTACAGCTAAGCCAGGTACCCCAGTGGACCACTGTGTTTGCCTGCAGGTGACGAGAATTGCGCAGGATTCGGACGAAGAGATACTTGGCCGCGACGTGTACGTAGAGACAGCCACTGATGATTAGTCCCGGCAATGCAATTCCATACGCGACGCGTTTGACGGTCGTCCCAGCGCTGCCAAGTGAAGGTGATGCGATCCATTTCCCGCACCATGCATAGATAACCAGGCTGAATGTCAGGTAAGATGCAGTTACTAGGGTCATGCTGAAATAGACGGCTTTCGGGTAGTCCTTGGGTTTGCGCATCTCTGAGATAACGGGTAAGAATGCCGAAGTTGCGGCGCTTGACACGAAGATCGTTGCTGCAGCAGTGATGCCAGTCGTAAAGCTGGGGTTGCCGATGACTCGGTATCCAAAATCATAATCACCTGTCTGTGGTGCAGCTGCAGGGCGATCTCGGGTTGTCACACCAATTCTGGACAAGGGTTAGCTTGGATGCATATCAGGATCAGGGTCTCCGGGGGGTGCATACACAATAATGAACACAGCAATGTAAACACTGGCAAAACCAACCCAGGTCAGCCAGCCGATGTGCGAAAATTTACGCACACTCGCACATCCAGCAATAATGACGGTCGCGATGAAACTGAACCAGACAGTACAGATAGAATGTAAGGAGAGTGCATTGAGAGCAGTTGACACGCCGATAATGCCTGATGCAGCCACAATGATGTAGCTGACTGTAAAAAGAAATCCGACTAGCTCTTTGATTATCGGGCCTCCGACTACCTGGGCCATATCCGCGATGGAGTGGCAACCGGGGTAGCGGTTGCGAAAATTGCCCTGCACAATGGCGCAGTAGGTATTTAGGAGAGTCCATCCAATGACGTTGACAGCGCCGGGAAAGGCCCCAAGCTCGTACATCAAGGATGGAATAGAGAGTACCCCGGTAGCAAAGATGACTGCGTTGAATAATGTGTCAATTGATGCGGTTCGACCTCAGGCGATTCAGGAAGGAGGACGTACTCTTCAAAAAGATAATCCCTGCCCGAATCCAGCTCACAGTACGAAAGTCGATTTGGCCTTCACCTCTTTTAAAGACTTCATCGTGATCTTCAACCTCTGCTTTCTCAGTCTCGATGTTAGGTGCGTCATTGGTGTAGCCAGGGGTCTCCTTGATATCATCGTTCGAGTCCGACATAACGAAGGAAGATGGTGGCTAGCTAGCAGAATCGGGCTAGCTCTTGGAAGAGGAAAATTTAAACATCGACAACGTTGCAGAAGCTGGAAAGGATATATAGGAGAAACACTCGCCAAAAAGGCACTTATCTTATTCGTCCGGCCTGTTCCCGGCAGGGCCTTGTCATCTTTCCCTGTGGTCGGCGTAGGGCAAGGTCTTGGGATTCTGGGGCTGTTAGGGCGTGATAACGAGCCCCCACTTTACCTTTCCCCACGAACTTAATGCTGTCTGATAACAGGGTTAGACGCGGATTGAGTGGATGGGTAGGCGTCTGAAGCTCGTGGAACGTGGGAGTTGGGGTAGGATCCGGTTGAATGACCGGATGGGGTAAGTAATTGGGGTAGCCTTGGCTGGAGCAGGGGTTGAAGGCTGAGAGATGCAGGCGGCTATCAGTGCGATAAGAACAGAAAGTGGCACATCGAGAGTACGTGGATGATAGTGGGAGTGATAAGTTGGAGTAGGGGAGTTGGAGACGTCCCTCCAATAGCTGACGTCTAGATGCTTGAGTTGGAGACAAAGATAAGATAAGAAGCAGTAATCGAGATAAGATGGAAAATAATATTATTCTAGAAGAAACAAATACTAGTAAGAAAGCTATTGCTAATGCTCTCTTCATTTCTTGAGCATTTCCCCAACTGGAGCAGGCATCAGGGCGCCTGGTGGGACTGGGTTCTTCTTTTTGAACTCGTCACACACTTGCTCCATGGTTACAAACTCAACTCCCTTGTGCTTCTTGAAATGTTCAATGAGTCTGCCGCCTTAATATCAGTGCCAAATCTCTCAATAAACACGATCATAACTCACCGCTCATGCATCAAAAGAACGTGTGGCCGTCCTGACACATCCGGATGTATGGTAATCGGAAAGATAAACTCATCGTACTCGCGGTAGAAGTAATCGAAGTGGTCGCGCCAAATATCCTCAACATCACGTGGATTGACGAAGCCATGGCTGTTGGGTGCCTTTTTGATGAACATCATTGGTGGCAAGTCATCGATGTACCAGTTCGAAGGAATTTCTACCAGGCCAGTCTGCGTGCCGTGTTCAAGTGGCTTCATCCAGGTCTCAGCTTTCTGACTATAGTCGATCTTCGTCCAAGAATCACCGGTCCGGAGATAGTACGCCTGACAATCCTCATGGCTCATGCTGTGATCGTATTCAATACCATAGTCTAGGAGGAGTTGGGCGCCTTCTTGGCTAGTCTCCCACCAAGGGGCAACGCTGCCTCGGGGTGGTTTGCCCGCGAACTCGGTCAACATGCGATACGTCTTATCGAGGACGTCCCGCTGCTGTTCAATGGTCATATCTGTTGGGTTCTCGTGTGAGTAGCCATGAAGGCCGATCTCATGTCCTGCATCGCGTACTGCAGCCATATCCTCGGGGAAGGTCTCCAGCGAATGGCCGGGGATAAACCATGTTGTCTTGATGTCGTACTTGTCGAAGAGCTTCAACAATCGCCGAGTGCCAACTGTGCCCGCCCAGACACCTATATCCATGTTAATAAACTGTTTATCCCAGATATGACACGACGCACCTCGGCTAATGTCGTTTGTCGAGTCCTCGCCTCCATAGGAACCAAGCCATCCGGCTACGGCGTCAACATCGACGCCATACGTGATGAGAACTCGCTTTGGGCCCATTTTCTTGTTAATTCAAAGCAATTGTAACATTGAAAGTTGCAAAGGTTGGCTTGGTCGCTTTTTGTATGGAGTCAACACATGCGGGGAAGAAGATAAACCGGAGGAGATAAAGCGCGATAGACGAACCCCTCACTTCGGAGGCGTCGGAGTCGCTGAACCACACACTCAATCGTTCACCGGTCGTACGCTACGGACTTGATTATCCCATAAAACTTGTAATCGCAACAACTGAATTTCTATATCGTTCGTTCAATCTCCGATATTGAGCCCTATCTTCATCCTTGGAAGATAGACCAAGACCTTGTGTGGGTCTACGATTGGAGTCGTTTTGGGGTCATGTTAAACGGTCTTCTTAGCGATGAAGCTACGTGCATGAAGCGATAATGTCAGCGGCCTCCTCTCCTCGGAGATCAACTCGGGCAGTGCCGATGGATTAGAAATCTTTCGTCAAACCTGCTGTCACATAAAAACTTGACAGTATCTGTCTTCAAAGTTGTCAGGGCATAGCCAACACATCATGTCGGTCCTTTTTACTAGTATTTCTGAGTAAGTATCGCTTCCATGTTTGTCGGCAGTCAATCTATATGGTGTTTTTCTAATGTATAGACCTATAGAAATAACCCGGTGAAACCAGGGGACGCAGAGGCTCTCCTTGCACCTCTCGGGCTAACGATAGATTCTTCTGAATCGAGCGATTTTCATACACTATTGGCAGCCGTTCATGACTGCGCTGAAGGTGTGGCCGCTCTTCCAGACTATCAATCTAGTCCCGATCAAACAAAATACCCTCGTGAAAACGTTCGCCGGCCAAGCAAAGAAGAGCAGGTTCTAGGACAAGCTTGGGCGCACAAATTCCTCATCAGAGGAAACAAAGAAGGGGGCATCCTGGAAGGGAAATCCGTCAGTCTCAAGGATGTCATTGCGGTGGCGGGTGTGCCGCAGCTCATGGGCAGCGACATCATCCCATCTTGGACTCCAACCACCGATGCCACGGTAGTGACACGTTTGTTGGAAGCTGGAGCCGATATTCATGGGACGTCGACTTGTGAGAATTGTTGCCATTCGACCTCTTCGTTCACCAGTGCGCAGGGCACGGTCGAAAATCCTCATGCCACTGGGTATTCTGCAGGTGGAAGTACTTCGGGAGGCGCAGCTCTTGTCTCGGCCGGGTTAGTCGATATCACAATTGGAGGTGATCAGGGTGGAAGTATTCGTGTTCCAGCATCTTTTTGCGGTTGTGAGTAACTCTTATCCTCGGTTTCTTATTCCGCGGGCATGTTCACTGACAGTCTCCAGGTGTTGGTCTCAAGCCAACCTACGGCCGCGTTCCATTCACGGGCATCAGCAGTGGCGATTCCATGAACGACCACGCCGGGCCACTGACTCGAAGTGTGTTCGAGGCCGCGGCCTGTCTTGATGTTATCAGTGGTTTTGATGGCATTGATGATCGCTCCCTGGGAAGTGCCAAGCCAGGCTCGACTACTTTTGCAGCAAATCTGACCGAAAGCTCTAAGAGACTGGAGGGGGTGCGAATTGGCGTGTTGAAAGAGGGATTTGAGCATAGCGCTGTCAGTCCAAGTGTCAAGCATTCAGTTTTGACGGCAGTGAAGAACTTCAAAGAACTTGGGGCCACAATAGAGGAGGTATCGCTTCCTGATCACCTACATGGCCCGGCAATTTGGACGATTCAACAACGCATTGCGGGTGCGCAAACTTTGCTGGGACAGAATACCGGGCGAAGGGGTCTTTACACGACAGAGATGGAGCAGGCAAGACTACCATGGACCGACGAAGGATTCCAAAGAGCCTTCCCATCAACAAAGAATGTCATTATCAATGGGCTCTATCTCATGTCTCGCTTCCCGGGTCTATATGGAAAAACAGCGAATATCGGCCGGCAACTGAGTGATAAATATCAAGCACTCTTTGAAAAGTACGATGTGCTGGTGATGCCTACTACTCCAGTTGTCGCTCCTAAAAACGAGAAACGGGGCCTTCCTTTGGAGTCGCTGAAACCTAGTATGGGTTTGACTATCAACACTGCCATCTTCAATGTGACCGGTCATCCAGCTATATCTATTCCTATTGGATTTGCTCCCGCAAAGGAGGATGTGGATGTCATGCTTCCGGTCGGTATGCAGGTTGTTGGAGGATTATGGCAAGAAGAGAAGATCTTACGAGTCGGGCATGCTTGGGAGAGTCACTTTGATTGGAAGAAGATGCATTTCTCAACAAATGAGAACTAAATAGAACAGACAGAGGTGAAATAGAAGGCCTGTTTTCGAGAGATTGAATACACACCTGGTTTTCCTTCTAGGGTACTCGCTTGGAAACAACCATCCTCGCAATTTTGCAAAAAAAACTAATTTGCATCGCTACAGTTTAGAGTATTTTGATTCTGAGATTTTAATTAAACTCCAATATTAAGCTAGGCTCGCCAGACTATTTTACACCGTGATATATCCGCCATCAACCACCATTGCGTGGCCTTGAACAAATGACGCCTGTGTGGAACAAAGGAACAGGACTGCATCAGCTACCTCCTGCGGCTTCCCCATCCTCTTCATTGGGGCAATTTCTGCTGCCGGGGTGATAGCTTCTCGAACTTCGGTCTTTTCCATGATCATTGGGGTCTCGATGACACCCGGGCATACACAGTTCACCCTAATTCCGTCTTTAGAGTAGTCGATCGCATCCGCCCGAGTCATACCAATGACTGCAGACTTTGAAGCACAGTATGCTGCTGGATTGAATGTTAGCTACTAGGCTGTGAGATAACAACCTGGTTATAATACTTACGAGCACTCGGCCGACCAACAATGCCGAGCTGACTGGCAACATTCACAATCGCGCCTCGCTGTGGAGGACGACTAGAATCATGGCTAGGTAATGCACCCTGTCGAACCATCTGTTTCAACTGTGCCCGGGATGATAGCCAACAGCCCCGATAATTGATATTGTTTAGGCGGTCGAATTCCGCAAGACTGGTTTCCGATGACCGTAGAGGCTGACCGAGCACGCCAGCACAATTCACAGCATAGTCCACGCGACCAAAATATTGCACAACTTTGTTGATGAATGAATCGGCGAATTGATCATCGGCCACATTTCCAGAGTGAACTAATAATTGTGTGTGCGGATGGGCTGCGGCGACTGCGTTCTTAGTCTGCTCCAGAGTGGTTTCATTCAGATCCGTGATGGCTATGCGTTCGCATCCCGCAGCTGCGAAGGCCTTTGCAACGGCAGCACCGATTCCTGGATAGCATGAAGAGTGTTAGTAGAATGTGCTCATCATGGTTGCTCCGCATTTGGGATAACCTACCAGTTCCGCCAGCACCGGTGACAACGGCCACGCCGGGGAAGAGTGTTTTAGTGAGCATGGCAGACGTATATTGCTTTGACTGGTGCAACAAGATGTCCAAATATCGAAATTCTCACTTGACAGTCTTCTAATCAACTAGACAGATCTATAGCTTCCCTCGATAGAACTGTGGAGTCTTGATTATCGCAACCTGCTGATAAGCACCGAAAGTGGGGCAGTTGGAGTCACCGCTTGGCCGTTGGAGTAACCCCCGGGCTCTCCGAAGCTGCTCCTCCTCGACTCCTCCCCAAATGCCCACTTTTTCCCTTTCTCCAAAGGACTCGGAGTCACTGATGCCATCCCCATCGCCCCAGAAAGCAGGCCGCGGCGCGAAGGCGCGTATCTGTGTCCATTGCGGCCGGGCCTTTCGTCGTACGGAACATTTGGAGCGCCATGTTCGAACTCGTAAGCCCGCGTGTTGGGGTTGGAGTCATGGACCAGACGACTGATCACATTTGCTAGACACCAAGGAGAAGCCGTTCATCTGTTTCTGTGGGGCGGCTTTTACTAGACGCGATCTATTGAAGCGGCATACACGCATCTCCCACCAAGATGGGCTTTCATCGCCCGATTCTCAATCGGGGTCGATGGCGAAGCCGGCGCTCCAAGCACCCCCGCGCACGGCACCTGCACCCGCAGCGATTCCACCGCAGTATGATGCAGCGGCCCGCCCAGTAGCTTCGATTCCAGGGCCATCGCCCGTACCCCAGTGGCCCGTCACGCAGACTGAACCCTCCCCCTACATGCCTCAAAATCAAGCCGGTGGTATCATGGCTGCAGGAGCCCCTAATCCTAACCCAGTCCCGGGAGAGCATCCGGCTATGCACGATCCCGCTATGCTTCAGGCTGCTCAATTGCTGATCCCGGGCGATTATCAAGCTACTAGTAAGACATTCTCTCTAAATGACAGAGGCCGTCATCATGACTGACGGATTCAGCCATGCCCTATCTTCCAGAGGATCTTAACCACTTTCAAGAATTCACTCATTTCTTGGACTCGATTGGTTTACCAGCAGAGTGGCTTCCTAGCGATGGAGAAGCCAATCAAATACAACCAGACATCAGCCTTGAGGATATACAGAAGCCCGCTCAGTCATCGCAAGAGCAGTCGAGACCTCGACGTAGTCTACGAGAAGAATCCCGGGGAGACTCTCCTTTCCGCTCATGGCTGCCATCAGTCCCCAGAGGTGACCAAAGCTTGGGCGCTCTGTCCGACTCAGGTATGTCGCTGGCGCCTTGAGGGCCCTTTCAGGGATCAGGAATACATCAGGAAGCTGACACTAGCTAGAACCGCCGCAAGCTTCCAAGTCTTCTAGGTTCAACGTTTCAGAGGACCAACGCTTCCGACTGGCAGCAGCCCTGGAAGATTTTCGCAATGTCATTCCTGACTTTACCCTTCCATCTCGCCATACCTTGACTCGATACCTCACTTCCTACTTTGAAGGCTTTCATCCGCATATTCCATTCATACATATTCCTACTTTCCGCTTCAATGAGTGTTCCGCAGAACTTATTCTGGCTATAATGACAATTGGTGCTCAGTATCGATTCGAGCATCGAAACGCAGAAAGACTATTCCACGTCTCCAAGGCTGTCCTTTACGAGAGAATGTCACGAGACTCTCGTCTGGCAGGATACTCAGCGCCCCTTGCTGTCTCCCAGTATTCTGGTGACGGTCAAGTGGCAAGCGGGGCAGCTATCAGCACATCAAGGCAGATGGAAGTGATTCGCTGTCTCCTTGTACTCATGAGCTATGCGACCTGGGAACGAGCTGGACTCGTTCAAGAGGCCTTCCAAATACAGTCCCAACTAGTTCAACACATCCGCGACGCTGGTTTAACCGAGCCATACACTGACCCTCGTGCCACGTCGCAAGACTGGTATGAATGGGCTGACCAGGAGTCCGTGCGACGGACGAAGCTTATATCATTCTGCTTCATTCACATACATAGCGTTGCTTACAATGTCTATCCATCACTTCGGAGTAGCGAAATCCACATGCGTCTACCATGCTCCACGAAGGAATGGACCGCGAACAACGCTGTCGAGTGGGAAGCCGCTCAACGAGACCGAGGGCCTCAGCAGTTGTTCTTCCAGGATGCCTTGACTCTCTTACTTCAGAAGTCACGGTCAACAGTACCCTTGGAACCGATCCCGGCTCCGTTGGGTAACTATATGCTCCTCCATGGTTTGCTGCAGAGAATTCACATTGTCAGCGAACTCTCATTGCCGAACGGAAACCACTCAACCAGCCTGCCGACGGAAGAGCTGAACAAAATAGAGTATGTCGCAGTCACCTTTTAAAACCCGATCTCGATCGTATATGCTAATCATATTCACAGGCGGGCTCTTCGCTCTTGGACTTCTGTCTGGCAACAAGCACCAGAATCAAGTCTGGATCCTCACAACGCTAATGGACCGATTCCTTTCACGTCAAGCGCTCTCTTAGGACTCGCTTACGTACGACTATCACTGAACCTTGGACCGTACCGCCGTCTCGAAACTCGGGAACCAGCAACCATTGCATCTGCCTTATACCGCTCTCCTAAACCAGAGAGAAGCTACCGCCTCATTCCAGCGCTTATATACTCTGCTCACGCACTTAGCATTCCCGTTCGCCTTGGTATCGATCACATTGCCCGGAGTCAAGCCTTTTTCTGGAGTGTGAGACACTCGCTGGCGAGTCTTGAATGCGCTGTGTTGCTCAGCAAGTGGCTATTCACCCTCGCAGAGGCGGCACCAGATCAAGCTTTGAGCGGTGAGTTTCCCTCTCGGACGTCTCCTATGAGATGATATTCTAACAACTCTTTTCTACAGAAAACGAGAGCCGTATCCTCCGCTGGACGCAATGCATCGTTGAGGAAGCGTACTCGTCGATCGACCTTGACGACGAATCGGAAGCTCCGCAAAATCTCGAGCCGGCAGCCTTGGGAATGGCGGTTCTCAGACTATGGGCACGATTGTTTAAACGAAACACTCAGTGGCCTTTTATCAATGTTCTCGGACAAAGTCTGGAGCAGTACATGACGATGATTTAATTCTAATGACAGTTCTGTATCTTACCAGTTTGTACATACTATGACTACATCTGAACATACTTGATAACAATGAAATGTACAGATTCGATGTGGATGTGTTTCGAGTCTCCTCATGGCTACTTCGCTCAGTTTTAACGCAGTAATTATTCTCAGCAATTTGAACGACTACCTAACTTAAGATCAAGGCCCCTTCTTAATCATGGTCCTTGCCTCTAGCGAAACCAAATGAAGTACAAAAAGAGAATGGGTGTGCTTTCCCGTCAAGTCGTGGCTCATCAAAGTGCAACATACACATGAGCGTCACTCAATCCAGCAGGTGTTTCGTTGAAACAGTCCCGGGAGGCTGGGGTGTTGATCCGGTCTGTTCCTTGATTTCGGGGTTTCTCTTCACATTAGGCTTGAGGACTGCCACCTTGCTCGACTGCATTTCTTCCTCCGATGCATCCATTAAGTGAACCTTCGTTGCGAGAGGTTTTTGTGCCTTCCTAGGCAGAGAATTCAATGCACTATCGCTCACTTCGGCACTTTCACGCTCGAAAATATTCCATCTGATCTTCGATTCATTGTCCAGTTGTTTCTTGTCTGCTCGAGTGTTGCCGGGAGTCCGTGAAGAAGAAACGTTCGAAGAAGTGCGTGTCGCTGTCGTTGGGGCATCGTTTTCAGCGATGTTCTTTGTCATCCCAGCCAGATCGGGATCAGCGAGTCTATCGTCGTCTGACAAGTCAATCAAAAGCCTCGCCTCGGGCTCCTCGGTAGATGCACGGGAGTTTGGTGGAGCTGGTAGACCAAGGAGGTTTGAATGGGCTGATCGGGTCATAGTCGGGACGCAGCTACATGAGTGGACATGTGCTTGTGCACATTTGTACCCTGAGCACTGTTTGCCGCAGCAAGGTTGTGCGTGCTGGCATGGCTGGGTGCAAATGACGTTTGAGTGAGAGATCCTGGAGTTTTGAAGATGTCAATGTCTGATTTGAATTGGTGATTAGGGACAACTTGACAGTGGTAGGCTTACGGATGGCACATGTGTGGACATTCGTGTTTACACTCAAGGGTTGCTCCACATTTCTCCCCGCAACCCCCATTGGTTTTGTGCCAGTCACTGACGGCTAGTACGCGCCGCGAGAAATGGTGGTTAGTGTTGTTCGCAAGTATCTTGTGGCGCGGTGAAGATTTTAAGAGACCGCGAGGAAGACTAGTAAACTCACATTCCATGGCTATCACCTTGCCGTGTTGGCAAGTCACAGGGATTCCATACCCGATTCGAGATTCTCCCCGTTCACCCACTTTCATGATGGATGTAACTTGTCGCCAGAGTTCACTTTTTGCGTTCAAATGCCGGGCATTGCCGAAGATATAAAGTCCACGCCTCGCCCGAGACAGAGCGACACATACTCTGTTATCGACAGCAAGAAAGCCAATTCCAGCTGATAGGTAGTCACTACTGCGCACCAACGAGAGAATAATAATGTCGTTCTCTTCGCCTTGGTAAGAGTCAACCGTGATCACTGTGGGATCGTGACATCTGGTGTTCTCATTGTCCATCAACATCTTAAGGATTTTCTTCCGCTGGCCATTATAAAAAGTCAAAATGGTAATCTTCCGGCTTGGAACCCCATTCGAACACAAATAGCAGTAGAATTCAAAGACCATGAGAGCCTCAATCTCGTTGACCTTTGACGTAAGACTATCGTCAACTTCAGGCCAATTGTGAGTGCAGAAGAATGATCGGACATCTCCCATCCCTGGAACAGGTTCAAACTTGGCAACGGATTCATGGTCTTGAAGATCGTCATATATCGGGTTCAGAAGTCGCCTGATTTCAGGAACCATTCGTCGCTGCTCCTTCAACATCACAAAGGGAAAGTCATTCTGAACAAGACGCTCAAACATCGACACATCCAGGTAGTATGGACTACCTTCCAGATCATGCACAGCACAGCGGCCTTGGAGCTGCTTATGATCACCCACGAGAATCAGGTGTTGAAGAGATTCAAAGCAAGCAACGGCAACAGGTGCCTCTATCGCCTCGGCAGCCTCTTCAATCATGACCAGACGAGGGTTCAAGGCAGAGACCAGGCCACGATACTTGCTGAGCCCGGTAGTCGTCATTCCGATTAGCTTGGCGGTCTTCAAGATAGTCTCGTCGCACTCCAGTTTCCCAATCTGGAGAGCCTTGCTATTAAACATGTAGAGCTTCAACTTCTCCCGAAGCTCATCGCGGATAGTTTTGACGAGTCTCCTGTGCAACTCGTTGTAAACAGCACCACGGTGCTCGCGTGGTATCTCCCATAGATCCCGAAACTTGAGATATTTTTCAATGACCACAGTCGGAACGTGCTTGAAACTGCGAACAAGGACAGGGAAACTTGTGCGGAAGTCAAACGTTTTGCCCCACAAGCATTCCCAGTCATCAGCATCCGGTGCTTGCTCCGCTTCCAACTCCATGAGCATCTCGTAATCTTGATGACATTCGTCAATCTTAGAGCTGGTTTGCTTATCGGAGCAAAAGTCTTCAAATCTCACAGCTTGATCTCCGAGCCAGGCAATGAAAGGGTCGATGGGACCCTCCATAGAAGAAGTCACCCATTGGTTGCTGCCTTCTTCCAGATTCTTGAGCTGCTCTTGGGTCAGCAGACCACGATGGACAAATGCACTGCCACTTTTATCACCAATCTGCCGATGAAATCCCTTGAGTGTGTTCTCGATGATATCGGTCACCAATGCGGCGTGACGTTGCCGAGCTTGTGACAGGATGCCATTTTGCAAGCTGATATGAGGTCGATTTTCCTTGATGGCAAAGAGAGTTCGAGAAGAGACCCTGAAGTTTCTGCTTCTGCCTCCGAGACGAATGTAGTTTGGCTCGAACTCCGCGATGAGGGTGAGCAGCTGATCCAAGGCATGGTTGGTATGTGTGGCGACAATGATGGGAGGATCGCCCTGGTTCATCTGGGCTAGGAGGAGTCGCAGAACGGTGACAGAAACAAACGTCTTGCCCGTCCCGGGTGGACCTTGCACGATTGCCAACTCTTTTGACAACATGTGCTCCATCGCAGATCGCTGGTAGATATTCAAGTGTTCCAGCGGAGCCTTTGATAGTTCTGTGATGACATTGCAGGGTAGTTTTTGTTGAGAGTCGCCCTGCGCAAAAGCTTGGAAATCCATGGCCGGCTCCGATGCAATGTACTCCGGTACGCCAGTCTCTGTCTCTAAACCACAAATGTGTCTGCTCAAAGGGAAGCTACCGACAATTAGATTTTGTGCAAGTCATCAAGGAGATATCTTCACTTACCCTTCCCTCGACAGCTTTTGCAGAGCAGTCATGGTGTGTCTGTGTGCTTCATAATATCCTGACCGAGATTCAACCATAACCCACTCCTTGAGAGGATCAAAATCCATATTCTCTGCATGGGCGAAGAAAAGATCAACCTCCGGAGGATTTTTTGAGACACCTTCAAGCGGTCGTGCTGCCACAACTGCGATCACACATATGCTCGAAAACATGTCAGTCGCCGGCGACAACGCAACGATATTCCCGCTAATAAGACGAGGCGAGTAGCGCCAGAGGATTCTTTTGCCAGCACGCCTGGTGGAGAAGCAAACTCGAAAGGCCATTCCTCGATGGGCCATGGTGATGTGGGTGAAAAAGACCTATTTCCCAAGAATTTATATTCAGCCGCCATAGAGTATTTAAGAGTAGTATCTTACCCGCTCATAGATAACAAAAGACCTGCTGTCCGTTACCCCCGGACGTTCACGAACAACGGCAACCGCATCACGTAGATTCGCGACGGCATCCTCGCGAAGGAGGTTGTAATGGGTTCTGAGATAAACCTCGGCGGAGGGCCATGGACCGTGGATTTTATTTGTAGCGAGGTTGAATTCTTCGCCCGGGTGATCCGTTCCCATTATTTCATTGACTTTCGGCAGCTCTGTCTTTCTCTGCCATTCAGCGAGGGGGGTATTCCTTGGCCCATCGTGGAAGTACTGGCGGATAGCCAGGTTGGCCGAGGGCAACGATGTACCTCCCCGTCCACGAGGTCGAGAAGACACACTCATACTAACTAGGCTGAGAATGAGTTGGATAGTATAGGATTTTTATTCTAGAATATGGGCCGGGAAAAGAGTGGTATTTAGAGGCGTGGGAGGTTTTGCATGATGAGGGAAAGGAAGACAACAAGCGGGTTCTGGCAGGCGTAAAGCAGTATGGAAACCGCTCCTACTAAAGTATCCAAGCGCAGTTGGAGTGCTCTATCTCTGAGACTGCATCATTAAGCTGGAGCTTATTATTGCGACCATGCATCAATGATATCGCTGACTATTTGAACGGGAATAGGCCAAGATAGCACAACTGGCCAGATTCAGACCTTAGTTCCCATGTGAAACTGATAAGTAATTCAGCCAAACTTAGACTTAAATAAAGCTGAGAGGGGTCTCACTACTGACAGTATACCACAGTCATTTATGTACACTTTAAATGTATGTTCACAATGACTTTTTTAGAGAAGCTGAAGGCAGCGCTGGTCGAACTATGAACTCAGATGCTGATTGGCCAGCGAGCCATCCGCCGATCGTTGGAATTGTCTCCGAACGCCTTTCCGCTTTCCACAGCCCTCACTTCCTCCTCTTCGCTCTGCAGCCTAGCTACGACGAGCTCCTAGCCATTGACTGCGCCGCTGCCTGGCGCATACTAGATATATTCCAGAATTGAGTGTTGAAATTGCGCTACCAGAAGCCTGCGACGGAAAAAGTCACACTTTCGGTCGCACCACTCTACCCCAGAGTCAGCGAGCGGCCCGCGTGCTTGAATAGCTCTTTTCCAACACTTCCTGCATTTGACCGGTATTGAAGGTGGGCCATTACATTGCTCTGCGTTACTCTACAGCCATGGCATCGCTTGAGGAGGATGAGGACCGCGACCTGGCAGGTAAGTCGCAACTTCCGCTGCAGACACCCCTTCCCCGCAAACCACGCGCAAAAGCCGCTAATGCGCCTTCTTTGTCTAGGCTCCCAGGACGGCAGCTCCGACAATGAGATGGAAGATGCTATGCGTGACATGGATGACGGGGAAGGAGACAACGAGCCGGATGCCGATGCCGATGCCGACCAAGATCAGGACCAGGACCAGGACCAGGACCAGGACCAAGAACCAGACAGCCCTTCAAATGCCAGCCAGGCTTCAGATGGTGCGGGTTTAGCTTCTCAGCCCAACCAAGATACCACCAACATGACGTCCCCCGGAAATGCAGAGAACTCCACGCTGGAGTCATTCTCCATTTACCATCCAAGCGTTCGCCCGGAGTGCCTTACAGCCAAAACCTACGACATTGTCCCTACCACGGCCGCGCCTCATAGTACTTCCATCAACGCCGTGACCGCGACGGCAGACATGCGCTGGGTATTTAGTGGAGGCTCTGATGGATACGTGCGCAAGTTCAACTGGGCAGATTCAATCAACAGTAAGCTTATGTTGACGGTTGCGCAACGCCATCCTTTTGTGGATAGCGTAGTGAAAGCTGGAGTCTACATGACTTACTGGGAAAACATGGACGGAAACAATCTATCGCCGGTCTATTCTTTGGCATGTCAAAGCGAAGGCATGTGGCTGCTTGCGGGCCTGGAGTCTGGGACAATCCGATTACAGACCCTTCGCCACGACGAAAGCAAGGACATAGCGCTACTTCGACAACATACATCGGCCGTCTCATCGTTAAGCCTGACATCCGATGAGCAATCTCTGTTGTCGGGAAGCTGGGATAAACGGGTCTTCGATTGGGACTTGAATACTGGGCAGGCCCGCCGCGCATTTGGGGGAAGTGCTGGTCAGATCTCTACTGTGCAAATTCGACCAGAATCTTCCCTGCCCATTCCATCCGATACGATTGATTTCTCGCAAACAAACGGTACCTACTCGTCCAATTATGAAGCGAGCGGTACAGATAACTTTAATGCCATGGACACCACTCAAGATGCTGGAGAAGCAGGCGCCCCTGAGAACCCGCAGGCGGGTTCCCCGACAGATTCCTTGTTTGGAGGCGCAGATTCTCTATTTGGAGATGCAGATGGTGGGGCAGCAGATGGCAACGAACCGTCTGGAGGTGTATTTGGAGTCGACGAAGATGACGAGTTTGGCCGTGCCCTTGCAAATGGCGTTCTGGCCGATGCTGGCGCGCCTAGCGAAATGGATACCAACATGCCTCAGGCTGATTCCGCGTCACAGATGCAGGCCGCACCCACAGATACAAACGCCAACCCCGATGCATCCAATGTGACACAAGATCCGACGAGCAATATTCCGCCCGTCGCGTCTGAACCCTTGGTCAACGGCCTTCCAAAGGCCGAGGACTTGGAAGCACAGTCATCCGGCTATGATATCTCGCAGGCTATGCAGACAGAGCAGACGCCTGGATCTGACACTACATTCTTGGCTGCATCTATGGACGGTACAATTCGGGTATGGGATCGACGACAGCCCGATCCAGTGGCTCGAATCACCCCTCGCAATGTTCCACCCTGGTGTATGAATGCATGCTGGTCTCCAGATGGAAACTATATATATGCGGGACGAAGAAACGGCACGGTGGAGGAATACAGCCTCCATAAAGGCCTCAGGGAATCTGAACGAACCTTCAAGTTTCCGCAGGGAAGCGGCCCCGTCACATCTCTCAAGGCTATGCCGAATGGCCGCCATCTCGTCTGGTAAGTTTTGGTCTGTACTTTTATGATGACGACCATTCTAACTCAATACAGTGCATCCCACGACATCCTGCGACTCTACGACCTGAGACACGAGCAATCTTCCCGACACTCAACCGTGCCGTTCTTGATTATTCCGGGCCACCGTACCGGAACTATCTCCCAGCTTTATGTGGACAATGCCTGTCGCTACATGATCTCCACTAGTGGAAACCGTGGCTGGGAGGGGAATAGCACTGAGGTTCTCCTGGGATATGAAATTAGTGTTCCGCAATGACCTAGGCTAGCTAACCCTTTCGACGCTGGCAATGTTTGACCTCGGTATCGTCCACGACTTGTACGATCTTCGAGTATTTGAATAATAAACTATTTTTGTGATGGGTCGACTGTCTCGGCCAAATATCAAAGAAAACAAATCCAATTGAAGTGACTAATGTGCATGCGGTTGTTTAAACCTAAGATGATATCTCAAATGATAATGCATAAACCCAACGCCATAATCCAGACTGGTATCGCCTATGTACAAGTAAACCTCCGTTGCTTCAAACCCCAAGTAATCCCAAGTAAATCATTACTCATGAGAGAAATCGTCGTCAAAGTCTAGCCCTTCACAGACTTCATGTTGCTGTGCTCGCCAGGCTCCAAAGAGCGGGTTTCCGGCCCATTTAACCTGGCCATCACGATCGTTCTCGAAATATACATATCCTGGCAAATCGCCAGTCTGATCAAAGTTGGTCGGCCCAATCACAAGATTGCCAAATCCAGGGAGATCAGCATTAGGCACGTGGGTGCGAGTCTGGACTCGTCCACCATCGACATTGTTGACCGTGATCAAGTAGACAGGTGGCAAGTTATCGTCGCGGTCTGGACGGAGAGACATGGGAGTCCAGGCCTCATTGGCGTAGGACTCTGGGCGATTCCAATCATGTAGGAGTGGAAGTGGCTGGGATAAGATGACTTGATCCAATTTTTCTGTGTCCATAATCAAGCCTGGAGACTGAAGATATAGTACACTATCATACTGCATGAACTGGTCCTGTCCGAGACGCAGCAATTTCGTGTCAGACATTGTGTATCCAGCGTGTAGGGCGACGCTGATATCGATTGGTAGCAGCCAGATACCGTATTTGATACTGGCAGCGCGTAAGATGGACAAGGCTAGCGAGCCAGCTTTCCCAAGGCTCTTTGCAGACATGCGATCCCACTCTTCGGGATACATGAACAAGCGGTCCGGGATAACGGAGCCATTCGTGGCGAGTTGTTTGAAGAAAAGAACGGCGGAACAGATATCAGAGGGATCGGGCCTCGACAATAACTGTAGGTATGCATAATTCCCCTTTGAGCCCGACCCACGACCCCGACTTCCTTGAAGCACCTCTTGATCGCCCGTTGGCCCCAGATCCGAGTCTGATAGACCGCGTTTGTGCGCAGGCTTCTGGAATGTCGATCCAGGCGACCCGCGCCCTACGATAGGCGGACTATCAGGGGGCTTGCGCAGTGCATGTTGAATATTCTTCACCGAGTTTTGCTGTAACACGTAGCCCGAGACAAATAGTAAAAAGGTAAAGATGCAGACTACTCCCATCGACACGATTGCGGAGACCGTCGAGGATGTGAGGAGCACCATGGTCGCGGGATGGCAGGCGACATGGAAGGAATGGAATGGATGGATGAAATTGGAATGTCAACCATGCATGACGGCCCGTAGACTCTCTTTTCGGTGTCACAGGCAGCCTTGATCCCTGGATGTTTGAGTGTTTCATGACATCAGCCTTGTTTACGGGGTTGGCCGCGCGACTATCGATAAGCCCACCGCCGAGACCTGGGAAAGTCTTGGCACTCGGGCTTTTCAACTTCGCTTTCGCCCTCCACCCGCCTAAAGCTACTGTGACTGCGGCTACGACTGCACGCGACCTACGCTATGGCCACTCATCGTGCTGATGCCAGTAATTTCCTGGATAACCGGGGATACTCCGGTCCTCTGGTGCGCGGTGTCAACCCAGTCACCCTTTTCGAGAAGGCCGTTCGCGATCGCATTACAGACTCCTACTACTGGAAAGAACAATGTTTCGGATTGAACGCAGCAACTCTGTGTGATCGTGCGGTCGAATTGAGCTTTGTCGGTGGTACATACGGTGTCTCCGAAAAGCCTTCGCCTTTCCTCTGCCTCGCCTTCAAGCTCCTCCAGCTCAACCCCAGCCGAGACATCATCCTCGAATACCTGAACTTCTCCGACCCCGGCAGTGATGACGAGGGCGACAACCCAGATGACGCCGTCCTCAAGGCGCGCGGAGACTTCAAGTACCTCCGTATTCTGGCTGCTTTCTACGTTCGACTCACCTTCAGTGCGGTCGACGTGTACAAAACACTGGAGCCGTTGCTCCTCGACTACCGGAAAATTAAGCGCCGGGTTCGCGACGCATATACCCTGACCTACGTCGACCAATTCGTCGACGATCTCCTTACAAAGGACCGTGTGTGTGGTACGAGTCTGTGGAAGTTGCCCCCACGGCAACAACTGGAGGATCTAGAGATGCTGGACGAGCGGATAAGCCCACTTGCGGACGAGCTGGAGGAACTTGACCGGGATAGCAATGACGGTGAAGAGGATGAAGATCGCAATCGCAGTGATAATGAATCTGCCGGCAGGAGGGATGAAGGCGAGGATTGAAAGAAACAAGGGAAATGCTTATGCCCAACTTGTTGCCCCACCCGCCGGCCTTCCCACTGCTGGCCGAAACTGGCCACGGCCCCAACTATCCACGCGCACCTATACACCACGAATGGGCGCTCACAGCCTGTCAAAATCCACCAATGGGCGTATACCACAGTCGGTGCATCCCATCGAGAGGCGTCCCATCCTTGAGGTATTTCCAGCTGTCATAGGGACTGCTGCTAGAATCACTCGCCAGGCTCATAGGAGTTGATCGCGCAAAATTTCACAACCATACTTGCCAGGAATATTTCCCTGCAATTCTTGTCAAGGAGATACATGTGAAGTATTGAGATGTGGCTGGTCCAGTGTCATTGAACTTGATGAATAAAATGCTAAGACATTCCGATAACTGAACATGGACAAAATTAAAAACAGTCATTTCTAAAAACCTTGCTTGCGGTGCCACTTCTCCTCCCACCCTTTGAACCAGGGGCTATCATCCAACGTAGCAACTTGCCAATCCTTGGGAACAAGTCCCTTCTCCTCTTGCTCCTTTGCCCACTCTTCCAGCTTGGGTAGGATAACATGTTGAACGTGCCACACTCCCTTGTAATCCATCAAGTTCTTCTTCCCTTCCTTCAGCACCGTGGAAACCAGTGCCGGCACCCCAGGTTCATCACGGAACTCCGTAATAGGAGTGAATAATGCCTTGAAGTTGAACACAACGGACGCCGACAGAGGTAGACGACGAAGAGTCTGCCAGTCCACCCGTAGAGTGCAATCTTTCAAATGCAGATCTGGGTCTTGCAACTTCCGGAGAGCCTCGTGGGGGTCTCCTGGTGGCATGTACAGGGGCTGGCCGACTTCAAACCCCCATGAACCCCGTTGAATGGGTTTTTCAGTTGGCATTTTCGTGAAGAAGCTATACAGTCACATATAGAAGATTAGCCAATCAATAGGGTAACATGAGCTACTGAGTATAGCTAAACATACCGATCCATTGAAAACTGCATCTTCTCCTTGTAATCCGGAATCGGTTCATGAATTTGGTGCAACTGCTTCCCAATCTTCGAGCCAACATTCCATCCAAGCGCAGAGCAAATCACAGCTGCTCGAAGGAAATAATATCCAGTTTGATCATCCCGCAGCATGAGGGCAAAGTCTTCGGGCACGTTGTCGAGAAGGACTTCAAGTGGAGGTTTAGCACGAATATCCTGCTCCGTGCCAAGAATGTGGTTTTGCAAGGTACGTTTGTCGACTAGAGTGAAGTGCTGGGGATATCTTGCACAGATGAATTGAATGACCATTTCCATGAGCTCCTTACAGGCTAGCTCTGAGCCTGGAAGTGCATCCAGAACCGCCTTGCCGTTCTGAGCGAAGAGTTCTTTGCGCTGGGCAATGCGGTCCTTATAGCTGCTTTCGAGCTCAATCCACCAGTCGGTTTCCAGTTTAGTCAATGCTATTTAGATTAGATGGGTTGTCAGGGGATGCTTCGACATAGTTTAGATAGTGCTTCACATACACATAGTCTGATGGTAAGACCACCTGAACGGCCTGTATGGTCTAGGCTTTGCTTTCTCAATATCGTGTTCCGGATATGGGCTGGGCAAGGGGACTCCGCTGAGTGTTGCATAATCGGGGAAGTCTCCTAGGGCTTTGATATCGTCTATCGAGAATCCAGTCGGAGTGTAAAGGTTGCCTGGGCTAGTCTTATAGTCGGCAGTCATGGGCAAGACATTCTGGCGCATTTCGGTCTCGTCGACTTCCCGCCAGCGTATAGCTTTCTCCTGTAATTGTAGGAGGGCTTCCCTACGCTGGGGTGGCAGGGCATGATTGTACCTCGCAGGGGATGTGGCGCTATTGGGCTGGGCTTTCTCTGGGGAGAAGGATCGCGGTGGGGTTTTGGCTGTTGAATCTCGTCGGCCACGTAGGGATACTCTGTTTAGAAGGGACTTTGTGGATGATCGATATAGAATCAAGTAGACGGCGGTGGCGGCTACTAGGATCATGCCGATCCTCCAGGCGCTTTCGGAGCTGTTGATGACATCCATGGCTGGTTATACTATGCGCATTAGGGCAAAGAGGGTCAATGAGTAGGCTGGTGTCGGTATAAAATGGCTGGTATGATTTACCATTCACATCGAATTGATGAGAGGGTGTTGGAGATCAGAGGCTTATAGGTAGTAGACGAGGGTGTAGAGGACCACGGACCAAAGGAATGATGTTCATTAAGTAGTCCCAGTATTTACGATCAAAGAGCCCTGAAAGTTGCAGTGTGGTACTCAAAGCGGGATCAACGAAGCGGGGAAGCTCCTAGATTACAAGATACACGCATCGAATAGCTGCTTTGGTTGGTCGTGGTCCCTCGATTCGTCCTTCCGTGTTTGGCGAGAATACGCAGGGCTTAAGACTCAACTATGACGACGTCAATTTGATTTGGCAATAGTTGGTGCGGATTAATCTTTGTACTAATGTCCTTATCGAGACTTGTCATAATGATTTCCTCCTTTGGCACCGGCAAAGTGGAGGCTGTCACTTGGACTAATCCACATTACTCATACGACTTACTTCGGACCTAGCTTTATTAGGGACAGTATTTGAGGGGTTAATCTCGTAGCATTGAAATCAAGAACTGGGGAGTACGTAGGATAAGAAATAGAAAGATAAGAATATCTGGACTGGATGTACTAATTGGGAAGACTGGCTCGGCTATTCCCAAAACGGAAAAAATGTCCAGAATCTTGGCAGCAGCAGCAACCTTGGACATGACATGATCAATAGCATATCGCAGTGTTTGATGGCTAGTTCGGATGAGCTTGGAAGAAGTGTTGAGACAAAATGAAGAATAATGAGATAAACTTACAATAAGCATTTTTCCAAATTGTTGGTGTCCTCGAGACTTCAAATGACCCAGCCTGTTTGCTCAGTCATCAGGCTCGTGAACAGCAGTTAAAGGTCGTCCATATTGTCGCTAGACTCACTCAAATGTGCCCCCTGCCTCGCAAATGAGTGATTTGCACTCTGGCTGGTCTAAAATTGCCCCCATGAAGTACAAGGGCTCGTAAAAAGGCTCGATGGGGCCTCCAATGGGTTTATCGATTTCGTATATAACCTTGATTGATTCGATAATACGCGGCCCCCCATCATCATGACCTCCGAGCACAAAGAAGGCAGAACGTGGGAAACCCCCACCTTCGATCTATCTTCCTAGGCAATTAGGAGAGAACAAAGGGGAAAGAGCCCAGCAGGGCCTAAAGCGGCCGACAAGCAGGCGGCAGACGCTGGTCCTCGAAATCTCCAGTGGGAAGGATCTGCTAAACAGGAGGGGAACATCTGTCCAAGAATTATCATTCGAGTATCTTAGAAACTTAGCCTAAATTAAGGTTTTCCGTGGCCATTCTAGCCATTCATGCCAAGCCGGCCCTAAGTGCTGGGTAACTGATTCTATCAGGAACTGGCCACCATCTTGAAACATCCAATTGTTACGACTTGGGTGAATAAGTGCGCCGTAATATGCCAGAATCACCAAAGCTTCTTCTTGATGTGATGCTACCAGATCCACATAACTAGTGGATATCATCACTGGCCACGCCACCAAAGCACCCAAGCGTTCATTCTCGGAGTCGAGTGCCGTCATCACCGCCTGTAGAGCTTGAATGGTTTGGCGATACACCTTGAGCCTAGCTTCGCTTTTTTCAGAGCCTTGGACGCGTTGGTATAAAGTCTCGCACACCGGTCCAAACTCAGAATCCATGGGTGGAAGCCGTTCACTGAATGCCAAAAATGGCTTTAAGTTCGATTGCCGTAAGTACTCCCACCGTCCCTCGGCTGTGATTGTACGTATTCCTTGATGGAGTCGAAGGTACTGCACAAAGCGGTCGAGGAAGCTCTCGAAATTACCTTCTCGAAAGACGAGAGTCTCGCAGAGCAAATGAAGTCCCAGGACTGCAGCAAAAAGGAACATTGGGATGCAAGTATCTTGGTCGAAGCCTGGTGATAGGCTGTTAAAGTTGTTCAAGGCATGACTTTGAAGTTGAGTCGCATGATGCCGATAGTAGTCTCGACGATCTGGCTTCACAATGCTGAGATTCAAAGCACTTATAGCCAACAGCATATTGAGCATGTAAGGTGCTTCAAGGCCGGTTTTTAGCATGTCAGGGAAAGACATGCTAGACGATACCTCGCGGGCATTGACCCAATTAGCGCTTTCCAGAAATAGATTGTGGAGAAGCTCTACATGAAGCAGATTGACTGGAGCATCTTGCACAAAGCCACCCGGGGCTGATGTCGGCTGTTGCGCGGGTGAACTGGTAGCGGGAGAAGCAGAAGCAAATTCATGGCTGGTGCTGGGTGAAGCTCGTGCCGAGGAGACTGTAGGAGCAGGTCCGACGAACTGGCACTGTCGTTCAGAAGCAACGCAATTGGAGCAGATAGGCCGGCGCTCGTCGCACTAATCAAGTCAGCAAGACTGGAACAGTGACTATCGAAACAAGTGGCCATCATACCTTCACGTGACGGCGTTTGCATTCAACGCAGCCATTGCGAGACTTCTTATGTGTCCTGCGTGGCATGTCGGCTGTACGCGGATACCCAACCCCCAGAGGATTCGGCGTCGCGAGACACAAGTCATGTACTCGTCCGAGCGCAAATTTTGCAGCCTATTTTCGCATCACTCGCCCCTTTAGCTTCTGCAACCCTTTCAGCGGACGATCCACCAGAAGATCTGGCTCCGTGATGCTCAAGTGGGCTGGGGTCGTCATACGCGTATGCACAGACCATGTGGTGGCCCACAACTCAATATTTCCATTAAACAAGAATTGCCTCAGCCAATCAAGCCTCGCTAAATTATATGCTGCGGAAACGGCAATCAAAACGTACGAAGACTGGGCTTGATTTTAGGCTCTAGGGTTAAACATAGCCATACTAACTTTAAATGCAACTCCACTAAGTATGAAACAAATATTCTAGTCAGAATACCCCTTTCATTGTTTTCCTTAACAAGTTTAATACATTCAGTGTTCACAAATGGCCCCAAAATTGTGACACTATAGCTCAACATCAATTTACATATTCGATACGAGACCATTATTTCTTTGCCGGTCTGCCACCATACCGGAATACTGTACTTATGAAAAATGAGGGTCCTAATTGGCATACAAATGCCAAGCTGGTGCTGTGGGCCCTATTCTAAATCCAGAGGACCCACCCTTTCTATACGCGTATAGAGACACTCCACCAAACGAGATACGGCGACATTGGCGAATTTTTACAGGGGTTGAAGATTTTGAAGAGATATTTTAAATTAAGCTATACGGGGCAAAATTCTGTTGCCTCCAAACTCAATACATAAGTAATGGACTGTGGCCGCTTGAACGTAGGAGCAACATTTCCCGACTGTCATATTATCTGAGCCCCTTGTCGACGACCTTACACATACATTGAATTTTGACAATGGCTGTTCTCGAGCCTTACAAGGGTGGCTATTATCTCTGGAAGTACATACCGTCTCTTGCGGCGGCGGTCATATTTTTGTTACTTTTTATTGCTGTGACGGTATATCATTCATGGAAGCTCTACAAAACAAAAGCACGCTTCTGCATTGCGTTCGTCATTGGTGGAATATGTATGCGTTGCCATCTTTCAAACCTTTTACTTCCATGCTAACTTCCTGCCCTCTAGTTGAGATTATTGGATACATTGCTAGAGCAGCCGCCCACAACAAGACAGGGTCGCTTATGCCCTACTCCATACAGAGCGTATTCTTGCTCCTTGGACCAACACTATTTGCGGCATCCGTCTACATGGCTCTGGGCCGAATCATCCGCTGCGTACGTGCAGAGAAATATTCTCTGATTCGAATCAACTGGCTCACCAAGGTCTTTGTCATGGGTGACGTCCTCTCATTTTTGGTGCAAGGTGGAGCCTCCGGCTTAATGGTATCGGGCAACAATGCAAAACTGGGCTCCAACATTGTTGTGGCCGGTCTCGTCATTCAAGTTCTCATGTTCTGCTTCTTCATTGTCACCTCGGTGGCATTCCAAGTTCGCATGAATCGATGCCCGACTCCCGAGTCTTTTGATGAGCGGTTCAAGTGGAAGAGCCATCTTCGAGTGCTCCATGCCATCAGCTTGTTGATCTTAGTTCGAAGCCTTTTCCGTGTTGTTGAATATGTGCAGGGCAATGATGGATATTCATTGACGCATGAGTGGACTCTCTATGTGTTTGACTCCACGTTGATGTTTGCGGTTATGCTTATTTGGGCAATTTGGTACCCCGGGGACCTACAAGGATTCCTCAAACAGAACCTGCCCCTCACCAGTCTAGGGAGCTTTGGTCGGGATGTGGAGTCTAGACAGGACTATAATACTTAACTCCGCAGCTAGTCTCCACAGTTTCGGGCGAGTGGACAATTCTTTCATTGGGAGGTTGAGAAAAGGGATAGACATCCATTGCCACTATATATCATCCTATCACCCCTCAATCCTCTAGATCTCCACAGTAACATTCAAAGCAAGATTCGTGCATCCCATTGGCACAGTAATCCAAGCTGCCTCGGCGTCCGAATGATCGCTATAGTTATAGGCACCATTAAAAGACATGATCTGCCCAACAGTAGTTCCAAACTTCTCTGCCAGATCCTTGTAGACACCATATGTAAAGTGGAAAGGAGTAATAGTGCAGGTACTCGGCACGCATTGGCGAACTTTGATGAACGTCCCAGCGGGGATCTCCTCCGTCGCAGACGAAATCCCCGCTTCGCTAGCTTCACTCATAACAGTATCCACAGTAACATTCAATTTGTACAAGGCAATCTTCTCAACAGTATCTCCGGCAATTGTCTTGTAGTCATGCGGTCCACCTTTCACACATGTTGCGGTTGCGTTCTGTCTAGTCAGGAGACAAGTGCTGCTGTCTGGATTGCAGACTTGGCCTGGGATGAGCAGTGTGAATCCTGCAAAGAGATGTTCCGCATCGATCATACGGTTGGCCCGGGCAATGTCGCAAGCACCACGGTCGAACTTTTTCGCAATGCTGAAAATTGTATCATGCGACGTAGTTGTGTAGGTGAATGTGGTACTGTTCAACGAGGATGAATCACAGGCACCCCGAGAGGTGTGAGGGACAGCGAAAGCAGTAGTGGCAAGGCCAACTACCATTGAGTAAAAATGAAATCTCATGATGCTTATGAGAAAGGAAGAAGGAACTCGGAATGTTAGGTTTGTCTTTCTGTTTGCTTGTATTTGGATAATCCTTGCGGCGCAGTACCTGATTTTATATACTCCAGTATTCAAAATTGTGCATGATCGAGAAAGGGAATAAATTCCGAGACTTGTGCTTAGTTTCTTCGTGGTTTGAGATCTGCGACGAGTACGTAGTAGTGGACATCGAATCCATGCGAGCTGCATAAAACTATAGTAATCACCCCTGCTCATCGTAAGAGCACATAAACATGTGGAGTAAATGCGGGGAGCGCCATCAAAATCAGAATAAACTCCGATTGAATAAAGAGATTGGGCAAAACGACCGAGGCTAGTCATATCAAACAAGGCGAGTAACGGCTTTCCACGGAGTAGCTCTGAAATGTTCCTGCATCCATCGCATAGCAACTCCAAACGTTGGCGGTATATACCAGCCCAAAAAACGAGCTCTCAAAAACACGCTCTACTATGAAAATCAAATTCAAGTATCAAAATCCAATGTAAGGAGTCTACGCCAGGGCTTTGCTCGTCTCGACAGAAGCAGTATTGTGGAGGTCATTCAGACTGAAACTCGAAGCATGATGTCGATCATCATTATATTCGGGGAGATCTCGGCGCAAGCAATTCTCTCAACAATTGACGGATAAGATTTATTGCGCGTCTTCCTTCCCAGCGGCGAGGTGAAGGCCATTGCCATCCTTTGTAGAGCATCTCTCATACTAGCTGGGGTCATAGCGCGAGCCAAGGAAGTAGTCAAGGTACTGTTTTCACGTAGGAGAGTTTCAAGAAAGCCACAAACTGAGTATGCGAGTCATAGGTATAGAGTAGGGTGGAATCCAAGCACTCGGGTTATTTCTTGGCGCATGGTTGGCGGCTCGGAGTCGGTGCTTGATACCCGATTCGGTAACGAATACGGCGATGACCTGACGATGCAGAGTCTGCTTCGGAAAACGTGCCGTAGGCGTGAATTGTTTCTCGGAGATTGGTGCGGGGAATAATGAATTGAGTTGAGCAGTAGTTTTGTTCGGATTGTTTTAGTTCATCGTTATCGATGTCGTGGTAAACGATACGCGTAAGTCAATGGTGATACAAATCTGGAGAAATCCCTTGTAGGAAAATGCACAAGGAATAGAGATCTACTATAGAAACCGCGGGTCTTTTTTCTCGCGTCGTCTCTCTACTGAAACTCGTAGTTTGAGCATGACATAATTATATCATATTCATAGCTATTCCAACTCATTCATTACATCACGACGTAAAAATAATTAACATCGTATCCCATTACCCGTTCACCACCATTCCATCCACTTGTATTAAAGCTTATCAAGCTTAAGCGTTGTGGGTAGCCTGCTCCTCAACCTGCTCAGAAGCAATGTGCTTCTCGCCCTTGAGGTCCTCAATGGTCTCCACACCAGCCAGGCCAAGGCTCTCGTAGATGCGCTCCATACGCTGGCGATCCGCCTCGGCAATACCGTCCTTCTCGCCGCCGAAGAAGATGTCCAGCTCCTCCAGAGTCTTGTCCTTGGTCTCGGGGGCGAACTTCCAGATGAAAAGGCCACCCAGACCGCTGAAAATAGCGAAGAAAATGTAGGTTCCGTACTTCATGGAGTTCAGCATATCCTTGGTAGTAAGACCGATAACGAAGTTGAACATCCAGTTGGTGGAGGCAACGATGGCGACACCGCGGGAACGCTGGCTGTTGGGGAAGATCTCCTGGGTAAGCACCCATGCGACGGGACCTGTAAAAAGATAAACAAGTTAGAGCTTTGTTGGTAAAAGAAGGCGTGGAGGCGTAGATTATACATACCCCAAGAGTAGGCAAAATTAACGGCAAACAGCCAGATAAAAACGATGGCAACCCAGCCTTGTCCCACGGCAAGACCCTCGTTTAAGTCCCACTTGGGCTTGAAGATACCCTCGACAGTGGCCACGACGATGTGACAACAGAACATACCGATGGCACCGACGATGAGGAAAGTCTTACGGCCGAACTTGTCCAGGTATAAGACAGCAGGGAGAGTGAAGACAATCTGCAAGATACCAGTCACACCGGTAGCCAGGAGAGTCTGCTTAGTGGAAGAGAAACCGAAACTACTGAAGATCTGAGGAGCATAGTAGAGGACGGCGTTGATACCGGTGAACTGCTGGCAAATCATGGTACCGCAGCCGAGCACCAGACGCTTGAACATGTTGGGGGCGAACAGAGCCTTCCATGGGGCGAGAGCACCGCCGGAACCGACCATCTGGCGCTCAGTCTCCTCGTCGAACATAACGGCGGCCTTGATCTCAAGGAACTCAGCCTGCAGCAGGGGGTCGTGGGGTGCGAGACGGCGGAGCTTGGAAAGCGAGGCACGGGCTTCCTCCTCGCGGTGCTTCATCATCAACCAACGAGGAGAGAAGGGGAAGAAGAACATGCCGAAGAACAGGATCCATGCAGGGATAATCTGCAGAGCCAAAGGAAGACGCCAGGCGATAGTCTTCTGACCGAGGCAAGTGTGACCGTGATTCTGGGCGGAGTTGTAGCTTCCATCGGCAAGGTAAGGGTTGGAAATGCCCTCGGGGTTGCAAGTGTTGCCACCGACAAACTGCATGCCGTAGTCGAGCCAGAAGGAAATGGCAGTACCGACAGTGATAGACAGTTGCTGGAGAGAGACGAGGGAACCACGCAGCTCGGGAGGAGCAATCTCAGCCTGGTAGAGAGGAATGACCATACTGAACATGCCAATACCCACACCACCGATGATACGACCGGCAAAGAAGTAGGCGGGAGTCTGGGCACCAGACTGCAGACCAGTACCAAGGGTGAAGATGACGACGGCAACCATCATAGCGTACTTTCGGGAGATACGGTCAGCGAGGACACCGTTGATCAGAGCACCAGCCCAGGCACCGAGCTCCAAAGCAGCCACCAGCCAACCCTGAATAGTCGATCCATCGAAGTAAGGGAAGTGGTTCTTGAAGTTCTCCATGACAAGAATAGGGCCCATGACACCCTGATCGTAACCGTACATGATACAACCCAGGGAAGCGAACAGACAGGTCGAGAAGACATAAGGGTTCTGAATCATACCCACGATACCATGGGCCTTCTCCGCGTTGGCACGGCCAACGACAGACTGACTAACCGCCATCGTTGCGAGAGAATGATGGAGGAGAGCAAAATAGAGGCGAAAGAGACAACAGAGACGTGATCAGCGAGCCTGGAAGTTCTGCGACATGGGCAGATCAGCTAGATTATATAGCTGTACGGAGTAGATCCTCTCATGACAGTCAATTTTTCTTTTTTTTTTTTTCATTTTCTCTTTTTTTCTCCTCCTTTTTCCAAATCCTCTGCGCGGGGATTAGCGCCGTCCTGACAGAGACTTGCCCCGGATCAGGGAGTGTCCTCCGTGGCATGCACATGCATGGCATCCAATTACATCGCTGACGATGCCCTTGGAGGGGAACCCTGAGCCAACGGAATTGTTTAGTGCCAGTCCAGACTAACCACACGCTAGAGATGTTGTTGGCTAGACTCGGGGGCGAACATCAACTCGGCAATGGTTTATCCCGGGTATGTAGGCGAAACAGAAAACATATCAAAGTTCACGGACGCTAGCGAGCGCCACCAAGCTTTGGTGGCCGAGAAAGAAGCACTCTTGTCCCAGGATTCGGCGTTAACTTGGCGCATGGGCGCCGTGAATCATTGTGAACAAGCCTTGGGTCCAAGAAGCGCCACCATTGGCTGGTTCATTGGTATTCTGGTTCTGCGCTTGTCAGCATAATCCTTGTTTTCCCCCATGTCCCCCTCATTATTCGGGGGGGGAGCTCTTGTGTCTTCGAGAGTTATGCCTAGTGCTGACGGACAGGGTGCGGGTTGTGAGACCCCAGAAACCCTATTCCCCCCGCTTGGCCGATATTAGGCCGATGCCAGATTATGCGTGGGATCGGGGTAGCATCTGTACCCGTCATGAACGATAGATTACGTCGTGTTGATCGGAAGGATGCGTGTTTATGGGCATCGTACTGAAAATAGTACTGAAAATAGCCTCATGAGAGAAAAAGATTTTTGAGCCGTGTCATGGCCTCGCTGTCCTTGTGACGGGAAGAAAAAAAAAAGTCTGACCTTCCAAGTGGATTCATCCACGCTGGTGTTAGTCACTGGCGGCGACCAGAGAGGGGAGGGCAACGTGAGTATAGCGGAGACCGGAGATTATCGATTAGCCTCATTGGGAATGCCCTAGGTCGAAAAGGTCAGATGAGATCCTCAATCTAGGCCATTATTCAGATTCGAACAGCCATAGTGTTCTCTGACTCGTACGATACTTCCGAAGGGAAAAGGGTACGCAGTACAGAGAGGGTAGCATTCTGGAACGCCCGACAGCCACGAGGCGTGGTGCTCCCGCAAAGGGACCCATAGCGTGCCATGGAAGGAGGGAATTCCGGCCTATAGTCTTAGCCGTCACACCATACAAGCACTGTATCAGCGGAAAGCCGTGCGAGAGAGTTTCGGCATCTAGTAAGCGGACAAAAAGTTCGGTCTGGTGCCAAGCCCTTCGGGGAGCCGATGCTTTGCGTGGGGACGCGCGGCTCGACCACTGTTGGTCCCATGGGGTGCTAAAGCGTTGGAGTCTGGAGAATCAACCATCTTTCGCAGCACCATACCAGTTCCAGATGCCCGGTGAAAAGCACGAATGGATAGGTCGGGGAAGACAAATCTGGGGTCTTCGAACCGGTAGGTTTGAGAGTGTCTGGCCCCCCTTTGTCCAATGCCCAGACCCTAGGGGCGGAGATGAGATGCATACTAGGGTGGTGCCGTCCTTTTTGGGGGGCCTTTTTTGTCTGGCAAACGTCGTACTATCGTCGTACTCGTCTTACTCTCGGCCAACCGACGACGTCCACCTGCCGGCTGATCCGGCGACTTGCACCTGCAATGGCCACTCAGCGACCAGTCAACGTGACGATTGGGCTGACTCGTTCAGCGCCCTCAAACGACGCTTGTCCGTATGGGGCTGGTCTGTGGGACACACAGCCAATAACAGCCGCAAGATTCTCCCGCCCCTGGTACGGGTCTAGCCGAAGATGAACCGAAAGATCATTAGCCAGCCACCAGAAGGCATCAGGAGGAACAAAAGAAGGCACCACTGTTCGATCCAATTCCCGGTTTGAGTCGTTGCAGTGGCTTAGGCCTCTTGTCTTTCTGGTCTGATCGGAATTCGAAGACCCAAGGAACACCGTCCCTCGCTTAGAGAGGCAGCAATGATGATTGCTGACTGGACTCTTTTGTGCTTAGTTTCACTCTCGCTACGCGCCCACAAGTGCGGGGAATAATCGGCTGGGGCCGAAAGGTGAAAGAGAGTGTGGAAATAGTAATAATCCAAGTGGGAAGTAGAGGAAAAAATGGAAAAGGTATGTTCCGAACATCTCCTACTAAAGTCGAGTCTGGAGTACAGAAGTGGGTATTTAGGATCACAAACTTAACAAGTCTAATAAAATATCTGTGCTTCTCTCAAAAAGCCTGTGGTGTCTCGCAAAAGTCCTATCAAAGTCAAAATAGCATCTTGATAAAGGAGGGAGAGACCAAAGCAACCGGGATGGGGATTGCCAAGAGATCGAGATGGAACTCTACCGGCGTGGCGTTGTAACTAATGCTTATGTCAGAGGCCAAAGACCTCCTGCGGTAACTACCTAAGCTCTAGGATATGGTATCTTCAGGACTTGCTACAGTAATTTCGAGAACACACCGAGTCCTGAAAAGGGATCCCGAGGAATGAGGGGAATTGCGATACAACCCAGCCTGCATGGGACAGTGGTGTGGCATCATTTGACTTTGTGGCCTAAAAACACTAATGACAAGGTGCTTCTAGAAGGTCTGCGTGTGTCCAAAGCGTGGTGTGTGTCCGTAAATGCTGATTCTTGATAGCGAAGGTAACTACCGCCAGCCCTCGGCTCATGCTTTCTACGGGCAGGACCAGATCTAAATTTCGTACATCATACAAACTTGACTTGATGGTGACTGAGTCTCTATCTAAGATTGTGTAAGATTATTCCATCCCATCCCAAGCTGAAAAGGACCCCTCGGAAAATAGAGTTATTCGGCCCCCTTCTTTGAGAACGGCCGGTCGCCCGCAATCATCCATGTCGCACTATATTTGTGACACACACTAGGAGTTCTAAGAAGATGACTGGACAATTTTGGGAATGATCTTCGGTCCTAGATCATCCTCAGAGATTATTGCTTCTCCACCTTTTCCAAAGCTCATTGCAGCAGTTGGAAAAACCATGGGCAAAACCACCACCAAGGCGAGCTTATTTACCTATAGCTATTTAAATAGTCCGAAATCAGATGCGACCAATAGTCTAAATACTATTTGAGCCTTACTCGTAAGGAAAATTGTACCATGTCTGGCCTATGTCATCCTTTCTGTAGAAGTTGGATATGAAAATAGACTACGCGCACAGCACTTGAGCAGCACCATCATCTGTCACAGTCCAGCGACGAATATAATATAAAGACAACTTATTATTATTATTTTGAGAATATCAAGGCTGTATTTAGGAAGAGAAGGAGGGATAGCGAGAAACAAGAGGAGGAATATAGATTCAAGTGGTGCCTCGTAAAGTCGGCACGAGTATCCATCCCATCCATGAGCAGATGAGCCTCCACTCTATTCAAGCTGCTCACAGGTCGACAAGACTTCAAGTCAGTAGCTTGCTCACCGACTGGAAAATATGCGGAAAAATTTTTTGTGAATTATGAGAATCATGATTGCCAACTAAACTACAGACCTGCGACGTTTGAAGCCTTAATTAGATGATATATTTAGTAGCCCAGTTTGTGTGAACCCTCTCAGGTTCAGCTTCGACTCAAGTGTCTTCATTCTGACTTCAAGGAAATCTTTATGTCTCCGCTGATAAAGAAATGCAAAACAAAGACAGATCTCTGAACGAGAATGTTTGAAACAAGGAAATACTGACAATTGCATTATTCCCTTTGTCATTGTTCTCATTGTTCACTATGCCCCGATTTAGCGCTTCGAAAATCAAGCACATTGTTCGAATCTACATAAATACCTGGCCTACTGTCTACTATTATTCTACCCTCATCATCTATCTTCGCCTTCACAGGTAAGTTCAAGATCAACTCCAGCTCTCGTCACTCATCAACTGTCCCTCTCTACATTGGATCAGATTATCTAAAGTCTCATTCTTCATGCATCATATCACCAGGCTCCTACAGCCGCTTTGGCCCGGCCACCAGACAGCCGAACAATCGCACCCTCAAGCTTCATTTGGTATGTTGCCTTGCGAATTGGTTCTGGGGATTACAGACCACTTAGATGTTAAATCTCTCAGCAGCTTGTCCCGCACCTGCAAAGGACTAAACTCGCTACTCGATTCGGAACTTACAAAGCGAGCTTCTCAATATGCACTCGCCCCTAGAAGCCACTACGCGACAAGCTTCGTATATGACGACGATCAACAACACGGGGTAGACTTTCCCTCTTTCAAAGTCCATTGGGGCTCAACGTTCGGTCGGAGTACGGCATATTCTCGCAGGTCTATCCCTCCTGTCTTTACCCCAACAGATCTCGAACCCTTTGGCCAGGCTATTTATCGGGGTAACTTTGCTGCTGTGCGAAATCTTCTCGAGCGGGGTGTGAATCCCAACTCGTATCTCGTGAATGGTGCAAGAATGCTCAGTGTAGCTGTGGAGTGGGGGAACATCGAGATCGTCAAGATGCTCCTGAAATTTGGCGCTCATCCCTGTTGGAAAGACCCCGGACTACGTACGTCACCTCTAGACCGAGCTGCTCGCAGAGGGGAAGTAGGCGTGTTGCATACCATGTTATTGACTGACTGCGAGGTAGGTTCATGTTTCACCCTCCATGATATCGTTTTCTATCGAAAGGAAGTTGTCGAGCGTCTCGTTCCGCTAATGGATAAAAGCAGATTCAACCTCACGAATGTCGGAGGGCAAACCGCCCTACAGGTGGCTATGAAAGAAGGATATATTGACACAGCAATGTATCTGATCAGAACTCCAGAGATTGACCTTGATTTTCAGGATCTGCAGGGGTGGACTGCCCTACATTTTGCACTCCATCGTCATACCTTGGTCCAGGCTCTTCTTGAAGCTGGGGCTGCGATCAATATTACCTTGCCACGCGGTGGCCAAAACGCATTGCATATTGCGCTGAAAACCGTGGCTGCATCTGAATTGCCACCTATACTTCGTGAACTTCTTCGACGTGGTGCTGATGTCAATAGGAACTCCTCTTATGGGACTCCCATGCATTGTGCTGTCCGAACTAGGGCTAGATCTCTTGTGAAAATCCTTCTCTATGAGAGCCCAACTCCGCCAGACTTGACAATCAGAGATAGCTATGGACAGACACCTATTGACTCGGCATTTCACATTGGGTATCACGAAATCGGTCGTATGCTCACGGAGTATCAAGAGGACCTGTTACGGTAAGCGTAGTCATATGGCTGGAGTTTCGATCAATCATTTCCTAGAAGCAATCTAAGACTTTACCCAATATCAATTCTATATCTTATTACTTAGACAGTCACTTAGGATAAATCTTTTGTGGACCCAAGTAACTAGAAGAGAAAATCCAAATTTCAGGTCGTCGATGACGAGACAATTTGAGAGATAATGTTAATGTTCACGTTTCCCACCATTTACTATAGGCTCACCGAGGTAGTGTTCTAATTTTGTCGGTCTAATTGTTCTTGAAATGGAAATTTTTACAGTAAGAATATAGGGACCTGTGAAAACGATGCCGAAAATGACGGCCTCTGGCGCCAGAAACGGCCGCCTTTCCACCTGTAACTTTGGACAGCGAGCCGCCGCTTGACCGCCCGCTGCCCTGTACCCGTCCCCCTATTCTGCACCCGACTAGCACCGTTAGTCATCCACCTCACATCCCGTTGTTGACGCTCGACTTCAACGACTGTTCCCCTAGTTTCCACTGGCGACCAAAACGACGCCGAAATTGGAATCCTAGAACTCTCATGGAATTTGATTGAGCCAATCCATCTTTGTTTTCTTTATTTGGAACAAACAAAGGGAGCTTTATCTTTATCAATTAATCGCTCAATTGAGAGTCGGGAGTGGCGGCATTTATCCATGGTTCATAGTTCTTGACAGGCACGCTAGTTCAGAGCTTCCCCTTCCTCGTGGATACTTTCCTCCTGCAACCTCTCTCAATCTGAGTCCGCCACACTTCCACTTCTTCATATCTCCAGTACTCAACTTGTTCTGTCAAGAATCATCAGTGGTCGCTGTTAGATTACGGAACATGTTGACTGGTAGCTCTACGCCACACCCTATGATCCAGTCGCCTCTGTTCTGATCCTATTCAAAACGAAGTTCATATGGAGCGGAAAGCCAGGGTTGGGGCCTCTCGTTCTCGCCTCTCGCCTCACGCCTATGCATATCAGATAATATTCTGATGGAGGTCACAAATATGCCACCGACAACAGCAGCCACAAACCTCGACCTTCTTCCGGAAGAGCTACTGCTTCTGATATCCCAATATCTCTTTCCGGTGGATTCCACTTGCTTGGCACTTTGCAGCCATCGCCTCTTCACTTTACTGTTTGGGGATATTTTGTACATGCCATTTCCTCAAGAGGGCCTCGGAAGTCCAGCGGAGCGAATCGATCTGTTGAACTAGACTCTCTCGACACTTGCCAGAATACTATATCTGCTATGCTTGCATGCGATTACACCTCTGGCGACATGTCAACTTACCATGTCCGGATCTCAGACTCAGGAAGTGCTACGATGACTTACCCTGGGATAAAGGGAAGGGCCTGTGCCTCTCACTTTTTCGGATTCAATACCCTACTTTCTCAACCTATACATTTTATTGGTTACACCTTTATCTTACAATGCGGCGGTACTACCTAGGTCCTTCATTTGGTATTCCGTCAGAGTCACTATTATACACTAAGGTGACAATAGGTAGCCTTCGCTCGGCTTATCACTCCCAGGAACATATATCAGAAATAAATTTGTATCCTGGCAGAAAGACCTGCCTTCGATCCGTTGAGGCACGAGTTTGCCCGATATCCCCCCCCCCCCCCCCCGAGCCTCTGTCTACGCATACAGGAACTTGCGATAACTAGTCGACAAATTGCATCATGTGTTTTTCCTAGGAATATTCCTATCGAAGTCTGCCGGCATATTGGGACTCACTTTTCTAAGTCTAATTTTATTAAAATAATCAACGCGGTCTTCGAAGCCTATCGCCGACAAGGACAGATTTCTGCCGGACTCTCGAACCATGGGAGATGCCATGAATGCAATACAGCTTGGAGTTTGGACTTACGAGAATTGGAGGTTAACGACGTATGTCTTACTCTTACACGCTGGAAGGACCTAGGGCCAGGACTAAGCCCAGATGATCCTCGGTGGAGAATTCATCTTCCGTTAGGTCCCTATGTGTCGCCAGTGGACACAAATGATCCGCGGATACGATTCGAGATGCATGCAAATGATCCTCAGGGTTTATTAGTCGATGAGATGTTAGCTCGGAATTCGGCGCTTCTACAAGGTCGGCGTTATCGACGTATCATGAAGCAATGGGAGCCTGGGCGGTGGATCCTACAGGACCATGAAGACGAGGCCAAGCGCTCCCATTCGCAATGTGTTGTGATCTAAGTTCTTGAGCTTGCTTAATGATATCCACCCTATATTTAGGCTTGGACGTTGTTGGAAATTGAATTTAAGAATTTGACCTCAGGTTATGTGCTCTCGGCGTACTATATAGCATATGTGACCGACAGGTCCTCTAGGCTATCCCTACACTGAAACCAGGCACTGTATCTCTCTCGTCCTCCTGATCACAGGGTCTTTCAAACTTACCCGCGTATTGGATCTTTACCTAAGCTTCGTAAACTCAATGAAATCGATGGATACACTGGGAGTCGGTAACGGCCATGATTGTGCCTTCCCATTTCGTCGTGATCCCCAATCCTGGCTGTTTTCTCACCACTTTATCCCCTCCTCATCCTTCTCTTCTCTTCTTCTCTTCTTCTCTTCTTCTCTTCTTCTCTTCTTCTCTTCTTCTCTTCTTCTCTTCTTCTCTTCTTCTCTTCTTCTCTTCTTCTCTTCTTCTCTTCTTCTCTTCTTCTCTTCTTCTCTTCTTCTCTTCTTCTCTTCTCTTCTTTGCGCGCTGTCGCCATTCTTGTCCTGCTCGTTGAAGAGTGTTTGCAGCATTGGATGATGACGATCGCATCATTTCGGAACCGACGAAGACCAGGAAACTGCTTCGATGATTAGCCCTCAATGCGATCTCGTCGTTTAAGCGTACCGGGAGCTTTGTCGACATTCTCGGGAATTTCGGAGAGATCAATTCCATCATCTTCTATTGTATCGTCATAGAATTCACCCAGGCCGTAGAAGGCTCTGGCCCCAAGGCATAGCAGTTCTCATCTACCCAGAGACGTTTTCGGGGGCTCGGGGCATCGTCCGGCTTCGTCAGATCTGGATCTGAAGTAGCATCGCCCTGATCACCCGAGTCGCTAGTGGTGGTCACGCACACAGACGCTTCCCAGCTTCGATTCCGTCGGGGTCGACAGCGCTTCATCGTTAATATCAGGGGAAGACAACGGACGGCAACAAACCGGAGGAAGGAGGAATCGAGACCACGAAACCACTATACGGTCAGGCGGCTGACAGCGCAATGATAGACGGATGATCAACTAGGTTGTGAGGGAAACTCACCCAAGGTCGAGGGAGCAGGAAGGACGGAAGGAGGAGAACCAAGAATATGGAGGAAAGGCCCTTTGGTAGACGAGAAGAGATATGCTTGCGATGAAGGGTGCAGATCTTCTTCGTGTCTCTCATCTTTGAACAGTATTGTTTAGATACAAAGGGATTTTCGTAGGACTTTTCAGAACATTTTCTAATATAAATTCAAGTCGGAATTCTCAAAGCTTAATTAGAAGGGCCTCCTGTTTCTAATTTCTCAGTCAATTGTTCTGTTCACACACTGGTGACTCTTGCTCCCTCGTTACGTGCTTCTATCAGCTTCTATGCCTATGATTAGAAAAGAACAAAGAATGGTTGAACGATGACAATGCTTTGTTATCTAAAAGTCTTTCAATATCAACTTTTCCTTCAAAGGGATATTTTCTATTTATTAAGATTAGACAATACCTTTGTCCATAGAATCAAAGGAATTTTTGAGCATGTCGTGGCTCCAGCTGTGTAGTCTACATAAACATCAGATATGATTCTTCTTACGTCTACAATCAAATATTCCCCCTACTTATCTTCTTGGTATACTTTTATCCGAACTGTCCTATTGTCACACTCTATCCAGAGTTACGAAAGGCAAATACGAAAACATGCCCACCAATCTTGGCGATCTGCCTCCTGAATTGGTTCTACAAATCGCACAGAAGCTAAACACCCAATCATTACTCAGACTTGCAAGAAGTTGCTGGGCTTTGTACTGGCTCTTAATGCCAGAAATCGGGCAAAGAGCTCATACTGCCGCTTTCGCACCCTTAGATCTCTACGAAGAAAACTTTATCTACGATCACGGGCAGCGACATGGGGTGGACGAACCAGTATTCAGCTTACACGCCTCATACGGTATTCCCGCAGGCGAGTTCGGTGCCAGCGACTGGGACGCTCTTGGCAAGGCCGTGGCAGGAGGTGAGCTTGACAATGCGCGGGGCTTGCTCAAGCACAACTTGGATCCTAACTCATACGTCGTTTCTGGGGAGCGTATGCTCACTTTAGCCGTACAGTCTCGGAATGTAGATATGGTTAGAATGTTGCTGGAATTTGGCGCGGACACATCCAGACTGGATCTAATCACGAATTTAAGCCCGCTTCTACATGCAGCACGAGGCCAAAAGGAAGAAATCGTTCGTCTTTTAATCGAGGCCTCGACAGATCTGAATGCAAATGGGGTTATGCAGTCAATCGCAGCATATTGTACTCCCGAGACCATGCAAATGGCTCTAGCATATGGAGGAAACCCGGCAGCTATCTCACCAGGTGGATTGACCGTGCTTCATAGCATTGCCCGTCACAATGATGTCCACCTCTTCAATCTAGTCCAAAGTGAGCTCCCAGCTGCCATTCTCAATGCCCAGAATGATGTGGGTCATACAGCTTTGCATATAGTCCTATCAGACGAATACTCACCTCTGGCCATGCCTCTCGCTCGCCATCCAGAAGTCGACATGGACATCCAAGATATATGGGGCTTTACGGTATTGCACCTGGCCATCCGAAATAGACGGTTTGACGTGGCCCATACGCTTATTCAAAGGGGCGCTAGTTTCAATCTCTTGTCTCTCCACGGGGAGAATTGCCTGCATCTAGCGGTTGAATCTGGGTCGGTGCCTATCACCCGTATGTTGCTTGAGCGCGGTGCTAATGGGATTAGCAATATATCGGAGTTTAGATCAATATTCTCCTGGGCTACGCACCATGGTGATCCGGAGATGGTAGCCTTGTTTAAGCAGCTTGTGCTCGAATAAGATACGCGTTCAATTCTCGTGTGGGTTGACCAGTTCATCGTCATAAAAACCGATGGGATTACTGCCCGGTCTCCTGGGCGAGCCAAGCCGTCGCTATCTCTTATCCAAAGACTAGAAGCAATATAATTCTGAAATCGTACGCACCTCTAATGGATTCACGTATCACATCCTATACTAGCAGTTTGTTGCCTTAAAATAATCGTAAGAAGTAAGAAATAAACCGTAGATTCCGTCTGCATTATCTTGATCCTGGCAAGAAACTCTTTGGGGGCAATCTATTGAGCACGCGAAGATCAAAGCCAATATAAAAAGTCTTTTGAATGACGCGTGGCGTCTCAGATAGAGTGCGAGCAGGCCATGTTGATAACCCTTGGCAGCGGCGCTACAATTATTGTGGACTAGGTAAAGCAAAGCCGCTAACGGGGAACAAGTGCCACACACGACGATACACATCTCCCTAGACTTATGTACGGATTCTCTGAACGCGGCATAATTCCTCAGAATAAGCTTCATTAAGCATAATAGCTCAATAAACGTGCAGGTAGCATTGACCATTGATGTATCAGACTCTAAACATACTAAGGGTTTCCTAACGCCATGATCGAAACCCAAGCAAAGGGAAAAAAACAAATCCGGGCAGGATAGAAAGAAAGGAAAGAACAGGTTGAATGATACAGAAGTAGGAAATCAGGAATTAGAGAAGAACATAAAGGGAGAAGACGAAATCGAAGGGACCGAGGAAAATGCGAGTCCGTAGGGAAGGAATGTAAAGGGGTAAGTGGGAAGCGCGAGGTGAAGAACGGAAACGTGTATGTACTGGAAATTCAGATGGGCCGTCGCCGTCACCCATGAGAAGGGTATGTATGCAAGGTATGTATGTTGAAGATGTGGCTCGTGGACTCGTTTCAACGGCGACTCATCGTCTCCAAAGGGGGTGTGGTTGGAGACCGATTTCCCGTGTTGCCTTTTTTCGATTTCGGTTTTATCTTCTCATTCTTCTCAATTCGCGGATTCATCTTCTGCTCACTGCAGCACGTCGGTTGGTGGGGTAATAGGGTGTTGATAGGGGGAGTCGAGAACCGCGACTTGAAAATTCACTTCTGGGTCGGATATTACTTTTGGGTGGCTTCTTCTTGGCCAACACCTCCAGCGAAGAAAGGAAAGAATCCAGGTGACAATTGGGTATCATAACAAAGTTGTTTTGGGCGAATTCGCACAGAATTAATGAAGAGGGGGATGATGCTGAAGGAGCTGACAAGAAAAGAAGCGAGTGTGTGGATATCCGGTAGGAATTTAGTCGGGGTTGGTGAGCTGAGATGTAAGTTAGTAAATTCCTCTTGGTAAGTCAATGCGGTTCAATTAGAACTCACCCGAAGAACGGGGCGCGAGTAGTCCTCGTTATCCTGGAGGGACACACTGCTATCCCGAGGACCGTTGGGGTAGATATCGGTTTTCATCCGATTGTCGGTGAAGGTGTGTTTGCGTCCCAAGCTTGAAGATCCGGACAAGTCATGGGAGTGGCCTTGCGAGAAGACACCACGAGCGAAGCTGGAGGCTTGGCTATTTCGGTTCTCGGTCATATCGGCCGTGCTGGGGATAGGGCTGGCCGAGCGGGCACGCTTGCGGTAGAAGAAGACCAGGAAGACCAGGGCACCGACAAGAGCAAGACCACCGATCACACCAATGACGATACCAGCAATGGAGCCGCCACTCAACTTGTTGCTGTTGGATGCCGCAGTGTTGGCTGAGGAAGAATCCTGGGCACCTGTCTGGCTAGCGGCGGAAACTGTGATAGTCTTGACCTGGCCAGCCGAGGTGGTCTCCTTGACAACGTTTCCGGTAGTAGTCGTGGACTCGGATGTGGTGGACTAGGGGAGCATGTTAGCAAATTCGAACCGACTTGATATCAATTTTCGGGTGTCCAGATAATACAGTTTGTGTAGAGTTTGTGGAAGTTCCAGTCGATGATGAAGTGCTGCTAGTGCTTTCCTGTGCCACGAATGAGAATAAAGTTTCATGGAACAGCAAAGCACCCAAGCCCAAGCATGCAGGACGGCCCAGGACACGAACAATGCAACGAGCTCCAACCGGTGGGCTAATGAGGTATCCATGTATAGGGGGATTGGGGGTGTTAACTTACCGAAGTCGACGAAGTAGTGCTGGAGCTACCGCCACTCTCGGTGCTGGTAATCGAGTTACCAGAGATCTTCACATAAGCCCAAACACCCTTGGAGGCACTACCACAGCTATCATCTGGGTAACCCGGGCAGCCAGTTGAGCACTCGGAAGTGTTCTTGCGAGAGGAGGAGGAGGGTGCCACATTGGAGCACCAACATTTCTTTCCCTGCAGGATACCGAGGGCATAGTCGGCGCAAGTCTCCTCACAAGCTCCATTGGACTGATAAGTGTCGGAAACTAGAGAGTTGAGGAAATGCCAAGTTAGCCATATAGGTTCCACTGAAAACAAATCTATCATGTTGCATCATATTGTAACATACCAGCCGAAAAGGAAGATCCAGTGTTTTCAGTTGCGCAGTATGCCAGGTCACTGGAGGCTTCGGCAAAGGGCCGAGCCAGCAGAGCCAGAGCCGACAGCAGCAGTGCGAGTTGCATCGTGTCAAGAGAACTCCCCGACCGAAGCCGCAACGAGAGACCGCGATGAGCGATTGTATTCCTTCACCAACCCAAATCTACCCAACTCCGGGCGGTTTCTGCAGAGGGAGGTGTCGCAATCAAGATGGGATAAGATTGAATTTCAAAATCCGTTGTGTGGGTGCCGTGCCGACCGGTGGTTGTGGTGCCGATCACCCATACGATGGGGAAGGTTTTGGGGAGAGAGATAGGAACAGGAAGAAAGTTGACGGTCGGAGAAGTAACGATTGACTACCGTTGTGCCCCCCCACTAAGCTGAACGTTACACGCCACGGATATTCCTTTTTAGAAGGGCAATCGCATCGTTTCCAGGCAGATGTCGGGGTAGGTGGCGGCGAAGGAGGAGGATTAGGAGGAGGCGGAGGGAAGGAATTGGTTGGATAAGGTTGAAAGTGAGAGGAAGAGGATGTGAGTGTCAGTAGTAGTGTATGGACAGTAGTAGTCAAAGGCACGAGAGGAGAAGTCAGTCACGGGGCGTTACGATCGGAAGACGGAGTACGGAGTATGTTAGCCATGCTGGCATAATATTAGCATGTTGTCCGGCATTGCCGCTAGCTTGGTGGATACGTGATTGTCGTGCACGTCCTTGCTGGTACAGTTGTAACTTGTAACTAAACGGGCAATTCTGTACAGAATAGTAAATTTGTACTAGACCTTCGAATGTCTTGCTTATTTCATGGCCACGAAGTGCAACCCTAACGTGGTAGTACGTGAACATCGCCCAGTCAATACAAAGTCGAGAGTTAATCATGAATTATTCTGTGCAGTACCAGTGTACGAGTCTACCATCTTATCATGAAGAAAATTGGCACTTTTTCAGATGGTCTAGAAGGTATACGCGGGCAATCCACTTTGTAACCGTGCTATCGTGGATCCTAAGCCATTGCGCGTGCATTATTATTATTTGTTTTCATTTCCCCCTCCTGGTTACTCCTCATACTGGGTCTTACTCTTACTAAGGAGCTTCCAGTTCTTCAATTGGCGGCTCACAGAAAACCGAATACCAGTTCCGAGCACATCGGCTCCACCCAGCCTCGTTCGCATTGGCTGGCGTGGCTGTAGGAAAAAAAGCTTCGGAGGCTGGTTCTCTCGAATTCCTGTGGCCAACATTCTCAAGGAGTCCTCCATACTTGCCGTCTTTGTCTATGTCAGCTGGTAATAGTTTTGTTGGATTATTCATTGATGATGGGTTGGAAGGGTTATAATATAGTGTCTATAGAATATACTCTGCAGTACTACTCGATTATTATTTCCTCATTGTCGATTAGAGTATTGAAAAACACTCCGATAACCCGTAATCTGTCGTCACCTTGTAATCTGTGTGACCAGGGGAGGCTAGTGCGAACTAAAGCACGGCATACGTAATGTGTGGATAAGCCCAAGTCGTTGGACTGTCTCAGAGCTGCAGCCCAAAACAAGCCACACAAAGCTCTCCCGCACGCCACATGAAAACATCAACGCCAGGATGTTGACACTGAATATTGTCGAGAGGTTATCCCAAGGACTTGGCGAGTGGAAGTGTGATGGTCTATTCATTTGAAGGATTCCATGCTTAAATACCTTAACGACTATAGTAATGCCGCTAAGCATTAATTCTACGGCAATACCGAAACTTTTGTCCAGTACCTATCGAATCATGCCATATTATACAGAGTACTAATAACATTAGTAGACATTTATTCCAGTTTTACACAGTCAAGTCGTGTATAATTACTTGTTCAAGAACTCCAATTCCTTCAATGTTCCAGGAGAACCAAAATTTCCTCTTACAGTATTCTCTCGGCAAAGTCTTGGCCTCTCGTTGCTTTATCTCCTCTCATGGAGTCCTTCTCCGAAAAGATAACCCATCCCCCATCCCCCTTCAATTGGCCTATCGCCCACACCCCGACGACATTCACGCCGGTCCTGATTGCTTGAAAAATCAAGGCCATAAACGCCAGAAACGACGATCAGTATTTTGCTCAACCACCCACCAGGCAACTGAGTCCGGGATGTGACGGTCAATGCATAATGCCCCCCTGTTCCTCGGTCCATGGTTACCCCTCGGAACTGACTTGGCCAAGTTTATTCCCAGACCCTGCGTAAAGACTTGGTTCTTAACTATCTTCGTACCGTAGGTTCTGTAGTACCTTTTTCGTCCCTTTTTCTGTCTTTGTCTTCCCCTTCTGCCTCTACCCCTATATGATATCAGATCCCGGTGAAATCTTGGATGGACCAGACGGATCGGCTTTGTGGCAACGAATCCTGTGCAAATTGTGGATCGGAGCTAAATGGGCCCACCAACGCAAATTGGAGGAAGATGTTATGTGTAAAGTAATTGGGAGTTACTCTGTAACAATTGTAATACATAATACATCAGTCCGACTACAATGACATTATCGATTACCCCGATCGATCGATTCTAGATTCTGCATCATAATATCGTTGACGCTTTCTTATTCATAAATCATGGATTTTTGGAAGATCCTTTGGTAAGTCAGTTTAAAGTACAAATGTATAACTATTTAGGCTCGACAGATTGTAAATATGCACTTTGGCCCGTATGGTATATTCATCCACATGGAGAACCCATAACCTGCGTACGCTTCAGGATTACGGAGTAGAACATATAGCGAGTGTGATTCTCGACTCCTACCCAAGATTAAACATCCAGCATCTTCAAATCCTCCTATTCTAACGAGTAAAAGCACGAAAATTGAAGTCGGAGGAGCGGCCTAAGTCTTCATCCGTTAATTCCATCTTGCGACAATGGAAAAGCTACGGCTACATCATCAGCACGAGAAGGTCAGTAAGTTGAGCATCCACGGAGTTGAAAATTGCAACTCTCGAACCAAGCTTCTTGAATACTCCCGGCGGGTCACCTTGGTCGTCAATCATTAAACAGTAAAAGCTTGAAATTTGAAGTTGAAGAAGTGGCCCAAGTTCTTCCCCGTCAATCCGGCTAGCAACATCCCGCTCCAGTGGAAGTAATCCAACATCCTGTAACCGTCACGGTCGCAGGCCTGATATCTCAATTGCATCTCCAACCCATCCATCGACGAAGATCTTCCTCAAGAAAACCCAGTCCTTCCAACCAAAACGCCACCATCCACATCATTCTGAAATCACGAAACCCCCCTCGAGCCCCATTGTACCTACATCAAGTCCCCAGTACCTTTCTCCCTACTACCAATAACAACATCCCCGACAGAAATGCAGATGCTGTACACCCACACCAAACCAGCAAAACTGCCAATTACATCGCCATTGTACCTGTGCCTGGCCAATGCTCTCCACCACCCTCTCCACAGTGCCATTAATATTCCTGAGACATTGCATACCCACCGGCAACGCGGGTGGCGGCAGGGGTGATGTGTAATCCTGCTGGGGTCGCACCAGGGGGATGGGAAAGGATCGAGGCTTGCCCCATGATCGCCCGTCAGAAAATTCTTTTGGTCTTTTTTGTTCCGGCGGGACGGTGATGATTGTGGCTAGACTTGGAGGGTGGTTGTTTAATATCGCGTTGCGGAAAAGCGCTAGTACGGAGTCCTACGGTATGAAGTACAGTACATTGGGATTGTTAATGGGTCATACTTAAAAGTACTGTACTTAACCATGCCCGCTAGGTCGGGTCACACGGGTGCATAGTATGGCAGTGCGCTTCCGTGGCTTGCTGTATGTCTTGGCTAGACGCCAAGTATGATTTGATGTCGTGGCCGTGGGCTTCGGTGGAGGCCGAGTTGAGGATGGTCGTGATCTATTCTCATCTCGAAGGTTTGGAATTGTCTATCATGTGTGGCTTTTCAGGTAGGATTGGAGGCGAATACTCGCTCAATGACCTCTTCGTAGATGAGACAGATTTCTGCTTATTACCTCTATAGACATTGGCACGCACCGCTTTGTACCAGAAATGGGTACATGGGCTTGCCAAAGCTATTCTCAAGGATGATGACGCTTGACCGTATTTACGGGTCCGCTTAGAACATTTTTAGCGACTCGGCACTGACAGCCTCGCCATTGTCTTGCCGACCAGCAGTGGGTAACATGGAGACTGTTTATGGGATGAGCCACTGCTTATCCATAACAGATGTTGCTCGGTCTTCATCCATATCCTCTCTCGCCAAACCCCGATCATGCCCCTGGTCTTTGAAGTAGGGACGTCCTTCACATCCATCTAGCCCGGCTAGGCCGTAAAGGCTTGAACCGAAAGAGTAGCTATCTATCAAGCGAGCATCAACCTAGACCATTACCGCAAAAGCCTGCCAAAATTATGGATCAATCTGTCCGAAAAGTATTCAAGAGATGAGCTATGTAGAAAAAAAGATCATGGCTATGCAAATGTCAATCGTAAATCATTATTGAACTGGAACCAGATATCAAACTGTCGTCGTATCACCTCCGCTCATCGATAATCCACTCTCGCTCCCTTATATGCCTCTTTCCCACCACCCGCGGACGAGGAGGCAATCTATCTCCCTCGTAGATAGGTCGTGGTGGCTTTTCCGCTCGTTCTCGTTGCATCTCCCTGATGCGTCGGCGCCTGGCGTGACGGATTTCATCGGAAAGTTCGACAAGGTGGTCGATTTCATCCTGACGAACAAGGTCAGCAATTTGTTTTCATATGTGATTCGGTATAAACAGAATGAAAGGCTTACCGGTTCCAAAAATGTGAAGATATAGTAGTATGTCCTTGTCTCCTCGAATTCATATCCCAACCGTTCGATAGCGTCGCGAACGACCAAATCCTTGGTGATCTCCGTCCAACGTTCATCACGACGCTGCTTCACAACCTGCTGCTCGACGCGCGCCCGAATTTCGAGATCCTCTTCTACAGCGCCTTTGGGTGCAACTTCCACAACCTCGAGAGCCCCGGTCATTTCGACCCCGTCTTCTTTCGACGGCGCATGCACGACGGACCATTCGTCGGCGGTCGCTTTGGTGATCTTCTCGATATGTGAGCGGTGTTTCGATCGTTCCTTGTGTATCTTTATCTCTTCTTCTATCTCGGCTTCGAGTTCAATATCGCGGGTGAGATCCCGACGCAGAGGAGTATGGGAGCTTCCTGCAATTGAGGAGTCGCTATCGTCGTCCTCGTCGTCGTCCAAGGATCTCGACTTGCGGTTACGACGTGAAGGGAGACGGTCCGGTTTCCATGGGTCGGTGAAATCAAGAGACGGGCCACTGGTTGGTGACACGGATTCCTCTTTGTCGCGATGTTTGAAGACAATTTCTTCCTCGGACTTGCGGCCTCGATTTCCTTTCTTACTACTGCGCAGTTCGTTAGCTTTAACCACGGTAATGAAGCTTCGAGAGACTCACCGACGGATATCTATCTCGTCAAAGCTACTTCTCGTAGAAGTTACTTCTGGACTCGGAGCTCGTGGTGGACGTGCCTTATCAAATCCTAAGAGATCATTAGCACAATCCAGTAGCTAGAAGACAATCTCCCTCACCGTGATCAACATGTCGATGATGTGTAATAACATCCTGGTGAATTGGAGGAGCCCGGTTAGGCTCCGGAGACAGTGACGGTTCTCGCGGAGGCGTCCTCCGTTTACTCTTTCGAATAAGTATCTCGTCACTCTCCGCACTATCCCTACCACGCTCTCGATCCCGCTCCTCACGACGGAGAACAATTTCTTCTTCGTCCTCGACTTCCCGGCGCTTCGGTCTCGAGCGTCTCCGTTCGCGGATGCGAATTTCCTCTTCTTCAACCTCCCTCTCAACAGGCCATGCACCAGGCGGCTCTCGTGGTGGTGGCTCCCGCACATATCTTGGCTCTGGTTGGCTAGGCCGACGCCGTCGTCTCGTTTCCCGCAGGCGTATCTCTTCCTCTTCTTCCACTTCCCGGGGCGTTGGTCTGTCCTTCCATTGCATAACCAGTTCTTCTTCGAATGACGGTTCTCCGCGGTGCCGTGGTCCCCGCGGCCGTTCTTGTTCTCTGTCGTCAACGATTCGTTCCTCGAATTCGACCTCGCGCCGCGACGCTCTACGTCGAGGTCTAGATGACGGTCTAAAGTAGACTTCCTCCCGCTCGTCCTCGTACACTTTCTCCATCGGTCTCAGGTCCCCCTCGCTAGCCCGTTCTCTGTGTCGAATCATCATATCCTCCTCTTCTGGATCGCGCGGCCTCCGAGATCGTCGACCGCCACGTCTTTCGCGCTCACCGATGATCAACTCAGACTCCTCTTCCTCGACGACCTCGCGAGCTCGGTGACTCTGGCTACCACGCCGGCGGGACGAGCGCACCCGGAACTCCTCCTGGTCCGGTCCCGGTCCTGGTTCATCTAGCTCATCTCTCCCTCTTCTCGCCACGGGACCACCTCGGTCTCTTGGCGGGGCAAAGCTCTCTCGAACAAGGTCGCGTGGTGGCCGGTCCCGAATATGCATGCGCTCTAGATCTTCGACGGGAGGCATTGATCTGCGTCGACGATAGTCGAAATCTTCATCGAACTCAGGCTCTCGTCTCCGTGATCGTGGATACCGATCTCGCTCCCGTTCGACCTCGAATTCCTCCTCTTCATAGTACTCGCGGGGCGGGGCCCGACGAGACATGGCTGAAATCAGAGGGGAGAAGAATTAGAGGCTGAGAAGAGAATTATAGATTCGAATGAATCTGTGCATCGATTTGCGGGGTATGCGTCCCACTGTCACTTTGGGTGTTGAAGTGTTGATCAGGCGAGGAAGGCGGCTATCAAGATCGGCGGGGCACTGCGTTTGCGGGGCTTTTAACACGTTCGTAGCCAGCGCCGGCGCGTACCAGGACCTTCACGGGACCCAAGGCTCATCGACAAGGTCAAATTAGAAGAATGAGGCGAAATGGAGAGAAAGAATGCAAGTCATTATCGTTGAGAAGGCAGCGAAGTTGTCGTGGGGGCTGAGCAGCACATGCATACGACCATAAGCCAACGTCCGATGACCCCGCGACCCGCTGATGTCACACCCACGCGGCTGGTTGGAATCGCGAGTTCAAGCACACGAGGGGGTTCCAATTTGAAAGGAGTGAGGGTTTTTATCGAGTCACGGGCTTGTAGGGCTGATCGGATGAAGATTCTGAACTTGTTTGTTTACTTTCGACTCTATTTGGGATGACGGGCTGGCTCCCCCATCCATGGGTCTGACAGGGCTTTAAACGGTCGAACCACAAATGAAGTTTGGGCCAACCTGGACCACAATGACGTTGGTCTCGGCTATCAAGAAACGATTATCTAGGCTTGCATCTATCTACTTATGGGGATTTGATGTGTAAGAAGGGTATGACGACACTTGACCAAAGATTATTCCATACAAGAGATTGTCATTCCACGAGCATACTGCTGAACGTGGCTATCTGCAAAATCGCTGGAAACCCCCAGTCCGAAGGGGGCAAGATTGAATCCAATGATAATTCACGGTTCTTCCCATTAGCATACTGAGCTACGATGTTTTGAGTGTTTATAATCGAAAATGTCCTTCTGACGTATAGAACAGCCTGGCTACTTCCCCTCATTGACTTGTCGTCTTCAAACGCCGCCGACGTTCACGACCTGTTTAGGCCAACCCCATGGAACACTATTCTGAGGGAGGAAGATAGTCGAAATATTTTTTGAATTTACTGAGTATATGCTCTTTCATAATAAGAACTAGGCTTAAAACTGCCAAGCTTGACGCCAGTTTTTCTCTATTCGTAAAGATAGATGCATAAATATCGCTAGAAACTCCACTAATGCTAAGACACACAAAAGGTGTTCGTGCATCCCCTCTATTCAAAAGGTCACTGAAAAGCCAATCGCATTTGACCTCTCTCGGGCTTGCCTCGACCACCCCGACCTCCTCGGCCCCGAGTACCCGAACCACGAGGTGTACTCGAGCTCGGCGCTGGACGCGATTGTTGCTGCGCATCCCTCGCCTCTTGACGCTCTTGGATTTCCAGGTCCTTGGCGAAATGCCAATCATCGTGCTCTTCTCGTTCGAGTTCAGGAATGGACCGGGAACATCGGTCACAATTATAGTGTGGCATTACATGGTCATCCACCTCTGTTTCGGAGACTCCCACGGGGAGAGAAGGGGTATCATGATCTTCCCTGGGCTGAGGATTTCCCTGGTCAGCCAAAGGCTTATCATCCTGGGGTGGTTGCGTGAAGAAGCGCTTGATACCGCTGTCGTCGACTTTTCGTTTCTTCTCCGGTGGCAGTTGTTCATTTGCAGGGGTTTCGGAATCTCGAGGGCGAGATCCATGGTTCAAAGACTTGGCCTGGTCACCCCGAAGCAGGAATCCTTCAATTGCCTTGTTCTTGCTGACCCCGTCCTCGAAACTACTCACGCTCAGGGATAGGTTGGAACAAGGCCAGGGCTGTCCATCTGCCATGACCTGCCGCATCAACGTCCTCGCCAATTCGAAGAGCAGAGTCTCATCGATAGCATTTGCCGCGGGAATAGGAATCTGACGAGATCGAGTCTGTGCAGTCCGGTGATGTAGAGTAATCACTCTCGGACGACGTCTATTCTCAAGCACGCCATCCTCCACAAGACGACCGTAGATATCTGCCGCAAAGATATGCAGCCATTTCTCGGCTTGATCCAACGAACTGATACTCGGTCGGAAAGACTTGGCCGAAAGCATTGACTTGATCTGCGTTCGAGGATTGACCTCGGATCGGTCGTCACCTCGGATAATCCCGTACAACCATGACGCGGTGTGATCATCCAATTTGGCACGGAATTGCTCGAGAGTCACGTTGAGCAGGTCGCTCACTTTCTCTGTCCCAAAGTAAGATGTGATTTGATCTCCGAGCTTGCCACCCAACATTCGGATCTGGGTGAATTTGTAGCCACCCAGGAAGTGCTGGACCGCACGATTCCGCACTACGGTCTGCTTATCAGGTTTGTTGCAGGCACTGCCCAGTTTGGCGAGCATTTTGTTTCGGGCAAGGCCCGCGGAGCAGGTGTAGTTGAGATTATCCCAGACTGCACGGCGTACAGATCGGACGATCTCTGCACCAATGAGCATGACAATGTCGTCCCAGTCCGGGTCATCTTCCTCCCGTTCATGTAGATCGAGGTCTATCAGGCAATCTTCGGTATGCCATTGCACCGCAGTGGTCGGCGGAGGAGGAAGCTCCGCGTCACGGTCCCCATCCTGCAAACCTAGCCGTAGTTCCGGATATCTCTGGAGCAAGACGCTGTAGACGATGGGTGACAAGTCAATAAAGACTTCGTCTATACTGGCCTTTTCCAGGGCTGCAGAAAGACCGTGTGTGAGGCGGTGGATTTCACCATCCGATTCATTTGTACACCATTTCTCCAAGGCCTCCTTCATTGTCTTAAGGATCTTCCTCGACTCCGCCCGATACGGATCAAGCGAAACCTTATCGGTCTTGATATTCATAAACGCGTCGTCGCGGTACGCCCACCGACCACCCTCTCCTTCTCGGAAAGTCGCTACATGCTGCAGGACAATATTGGGGCAAATTTTGCGAGCTTCGGCCGCATTTATCATCCGGGATATTCCAAATGGCCGCGCGGCGTAATTGACAGCAATCAATGAATCCCATTGGCGCACCGCGAGCGGTGTATCGCGGGGCGTCCCCAGACGCACCATCTCACATTGTGCGTAAAAGGCATCGAGATCGATGTGCGCAATTGCGCGGAGCGGGGTGGCTGTCGAGCCCTGGCGTAGTAGTTGGAGTTGGCGATGGGTGTAGCGGGAGCGTTTCACGGCATCGGGCGACGCATCGGGCGGGTCTTCAGACGACATGCTCGAGACTGCAGCATGGCGACGCAGGGATTGTTGATCGCGAGGACAGCTGTCCACGGTGAGATACAGTATCACTCGACACGAGTCTGGGGATGTGCTGAGGCATGGCGCGTGTCGTGGAAGAGCTCCCGAAGCGGATTAGTGTGTTCACGTGGACTATTACGAGCCTCAAATTCTAGGTGTCCAGGCTTCCACGGGAGGCGATGAGCGGAAACCCACCATGGACCTTCGGATCCAATCATCAGAAAGAATTCTTGGGATGAGTGTTTGGGTCATCGGGAACTATAGCCAGGGGTAATCATACAAGACCACGTCGCGACATGATCTCTAGGGCTCTCATCAACTGTTGTATCTGCAGTCTCTCTGCATGCCTTGATGCCCAGTCCACATTGATATCGACCGGTGTGTACAGTATATGATCTAGCTATGCTCCCCCCACGAGAGTTAGGACCACATTCCTTTTTCACACATGGTTTAAAGTCAAAATTGCTTGTTAGTTTGGGAGACCGCAAGTTTGTTTTGTTTTGTTTTTCTCTCTTCCCACCACCCTCATCGTCATGCAGAAAATGCTTGTGGCGAAACCGAACCTGTTCGAGACCACTCCTGGTCAAGTGCATATAAAATTTTTTCTTCATGGATGACGGTAAGCTCTCGCGTTCATCAGAGTCAGCGAGCTGACACAGCCAATCATGGAGTGAGGGCCGGGGGGAGGGTGCGATGCCCAAAACACGCATTCGTGCCCAACGCCCAACCGCGCCAACGCCTGCTGGTGGCAACGTCTTCTGGCCGCAGCACTGCTGGCCCGAGATTGGCTGGTTGATATCTTATGGAAGCGGGGGGAGGATCATCCACCCTTTTCCCATGCCCCCCTCTTGGGGCTGATTCGTCCAGCCCACGATCTCATGTCGAAGAACGATTCCAACACGACCTGCCGCTGGACTGCAGATTCGAAACGGGGTCCCGTCCTAGATGGTGGTGGTCAGGTCTTTCTTATTATTTGACCGCTCTGTCTCTCTCGCACTCTCTCTTGCGCTCTGCTTTGCGGGATCCACTCGAGGTCCAAGTGGAGATCGACATCCATTCAGCCCAAAGGGCACAGACTGAGTAGCAATCCAAGCTGTGATGGGGGATCGGCCTGACCCTGGTCTCTTGTAAATTTTTGCATCGTGATGCGATGAGTAGTCGTAGTGTATCGTATTTGATGGAGTCCACCAAAGATTTTCGACTCAAGGTTTCTGGTGCCTGACCAAAAAGAGGGGGCAGGGAGGAGGTCCGAGGTGGAAACTGCATCGACTCAGGCGGCTACCAGCAGTGATTGCCCGTCAAGGATAAAGACCAGAACAAGGGCCAACAGGGTCACACAGGGCCCGTCTAAGCCAGATTGGATCATGCATGCCTTTGGTCTTGATTGCAAGGCAGATATTGGCCGGGGCCAGGTGCAGGGCTGTTTGGGATGAGGTGGTCGGAGTGGGGGAGTCGTGGCACCAGCCCAAAGGACCCAAAAGGAACCAAACGGCCCAACCGCCCTCGTCCTTTTCCCGGTCTTTTTGCCCTTAGTTCGCCCCTCTCCCTCTTCCTTTCTTCGACTCTCCAACTTTCACCTCCATCCCCATCCGACCTCTCCTCCCCCTTCTCCCTCTCTCTTCCTCCTGGTCTCTGAAAAAGGAAAGCAGGAAAGCATAGTGGATTTGACAGTGTGACCGCACTGAATATCGACCCAGAGGATCACAGCCCCCCTCCTCTACTCTCCGGTTCCGTCTCCTCTTCAACCTCTTCTCTTCCACAGCCTTGCCAGACTTGATTCAGTCGCTTGGCTTATAGTGAACATCCACGGATACTCTCGATTTACCCCCAGGATATATTTTCTCTTTGCCGGATCAACCAGAACCCCCCAAGGATCTCCAGGATTTTCCGTGTTGTTGCCTTAATCCCGTTGGACGCCATCTACCATCCCGACCAGGACTATCAGGACTACTTCCCAGGACTCTTTTACTCTCTACTGGCCATTTTCCCGGGACTGCAAGAGATTCCCTCTCTGGTTCATCTAAAGTGGTGAAGCATCTCGACCTTGGATTCTGTTTTCTTGCCGGTCGCCTCATAGAACACCCTGTACTTTCAAATATAACCCACGGACACACAAAACCACATCGCCTTCCGTCGTTCTCACCTGGCAATCTTCCCAAAGGATTTCTTTTCAGCACTGCCCTCGGATATTTTCATTTTATTCTCTTGGCCGGAATTAAAAAGAATCCACCTCTTCAGGACCTTGTTTCATCTGGACAAAATACCCTCAGGACTCCCATAATGACAGGCCGTCAGAATGAATACTTCATCCCGGGCGATGGAATCAGCCGCGAAGTGATTCAAGCAGATATCTGCCGCTACCTTGGAAACGATGCGCTCGTGAGACCTGGCAACCATAGTGTCCGTCTCCTTTTTTTTTCCTTTTGTGTCTTTTGTACGCTGTAACCTCGTGGTAAACTGACTCATCCCACAGGGCCGCCAAGGATTCTTCATCCGTGCTTATCGGAATCTCACATCGGTAAGTAGTGACTATTCGACATCTATTTTTTCAGAACCACATGGATTCGCAGGATCAAAATGAACAAACCATCTGACCAGAGGACCGGATTTTTCTTATAGGAGATGATTGCTGATCTGAAGGCCGACTCCGCTCGTTGGGAAGCGGATGTCTCGCGTCGGGCTGACCTAGGCTATCCGAGAGGTAGTTACATTCAAGATGTGAACCCATCTCATGCCCCTAACACTGTCTCAGCGAACTATGCTACCTCGGCCATCCATGAGGTTCGCCAACAACAGGGGCCTTCCCCTTCCACATACAGTGCTGCTCCCGCACAGCCCTACATGGACCCTTACTCCCAAAGTCCGTACAGCGGATCCCAGAGTGCTCCTTACCCAAACCCTTCTTACACATCCACCCACTCTCCCTACGGACAAGGCCAAGCTCCGTACCCTCCGCCTCAGGTCACCTACTCTGGCACCCAGCAACCGGTCGTGACCACGGCGGATATTCACCCTTCTTCTTACACCTACTCGGCAACTGGCCCAACCTATGGTGGTTACGAAGGTGGTCCCCGCAATGCTCCCAGATACCCGGGACCAGGTTATGATGCCGAGTCGGACTATTCTCCCGTGACCTCCGGGATAGCATACCCTGCTTCAACTTCTGCCGCGGATTCCCGGATGACCGGTTCAATGGAGCCCAGATATACCCCGGAATACGAGCGCAGTAGGCCTCAACCGACCAGGGAAAGGGATCCGCACCGCGGACGGCGGTAAATCCAGAAAACAAGAAAAACATGGCAGTCTTGCGCATGCATGATATGATGACCTTTTTTCTTACATTCTGTCTCCCCCAACTCCCCGTATTTTTTCCTCTCTTTCCAATATGGCTCCCACTCGATGAATTTCTTTTTCTCCCAACCGGACATACCATGATGTATCCTGGGAAATAATGATGTCGACGAAACCCCCCTCCCCCTCCAAAAAATCTTCTTGCTGGACAAATCCTCTCCACTTTCTCAACCTCGTCGGCCATTTCATCGTCGTGTCTTTTGTTTCCAATCCAGTGAAGGACCTTTTGTCTGTTTTCCACAGGCCAGAGAATTTCCACTTCGGGCCACAGGTCATCCACAATCCCATGGTCCCGTCGGGAGAACAATTCCAATATCCACTGGACATGCCAATTGCTGCCTGCTTGTCACTGACTGGATATGCCTTCAATGGAATGACGATTTGATCTCGGCTTTTCTGGCACATGGTCATGGAACCCTCGGGAACTTTCTTCTTTAATTACCCTTGCACTATCGTGCAGCTGGTCGGTTAGGAGTAGGAGCATTGTGTGTTGAATTGGGTGTTTCAACGGGAAACGGCGGCTTTTTCTTGGATTTGAGCTCATCTTCCCGGCTCTAATGATACTTCCAGATGCATCGCCGTCTTCGGGGTTTTTCCATGTTTCTTCTTTCTTTTTGCCTCGGGGTTTGCTTTATCTGTGGCCGGTGTACTGGATTATGTGTGTTTAGCATTTGTTTTGATTCCTTGATTCTTTTTTTTTTTTTCTCATCTTGTCTCTTTTCTTCTTTTCTTTGTGTGATCTGGACTACCCTTGGTCGGGGCACTGGGGTTTTTTTTATCTTCATGTTTTTTTGTGCTTTTTCTCTCATTTTTCCTTCCGCTGGCTGTTGGGAGAGACTGCTTTGATAAAGCGATGCTGATGAAATACATGTAGATATGAGCATATATGGCGTTATCCCGTCTTGTGGTTGACGCTTACGGCCTTTTTTGGATGATTGGTTTCGTACCATCTTAATGGAACCACACCTTGGAGAATTCCTTCTGCTCTGTCCATGTCTCTTGAGATGTTTAGTATAGGTTGGCATCGGCCTGATCTAACCCATAATATACACAACGATGTGCAAGTCCTAAACTTTGGCTATTCTTGTAGTCTTCTGATCTTGGTTGAATCAAAAACATCGTACTGTACTTGTATCAATCTTTTAGAATGTCACCCAGTCTACTGGGAACCCACACTCAGATGCTCCTCGTCCACTTAAAACCGTCGCACAAATTTGTGTCTTCGCCCTGACCTCTGTTTCCGAGCACCAGTCCTCGTCCTGAACGTAGACATGCCCTCTTCAACGTTTGTCCCCACTAGACAATTGTTACTGAAACATGAGACGATGAACAATTCTCACTCTCTAAATTGAATCATCCTACGCATACCCAAATTGAACACAAGAAAGCGACTTCGCATTGGCTATATAGCCACTTTCAAAACATAGTACATACACTGCAGTGCAACGATCTCGACACCCGACCATGCCGAGTCTGCACGCAAACAAAAGATTGGTATCAAAGCGCCTCTCCAGGGCAAGAAACGACCACCGTGGAATCGCTCCCCGTCAACGACAGAGACTGGACAAATCCCCTGCCGAAGACATTCCCCAATTGTGCAGGCGGCATTCGCTAAAGCTTTCCATTTTCTTCCCACGTCGGTTGAATCATTTATTCTTCAAGGCAAAAGAAGTTCGACAACGGCCTTTCTATAGTATCGTGTGGCTCGCTGTTCGCTCTCGGTCGCTATTCGCTTAGTCCTCGTAGCCCTGGGGAACCACGCGCGGACCCTTGGGGACTGTGTGATAAATGCTGGTTAGTCTCAGGGAGCCAATTGGTGTTTCGACATCCTCAAATGGCTGGAATAGGCGAGATAGAACGATTTGCATGCTTACTGGGGTATGTCATGGGGATAGGCTCCGGGTCAACGTCACCGAGAGCCCGGCGGAGCGGGGGAAGAGTGACGAGCGCGACGGGGCCCATAGAGCCGATCAGGAGGGAGTAGAGGATCGCAGGCTTCTCGTGAGAGGCCCAGCGGATGTACCGCAGGGGAGTGGACCAGAATTGAGGGGTAGACATGATGATAGACCGGGTCGGAGGTCGACGGGCGGTTCGGGAGGAGTTTTTCGAGTAGGAAAAGCGGTTAAAGAAGCGCAAAGGCAATAAACGACACGATTCTTGAAGAGTCGAGTCAAAAATATGCAATTACCACCCGGTTATTGGTTGGTGGTCGAGGGTAAGCGGCGGGGGAAGGTTCAAAATCGGTAGGCCGTGGGGAAGAAGTGAAGTTCGACGTTCGGAGATGCGATGGATCCCAGCGAGTCTTGGCACCGTTCCCATTAACACGTCGCCCTTTCGGGTGATCTATACTATCTCCCGCCTACGTCCCCTCTTCAACCTCCTTCTCTCTTTTTACGTTCTTTTTGCCCTCTCCATTTTTTTAAGCTGGGCATCCGATCCGCTGTGCGGAATTATTCCAAAATGCGGTGGTGCCTTGCGTTGCTTCTTTGCTGTTTCTTGGCTGCCGTCAACGCTCTGAGTAGCTCCGGCAGCCGCCTGTTGGTTGTCCTTGACGAGTCTACAGAGAAGAGCGCCTACTCGACCTTGTGGTCCGATCTGGAAGGTAGTTGAACTTTGGATCCTTTCATTCGAAACTCTCTAACGGGTCAATTAGGTCGTGGATACGATGTGTCCTTCGAATCACCCAAGAGCGACAAGCTGTCCCTCTTCCAGCATGGCGAAAGAGCTTACGACCACCTTCTGATCCTTCCTCCCAAGTCCAAGGGTGAGCGCTCAACCCCCCGGTGTGTATAAGTGCCAATTGACTAATTGTTACAGGCCTCGGCCCCAACTTGACCCCGAAGAACATCCTGGAATTCTTGAACAAGGACGGTAACATCCTCCTCGCCCTCTCCGGCAAGGCCTCCACCTCCAGCGCCGTCAGCTCCCTCCTCCTCGAAATTGACATCCACCTCTCGAACGACCGCTCAGCCGTCGTCGTTGACCACTTCAACTACGACACTGTCTCGGCCGCCGAGAAGCACGATGTCCTCCTCCTCCAGCGTCCTGGACCTCTGCGCCCCGACGTCAAGGCCTTCTTCGACGGCGAGGGTGTCCTTGCCCTGCCCCGCGTGGCACCCCAGACCCTCGGCAGTGACAGTGCTCTCGTTGCACCTATCTTGCGCGCCCCGGCCACTGCCTACGCTTACAACCCGAAGGAGGAGATGCCCGCGGCCGAGGATATCGAGGCCACTGGCTCCCAGTTGAATGTGGTCTCGGCCATGCAAGCTCGCAACTCTGCCCGCTTCACTGTTCTCGGCTCCGTCGAGGCGCTGGAGGATGAGTGGTTCTCGGCTTCGGTCAAGGCCCCCGGCGGCAAGAAGACTCCCACCGTTAACCGTGAGTTCGCTAAGCAATTGACTGCTTGGACCTTCAAGGAGACTGGTGTCCTCAAGGTTGAGAAGATTGAGCACCACCTGGCCACCGAGGGCGAGGTCGCTGCCGAGGATCTGAACCCCAAGATCTACCGTATCAAGAACGAGACCGTACGTAAAAGATATCACGCTCCTGCATGTCCAATAACTAATTGATGAAACAGGTCTTCAACATCGAGGTTTCCGAGTACTCCTACGACAAGTGGGTTCCCTTCGAGGTCCCCGGCGAGGACGAGCTCCAGCTGGAATTCACCATGCTCTCGCCCTTCCACCGCCTGGCTCTTGAGCCCACCAGCCGCACTGAGACCAGCACCGTGTACAGCGCTCAATTTGTGACGCCGGACCAGCACGGCATCTTCTCCTTCCGCGTTAACTACAAGCGGCCTTTCTTCACCAATGTTGAGGAGAAGCACGAGGTGACTGTGCGCCACTTTGCGCACGACGAGTACCCGCGCAGTTGGGCTATCAGCGCTGGCTGGGTCTGGATCGCCGGTCTGTGGTCGGTGATTGGAGGATTCTTGGCCTTTGTTCTCGTCTGGCTTTACTCGGCTCCTGCTGCTGATAAGGTTAAGAAGACGCAGTAGATCTGTATTACAATTGTATTGTCAATGATGACGTGGATTTGTTTGTTTTTCGTCCGATCTGTCTACTATCAGTATACCCTCAATGGCTGTATAGAATTGATGGCTCTAGCTGCAGAGCTTTGCTAACAGCAATAGACTGGCAACACGTAGTCCTATTCGCGTCCGAGACGCCTTTGTAGATGAAGCTTGGGAATTCTTTGCATATAATTTGGTCACGCACAAATGTACCCAGTGTCTTATTTCAGATTGGAGATGCGCCATGATATAAAAAACAGAACTCCAGACCATGCCAGCATGAATCAACCCATCTTCTCCTTGTAGAATACAGCGCAATGCAGCTCTCCACTGTCGATTGCGTGTCATGCGTATCGTACTCTCCGAGACATCCCGTGATAAACACATTATGCCCTCACAGTCCACGAGTCTTCTCCGGGTCCATTTGTACCTCGTCGCCACTGAGTTCCTTGACGGATGTGTAGGCTGGCCGCCCAGCGTACAGCTGCCCCGAGGAGCTCGGCTTCTTCTCGTCCATCTCCTTCGCTACCGAGATGGGGTGGTTTCCGCGGAATCGCTTGCGCATATCGATCATGCCGCGTCTATATCAATAGAAGATGTCACTGGTCAGCAATGATACCCTCGTCCGGTCTCCTAGACATGTCCTCGCGCGGTGTCACGGAAATGATCCCACTCACTTGCACTCGCTGAACCCTTTGCGCAACTGCTGACACTTCATTGGCAACTCTTCGGCGAGCGGCGACGCCAGACATTCACGTGGCGTATGCCGCTGGACCATAATACAGTCAGACTCCTGCAAGCATTGAGCCAGCGCCTCTCCTGTGTAGTGGCATGCGGTTAGCTCATATGATTCGAATGGCTGCGGGCGCAGTGTAGGTGGTACAAGGTGCAAGACACGCTCGTAACGCTGAAAGCAGTATGACAGTATGACTTACTGATATCCTGACACGAGCTGGGCATGGTGAATCTCGCAAATGCAAAATGTCCAGATGGCCAGCGCAAATGCAATCGGCAGACTGACTCTCCGGCAAATTCGGGCGATCATTCAACAAGTCGCTGATTGGCCCGAGGTCGGTATCTCCCCGGATGAGGTAAGCACGACTTTCACATGAACATGACGTCGCGCGATTTCGCGACTTCTTCATATTCCCCGGTTCAATTCCTCTGTCTGCTTTAAACAAGAACGGTTCTACCAGGACGTGCTGGAACGACTATATGCGTAGATTTTGGGTGTGTCGCTTTCCATCATGGCGCGTGTTCCCCTGATTGGGAGACTCTTCTGGTATGTCCCGCTCCCAAGCGTATCTGAACTTACACTTCGTGAACTAACACATGAGCTGCAGGTTCGAATACCTGGCGCTTTTTGCGTCCTTGATACTTGTTCTACTCGAAACTATTATTCATCTGATTACTTTTTGCCTTCGTGAGTGGGATTTCTCGCAATGCCTTTTACTAGTGTAGACTGCTAACCTGTATCTAGCAACGCCGATTATCAGTTTCTGCTACGAACAATCAAAATCGATTTTCAACAAGTTTATCTCCACGGAGCCTCGAGAAAAGCGAACGAAAGAGGAAATCTTCGCAGCCTCGATCGCGGAGGCGTCGGATTTCATCGAGATATGCTCGCTTTTCGGGTATGAAGCAGAGGAGCATATCGTCCAAACAGGAGACGGGTATCTTCTTGGACTACACCGATTGGCCTATCGGAAGGGCGAAGAGAGTATTAGAGTGAATCAAGGTGCTGGTGGACTCAGCAAGAAAGTCGTTTACCTTCACCACGGCCTTCTCATGTGCAGCGAGGTGTGGGTTGCCCTAACCGACGAACAGCGGTGTCTGCCCTTCCAGCTGGTTGAAAAGGGTTATGATGTGTGGCTTGGCAACAACCGTGGCAATAAATATGCGAAGAAATGCATCCGATTCTCGCCTGGCTCGCACGAGTTCTGGGACTTTTCGATCGATCAATTCGCCTTTCATGACATTCCTGACAGCATCGAGTACATCCTTGGAGTGACCGGCCAGCCGTCATTATCCTATATTGGATTCTCGCAAGGAACAGCCCAAGCTTTTGCAACACTTTCTATTCATCCCCTTCTGAACCAAAAGGTGGATGTCTTTGTGGCACTTGCTCCTGCAATGGCTCCTTCGGGGCTACGCAATCGCATTGTCGACTCTCTGATGAAAGCATCGCCTGATTTCTTGTTCCTACTATTTGGTCGACGCAGTATATTGTCATCGACAACCATGTGGCAAACCATCCTATACCCACCAATCTACGTCCGCATCATCGATATGGCACTATCAGCCCTGTTCAACTGGAAGTGCCGCAACATCACCCGAACACAGAAATTGGCCGCCTATCTCCATCTGTACTCCTTCACCAGCACCAAGTCCGTCGTGCACTGGTTCCAAATCATCCGCAACAAGAACTTCCAATTCTTCGACGACGAAACTCACGCCCCCTTCAGCGTCGTCGCAAGTGAGCGTTTCTACAAGCCCGTCAAATACCCGACTCGCAATATCAAAACTCCCATCGTGCTCTTGTACGGCGGCAGTGACAGCCTCGTCGATATCAATGTCATGCTCCAGGGTTTGCCTCGTGGTACAGTCGCCAAGGCAATTCCTACGTATGAGCACCTTGACTTCCTGTGGGCCGAGGATGTCGACCGCCAGGTGTTTGGTCATGTCTTTGATGCACTCGAGACGTATAGTCACAGTGCGGTTGATCCCACCGAGCCACCTCTGCTTGAGGTGCGTCATGATGGGAAGATGCTCATTGATGGACGTGCTTCTAATACTTCGGCGCCGCGAATTCGTTCGAAGGAGACTCTATTAAATGGTGCTTCGTAAATCTTCATTGCATAGATTCATGTCTTTTACTGCGTTTCTTCATTCGCTGTAGCTCTTTTGCCATATTTACATAGCCCATCCTGTATATTACATTGAATATTGGTGGTTCTCTGCATAAACCTCCGCATATACAATTACATTAACCTGTCTTCATACCAATCCAGCCCTGATGATTCCCAGTTGTTCCTATTTAATCTAGGTTCCTGGTACTTGGACGACAAGTTAGCCTTCACAGAGGAGCTCCTGCTCCACTCTCTGCAGCATCTTCCGGTCCACTTCTCTGCACTCTCCACACCAGGGTCATTGCATTATTATTGTCATTACGGTGATCTGGTGGATTGGGGGTTCTCTCTTTCTAGAAGTCTGAAACTAGCAAACAGAGAAACCCACTATCTAGACATTTTAACTACCTCTTCTTTCTCTCGGGCATCGAGTCAGTCTCTTGACCCGAGGTTGACATGATTTGACTTTTTAGTGAGAAAAGTATGGCCGTCCATGTGCATGTTCAATTATTGGGCTAGATTTAAGGAGGTGCAATTTGGCTACAATGCCAAAAGCTTGGAGGCCATGATACCCCGCAATACCGGGATTGAGGAGGCCAATTTGAACGCCTACACCACCGTCATACAGTCTGTCTAGGGTATATTGAACCTGGCAGAGGCCAGAGGGGAAGATGGCCCCAGCGCGGTCTTCTTGGGCACCAACATGGCTTTGATTGCGGGCCTAACGGGATGGACGACCCCTCGTTCGCCAGTCAGGGCCAAGGACCACGAGCAAGAGGGTTAGGGAGAATGGTTGTTTTGATGTTGGTTCCACCTTGTCTTTTAAATTTGTTTAAAATTCAATTTTATATACCCCGAGGTGGTTTGTATCCACAACTTGTCCAATTGGAACAAATTATCACGTATATTGCTTTGCTAATTCGTCGAGGTACTGATAGCTCATCATGTTTGTATTTCTACCCCGATTCAATCCGTGACATCCTCCGCTTTTGGGGATCATTAGTTATGTTGCTACTCCACATGTCGTTCTAGTCGATCTTGCTAGCTATTATTACTCGCAGACTCGCTCTATTCAGGGAGTGGCTTATCACAAAAATGAAGGCCTTCTCCATAAAGTCGTTAGTTCCCAGCTTCTGTTTACTTATCGTTCTGTGAAGATAAAGTAGACTTGATTCGATGCTATAGTCAACCAGCTATATCCTTTCCCCCTTAGGTATACTCCAGCAACCCTTCTTGGGAGTTCCTGTTATCCAGGCAAAGCAATCCACTCACGCAGTTTATTCCACACCGATTGCGATTCCGATGTTGAGCTGGTGGTCGATCTAGACTTGGTGGTATCAGAATACATCGAATCAGAATCGGTCGAATCAGAGTTAGTCCATCCAGTACTTCTCGATGCAGATGTTGATCCAGACTTTATAAGCTTATAATTAGGTATCAACTTTGGATCCACTAAAGCAGGACCCAAGAAATAAGCGTCTGCCATCTTCAACAAGAATGCCGGGTTATCATTCCTAAGAAGAGCATAAAGACGTTGCATAATTTGGTCTTTTTCCTTGGCCAAAAGATCCACGTCTCGGTTGGTCGAACAGCAAGAGCATTCCTCAGTGCAGTGCCCAATGCCTCTCACCCTTTCTGAATTCAAATGACGCCGAGCACAACATCCACAAGCTCTACTGTAGCAGCCTCCACGAGGTACACAATCTTCCACGAGTTTTTTTTCGCATATAGCATATCCGGCATTGCCTCAATGAATCATATTTCTCTTTCAAAGGTCGGGCGGGGTTCATCAGCTCGTGTTCGTAGAGCTCTATCTCTTGGGCTCTGTGTTTTCGCTTGAGCTGCTTCAGTTGCTCCTCAAAGCTGGTAGGCTCGGTCTTCTCGTTCGGCTTGAAGGTTGGTCTAAGGCTTTTGATCTTGCTCTCCATCATGTCTACGCGTTGCACGGTAGCCCCGAGGCAATACTTAGCGTAAATGACTTTCACGAAGACGTCACGATGGAAGTTGACTCTTTGACCATATTGAATGCGATACCAGTCGTTTTGAGGCCGACCATGCCTATCATAGGAAGATTGGGGTGGGTTTGCATAGTCCGCGACTGCTGTGAATGCTTCGGATTTTCCGAACATGTCGGCTAGCAATCCCCAAGGCATGTAAACACGTCCACTGAGGGTCCTTCGTTTAATATGTAATAAGAAATATAATTTAAGAAGATGGTGAAAATTAATGAGAGGAGTTCCAAGGAAGGTTCCAGAGGGCAATGAGATTAAGGCATGACTGAGGAATGACACTTAGATATGCCGCTCGCGTCTCTGAGCCACACGTAACCAGATAATCTCCTTTCTACTCTCAAGCAACTCTCGTTTAGTTCATAAATGCCCCTCCAGATACATGGAATGTCTGGCCCGTCAACCACTGCGAGTCCCGACTAGCAATCAAAGCCGCCACGCCCGCAACATCCTCCGGGAGCCCTACACGACCCAAAGGCGACCACTTGGAAAGCAAATCCTCAATCTGCTTCGGAGTCATGTTCTCCCCGCCGGGAATATACTTGGGCGAATTATGATCATACATATCAGTCTTGACTCCGGCCGCCGCAATAACATTGACCGTGATGTTTCGTGGTCCAAAGTCTACCGCAAGACATTTCGCCATACCGAGAATAGCTGCCTTGGAAGAGGCGTAAACTGCGTGTCCAGGGACGCCCTGCCAATATTGAGTCAGAATAAAGCATATTTCCCAGTATACAAAAAGAATCCATATTTCTTACCTTCACCGCAGAAATAGAAGACGTCAACATGACTCGCCCAAAATCCTCCAGATACTTATACGCCTCCTGAGCAACAAAATACTGACCCTTGACATTAACCGCAAAAATGCGATCAATATCATCGCCAGTCACTTCTCCCAGGGCACCGAAATGTTCAATCCCCGAGTTGCTCACGACGATATCCAACCGGCCGAATTCGCGCTTGACAGCCTCGAACATGGTGCTTACTTCGGCCTCGTTGGAGACATCAGCTTTCACTGTGAGAGCGCGGACTCCGTGAGTGCGGATTTCGTTCGCGATGGAGTCGGCTGCGGTAGATGAGGAGACATAGTTGATGGCTACGTTTGCTCCGCGCTGGGCGAATTTTATGGCAATTGCGGCGCCGATTCCGCGACTGGCGCCCGTCACTGGATTGTAGAGATAGGCCAAGTTAGTTCTTTGGATGTAGTTGGATAGCATAGAGGTGGGATTTTCATACCGAGGGCGACTTTGCCGGATAGTTCTTTGTTCTCGGACATGTGTGTGACGGATTACTAGATAGACTGAGTGATTGTTGTGCACAATGCGGGGGGTGACTGTGTAGTGCAGGGGAGTCCTCGTTTATATACGCGATACAGGTACAAGGTGACCCCCGCTGTCAGTACAAGTAGAACTATCGGTGAGAGGGGGCTGCAGGTCTCTATAGCTTGTTATCCCCAGTCGTTCTTCCTGCTGCATGAATCCCGCGCAAGGGCGAGACTGGGCGGCCTAAAGGGTTTTGGATGTTACTGTCAATATTGTTCAAGTCTAACTACGAAAGAGTGTTGTAGATTAGAATCACTAGTAGACTTTCATAATGCTATCACTCATAGGTGGAATTATAGCTAAGAGAACGATGCCAGGGCTATCAAGAACAATTATTTAAAAGACGTTTCAAAAGAGAGGAATTTAAACCAGTTCATCTAGGGTCAGAATTCAGACTCCTTATTAGCCACTATACATACACCTTCGTCACGATGGTATACATCTACCAATTTCCTCACTATCTAGATGACCATCCTCAAATACAGACAGACAGCACTAGTGTCCAATACCGATTACCTTACATACTGAAAAGTAAACATTGCATATGCAGATTCATTCAATCCAAACCCAATCCATAACTTCAAAGCGTACATACTGAGAACATAAAACTCGGGGATTTCCTTCTGCCATCATCTAGTAGTAAAACACCCACACAGACAGAAAGGCAAAGAGCCCGGGATCAAAAAATCGCTCATTAAAGAGAACAGAAAAGGAAGAAAACACAGTGCCCGTTCCAGGACATTCGTTACCCCGACCTGACCAACCCCCTGGATGGAAAAAAAAACAAGAAGTCACGATGAAACGCCCATCCCCCGAGACACTTCGTAGAAACTGCCGGGGGAAGAAAACAAATTTTTCTGGTTACATAGAGCAGAATTACAGAAGCAGAGAGAGAGACATGTGAGGAGGCCAAAATGTATCAAGATATCAAGATGCAGGAGAATGCAAGGTAAGTTCTTCAGTCTTCGTCAGCGTCAGCGCCGTTCACAGTACTCGTGGCGGCACTGGTGGCACTTTCGGCGGCATTGGGATTGTTGAACGTAAGCTTCAGTTTGGGACCAGGAGTGCCGGCAGTTTGAGGAGTTGCGGTGCCAGAGGGAGCACCCGCTGACTGGCCATCGCCGGCGACGGAGTCGGTGCCATCAAAGTTGGCAAATTGGGGATGATCAGCGGTCAGCTTCTTCAATTCGCTCACGCATTTAGACTGTTCATGTGTTAGTCAAGAAATCTATCGAAACCAATTTAGTGTCAAGATGCAGGAATCACATACCTCAATGTCATTGGCATCCTGGAACAGCAGACTTCCATCCTCGTTGAATGTCCGAGCATTCTGGCAGAGAAGATGAATGTCGTCCCGGAACTCCTTCATGCTCTGGTAATCGTCACGCTTGATTTTCCTCTCGATCATCTCCACCGCAATGGGGTTCTGGATAATTTTGTAGTAATCGGGGTACTGCGAACGGGGCGGCGGCTTCATGAACGGTTCAATGATCGAACGCAGGACAGTGCCTCCTTCCTCGCCGTCAGAGTCGTCGAGCTCCACCTCTTCGGTCATGTCCTTCAAAGACTGCATCACGCTGTTGACAATATTCGTCAAGATGGACCGGTCGGAACTGCTGAGGGTATCCGGAATCTTGGGCTGACGACCCCTCTTGCGCTTAGGCTGTGGAGTCTCCTCGGCGACCTCTTCGGCCTTGCGCTTGGAGGGAGCAGGACCACGACGACGCTTTCGTGGAGGAGTTTCGTCGTTGTCGACGGGTTCAGGCGACGATTCAACCACACCTTGTGCCTTGAGCTTCCTCTTCTCCTTTCTAACCTTGCGATCTTCTCGTTCTTGCAAGTACTGCTCAACCACGTCATCGATTGACGCGCCGGTTTCCTCGCACTCGGCCACGAGCTTGGTCCACTCCTCAAGAGGAATATCATCATCATACCGCTTGACCTTGCGTTCACGAGCACCACGACCGTAAACCTCGGTCACGGGCTCCTCGGCAATTGGAGCGTCCTCTTGCACGTAGATGTCGGGCAACTCCTCGTCACACATCAAACGAGGGTAACGACGACCGGGACCGTATTCGTCAGTCTTCTCACGGTCTCTGTCCATCTGTTGGAAGATGGCAAGCTCCTCTTCAGAACGAGCCATGATCTCGTTCAGGTCATCATCTTCCATCTCCTCTTGGTCACCAAGTTGTTCCGTATCTTCCGTAGACTCCAAAAGGTTGCGGAGGAATTTGTCTCGCTCTTCGTTGGTGGACTTGTTGTCGAATTTACCAGCCTGGATGACCTTGCCGTCCATGTCGAGCTTGAACTGGGCACGTTCCAAAATCTTCTCTTCAACGGAGTTAGAACTGATCAGTCGCAAAATGCGAACCTCGTTCTTCTGTCCAATACGATGGGCACGATCCTGGGCTTGCAAATCCTGGTGAGGATTCCAATCGGAATCGTAGATAATGACAGTATCGGCGGTCTGCAAGTTCAGACCCAGACCACCGGCACGGGTAGAAAGCAAGAAGCAGAAGTACTCAGAGCCGGGTTCATTGAAAACCTTGAGAAGGTCCGAACGATCATCCGACTTTGTGGAACCGTCCAGACGGAGGTACTTTAGGCCTCGCATGCGAAGGAAATCTTCCATGATGTTCATAATCTGCGTCATCTGGAAGAACATCAAGACACGATGGCCGGTGGCACGGAACTTGGGCAGAACTCGGTCAAGCAGCTCGAACTTTCCGGCTGTTCGCCAAAGCAGATCGTTGGTCATGCGGCTGGGGTTCATCTGATCTTCAACGGGTTCGAAAACGAAAGGATGGTTGCAAAGCTTGCGCAGCTGCATCAGCATGTTGCTGAGACCGCGCACATTAGTCTTACCACCCTTGCCATCGCTAACGGCCATCTTGTTGTGGGTGACCAATTGCTTGTACAGCCGGGTCTGCAGGGCAGAGAAGCGGCACTTGATGACGCGCTCTTGCTTGTCGGGAAGATCCTTCTCGACATCCTTCTTCAGACGACGGAGCAGGAATGGACGAAGAACCTTATGCAGACGACGAATAACGAGCAGCTGCTCTTCTTCAGTCAGGTCCATACGATCTTGACCACCAGTGTTGGCGAATGGGGTGTTAAACCATTCATCAAACGACTTGACGGACTTGAAGATGTTCGGCAAGACGAAGTTGAGAAGTGCCCACAATTCAGGCAGGTTGTTTTGTAGGGGCGTACCGGTCAAAATCAAACGATAGCGGGTGTGGTAGTATGTCGACAAGGTGCTGCTCAGCTTGGAGCTGGCGTTCTTCATACGATGACCTTCGTCCACAATCATGTGCGCCCACTTGATCTTGGAGAGAATAGGACGATCCTTGATGATGTACTCGTAGGTGGTAAGAAGAACCTGGAAATTGCCCCAGCGGATTTGCTGTTGTTGCTGTTTGCGAGCATTAGGAGGACCCTTGTAGACCACCTTTGTGACTGACGGTGCCCACTTCTCGAACTCCAGGTTCCAGTTGGTCAGGGTACTAAGAGGCACGATGACAAGGAAAGGTCCATTATTCCTCTTCTTCTCAATGATATGGGTGATCAAACTGATGGACTGGATGGTCTTTCCGAGACCCATCTCGTCCGCAAGGATACCGTTCAGGTTGTTGTTGTAGAGCGAAATCATCCACTGCAGACCCTTCAACTGGTATTCCTTGAGTGTACCACCAACCAGAATAGTCGGCTGCTCGGTAATCGTCTCTTGGATGCGATGAGCCACGGCATAGTAATCAACCTTCTTCTTTCCAGAGGTGCCATCATCATCTTCGTCACTGTCAGCCAACTCTTCCTCTTCGTCCTCGAAGTCTTCGTTGTCGCCATAGCGCTCGGCTTGGTTGCGCTGTTGCTGTCTGACGGAGTTGGCAAGTTCCTTCAAGAACTTGTCGGTCTGTCCAAGCAAGTGCGAAATACGCGAATCCTTGGCCTGTCCCAAGAGCTTCAAGTAAGTCTCCTCGTCGTTGGCCTTCAGCGCTTGCAGACGTTGCTTGGCAGTACGCTCCACGCGTTTCTGCTCCTCGCGCTCCATGTGCTGGTGATGCTGGACCATCATACGACCAAGCTTGGTCGCACGATTGCGGCTTGCGGCGCAGGCATTGAAGACTTCGGCAGTGTGGTTAACAATTGCCTGAAGCTGGTCGTATTGCTTCTTCTTCTCCCGCGTCTCGCGAGCATCCCGTTGTTGCTTCTCGAGCTTCTCAGTGATCCGCGCCTCACGCAACGAGGGACGCTTCATACGACGATGAACGGCACGATTCGTCTGGTTCGTCTCGCTGGCGTCGAATCCGGTACGGCGAATCTTCTCACGCAGCGCCTGCTGCTTAGCCCGTAGACCCAACGACTTGAGCTCAATGAGAGCCTTCAGCTTCAGCGAATCATCGCCCGTGGGCGCGTCACTTTTGCTGGTGTCCCAAACACCAATGTTAGCCGAAAGCTTCTCAAGTTCCTTCATACGAGCCGACATGCGGTTGTAAACAACGGTTTCGCGATTCTCACGGAGCTGGCGCCAATCGATGCCGCTGCATTCGAAAGCAGGAATGCGGGGGCGATTGATGCGGTGTTTGTGGCCCTCGAAGCTGATAAGCTTGTGGAGGACGGTCTCATCCAGCTGGAATTTGCTGTACGAGTCCTTGCCGGGAATCACTCCATCGACATCGGTGGTTGATCCGGCGGCGTTCTTATCAGACCCGTCCACGACCTTCTCTGCCAAAGCGACTTTATCCGCAATGGTGGGTGTCTGGGGCTTCTTATTCGGGAACAGCTGCTGGTGGAGAGCCGGTGCAATGGGCTGGTTTTTGGAAAGCGTCTTGAAAGCCATTATTTGGTTCCGAAGGGTAGCCAGTTGCTCTGGCGAAAAGCTTCCACTGCCAACCGTTGCAGCCTTTCGGTTTGCGTTTGACTGGGCGGTACCGGGTTGTGCGTCGGGAAGAGCTCCAGTCATGGATGAAGTCGAAACGTTCCGGGCTTTAAAAAACACGATTGTTGTCAGTATGGGCGTATTCAAAGTATGACAAGATCAGAAGAAAGCTTACCGTGTACCCCATTGGTGGCGGCATCTGGGCCGGCACCATTCTGGTTGACATTCACCGGGTGGGCGACCTGCTGCTGGACTTGTTGAGCCTGCTGCTGGCGCTGCTTCTGTTTCATCAATTGCTGGCGCTGGATAGTCGCAAGAAGCTGGTGGGCCTTGATGTATTCAGGGTCATTAGGGTTGACACCTTGCTCCTGCATCTGCTTGAATTTCTGCGGCGATGTTAGACGGGAGAGCGAAGGCACAAGCAATCGAGTAGCGACAGTGAAGCAGGGGCATTGGGAAATAATTAGGGTTACGCGAAAGATAATCAACTACTAACCTGCAGAACCTCTTGGACGTGCTGCTGAGTCAAGTTCGCCGGCAAGGCATAATTGCCAGGCGCCATAGTGGGCGCCGACTGTAAGGAAGCCATGACGATGCGCGTAATTCCTCAATTCATAGATTGCCCAGGGGCGCGGTGGGCAATCAATGCGACGCAGAACCGAGTGGAAGTGAACTGGATGTCACGGGCTCCACTTTGTTACTACGCCAGGTCGCGCCCGGAAGCGAAGGGAGGGATGGAAAGCGCGACCGGGGGGTGGTGAGGCGCGTGACGGGGAGGTCTGGGGAGGGACTGGGTGAGGCGAAAGGGTCTGTTGAGACTCTTGGCGATGAGAAGGGAGATGTTTGGGATGGTGGTCGGAGCTTCGGGGATGCGATCGATGAAAATGGGGTTGGGGGGTGGGCGGGTACTTTGAGTTAACAAAAGGGGAGTGGAAGAAAGCGAGTAATTTGGCGGCCGCGCGACAACCTGATGGGGAGGGGAGTCGAAAAGCAAGCGAGCGCTGTGGATGGCGCGTGGTAGGTGTGGATGGATAGAAAATGGAGATGGAGGGGACCGAGTTGCGCGACTCGCTCGGGGAAACCTGGTGCTTCTCGCTGGAGTAGGCGACAGGCGACTAACAACAGGAGGGCGGCGAGAGGAGATTTCGTGTGCTGGTCACGGGTGGTCACGGGGCAATCACGGGGCTGACTCAGCGAGGCGTTCTGGATCCTGCGCAGTGGCCACCGCAGTTTTCCTACCATACGTACTTCTTGGCAGACCTGATATCAGATCAGGCAATAGGGCAGGACTTTCTATCGGCCTCGGCTGACTCTGCAGTATAATTAACAGTCTAACTTGGTAGTCAATACTCGCAATGCAGAGATACAATCTATACTACATACTTGCTGGCTAAACCAAACTACCTATACATTCTCTGGACTTGAACTTGAACAAATAAAGAAAGGAAAGAACAATAACACTTTCCAATCGAGTCCAATTCATCAACTAGAAAGCTCCGTAAAGGGAAAATTGCGGCACATACAGAGACAAAGTGCAAGAAGAAAATATTGGAAAATCCCAAGTCACATTGGAAAAGCCACCGCTCTGAAGATAAGGATAAAGACTATCAATCCATCGGTAGAGTCGATCGCAATGCCTATCCCAGAACTCCAAACACTCATGTGCCTAGTCCAAACTAAGCTTGCAGCATAGATCATCAACCCAGTCCAGTTAACGTTCACCTTTACACATCCGTCACCGTTACCAAGGATCGCTTCATTGGTGGTGGAGGAGGGGGTGGCTTCTTTGCACGCGACGGGGGAGGAGGTGGAGGACCCTTCTTGGTCAAACCGGAAACGTTCAGGGTAGTAGAGCTAGGCCGACGAGAAGGCACGCTGCCATGCGATGTAGCTGGCGAGCTTGATCGACCACCATACATGCGCTCGGGGCTAGAACGGCCATAAGAGCTAGCTTCGGAGTCTGCGTACGGATCAACAACCGGTCTCCCACCAAGAGGTTGCACACTGTTTCGACGGTTGGAAAAGGTCTCGCTAGCGGTTCGCTGAATCCACTGAGTGGCTACTGGAGATTGGTCTTGACGCAACTGAGTCGGGCCTTCAAAAGTAGGTGTCCGACTGAGACCTGGTCGAGCAAAGCTATTGCTAACTGGGTAGGCGTCTCGGGCGGGAGAGTCTGCCATGTACGTCGAGACCGTCCGGTTTGAGCGAATAGTGGGTCGGCTCTCGGTGACAACCGTCAACTCTTCCTGCAGAGGTTCATAACGCTCCTGGTATGAGTGAGCAGTGTTGGACCGGGCTCGCGTCGGACGGCGAGGTGGAGCTGGGCCCTGGCCGGACCCGCCAGGCCATTCACTCTTGAGCTGCAAAAGCACCTCGCGGCATCGTTCGTGATACTCCAGCTGGGCTTCCAAGAAAGTTCCCAGATCCATCACGCTGTCCATTTCCGCATCCTTGATATCTTGCATACGACGGATCACATCGTCATTGGCTTCTTCATACTTGACCTTTTGGCTGCGCAGCTCTTCTTCCACACGGAAGTCCTCCCTCTTCGCCTTCTCCATCTTTGACAGAGAAGTGTCGTACGCCAGCCTACGGCTATCAAGCTTCTTCCGAGCATGCTGGTAATCCTTCATCTGGGTCAGAGATCTCTCTAAGGACTCGAGCCAGCTCGAGGTCGCCTGGGTAATGTAACTCTCTTGGATGCGCGCAATGCGCTCTTCAGTTCGGCCAAACACTGTAAGATTTGGGTTAGTTATCAATACGTCAGAGCCGAAGGTGGCGCATTCCCGGGGTACTCACTGGTCAGGCACTGTCCATATTCAGAGCTTCCGTCAAAGTCTTCTCCGTGGGTAACCATGGAGCTTCCCAAGTGGGCAATCGGGAGAGTCTTTTCCTTGTCGTCGCCCTCGCTGCGCTTGGAGACGGCCTTGACGTATGCAGTCATGGACTTGTGAATGCGGTCGACGCCTAAACAATGGCGCATCAGTATAAGGTCTGAATTCGTAGGGGCTAGGTCAACATTGGCCTACCTTCATGTCGCACGCCCATCTCAGTCTCCATTGCCTTGAAGTCATCCGACTGGCAAGTCTTCACTTCTCCACCCATTCGCTCGCCAGCCCATTGCTTCAGGCGGCCGATTCTCTTGTTCATATGCATGGTGATTGTTGTTCGTTCTGGGGTTGAGATTGAAATAGTAGGTATTGAGGAAAGTTCGCGGGGTAAACACGATCGACAACTGCGCGCAGCACAGCGTAAGAGGCGGGATAAATCTGAAGGGCGATTATCGAGTCAAGCGATCGTGAAGTGACCTGAATGATAAATGGACAGGTCGAAGATAAAATCAATGAGTTGTAGAAAGAGAGACAGTCCCAAAAAGAGGCGGGAGTGCAGAGATCAAAAGGCCAGAAGGTCCAAAGTCAAAAAGGGTGGAGATTGGGGGAGAGAGAAAGGGGAGGAGGTTGGGAAGGAAGACACGGGGGCAAAGGGGAGGATTTGGAGAAATTAATCAATTAAAGCATGCCCCAGGCCATATCATACCCAACTCCAATGGGTCCCCCCTCATTAATCCCATTTATTCTTTTGGTTGTTTTTTTTAATAATAATCTATGCGCCACCAAAGAAAATAAGTTTCTGGAAATTCCTCCCCAAATGCGCATCCACTACATGCAGATAGTCAGATACAATGTGGATGTCGATCGGTGGGGAATGCTCGACGAAAACTATTGTGATTCATCCAGATGGCTCAACAAAAGCAAAGTCCCCAGCCATCTGGGAACAGACTAGGCGGACACTGACATCCACTCAATTGACTCTCTCTCTCTCTCTCTCTCCCACTTCAGACAAGAAAAGAGTGTCTTGATTTTCCCCCGAGACAAGGGCGTTCAAACACAGTGTTTCGAAAAGCCAAAAGTCTCGATGGCGGCTAACGCTGTGACACGCGTTGGTGGGCCGACGGTGGGGGAGGGCCCCAACTGCTATTTGCCAATGGATTCCAATTGGAACGCCAGGAACCGGGGCCCGGATCATCGTTGGTTGTTTAATTACTATAATTATCCTTGACAGAGTCAATCGTCTCTGATACATGTCGCAGACCTTGCCACCCACGACAGGGTCCAGCCCGTCCTGCTTGCAGTCCCTCGACAAACCGGTTCTCATTGTATTCTATGGAGTACGATATTGTACACGAAGTATACATCTAAGTATACCTCGACCACCTCATCCTCGATCCGTTTGATACACAGAATACGTAATATCGTGCACGGAGCTCCGGGGCCTTGGCCAAAAAGGTTTCGTCTGTGTTTCAGGGCTCCCTTGCCGATTGACACGGTGGTGGCGATGACCAGCCACGCCCTATCTTACTTGTAGCTTCTTGCCTTTTGACTTTGCGGCGATCAGCACTTTCTGGGTCTGTGGTGACACCCTGGGGCCCGGGCATACTTATGGGCATACCGTAACCTGGCCGTTGACAGGGTTCGATGGAGAGGGGTACGATGATCCTGTCTCTTCCAGGCATGTCAACGGCACAAACGCCAAGACCATCTTTAAATTGTTGTATACACTTTAATATTAACACATGTCATGATTGGACTACTCGGTAACATTATCATTGAGCAAGATTCATGCCTCATGTACTCATTATCATACAAAATGATTGGCTGGGATCAGCCATCAACCGGAATGAAACCATCCCCCGCGATCACTTCCCCGACGCCCATGTCACCTGGGGGTCAATGGCGAGCGGCGGTTCCTCTATGGACAATATCTGCCCTGGCTCAGCCTCCAAAAAGGCATCAAAGTCATTCCAGACAGAATCCATAATAACGGGCGGTTCTCCCTGAACGACCGAATAGCCATCCACCGGCCACAAAGCGCTCGAAAGACTTTCACCCGCTTCTAAATTCAGAACCCCGTTCCCACTCTCATCCAAAAAGTCCAAGGGCGGTGTTTCACCCTCCGACAAAGCAGTTTCTGGAGTCCAATACTCCGACGAAGACGATGATACATCACCCTGGACGAGACTGCTGGCATACTGACCCGGCGTCACGCCCACCCGTTTCTTGAACACGCGATGAAAATGACTCGGCGTCAAGCCAGCTTGAGCCGCCAGATCTTGCAATCGTGGTTTCAGCCCTATAGATAGCTCAGCCCGGATTGTTTCGCATGCCTTTGCCACGATCGCAGTTTGTGGATGGTTCGCAAGCGCCGTGCCTCCCGCCTGGGGCCGGCAGCGCTTACAGGCTCGGAATCCGGCCTCCTCCGCTTGCGAGGGGGTATCGTAGAATTGGACGTTGGCGCGGCGTGCCAGACGGGCGGCGCAGGATGGGCGGCAGTAGATCTTGGTTGTCAGCACTCCGTATACGAAGCTGTTGATCGTAGGGTCGCGCTTAGTGATGGCTTGCCACCGCTGGGAGGAGGTGAGGGAATCGGTAGATCGAGTGAGGCGAGGGATCTTTTGTGGGGTGTGTTTAGATATCATCGTCACTGGAGGTCGCTCGGATTTTTCCAGGTCGGTCGGATCCAAGAGGAGAGGTTCATGGTTTCTGTTCTTGCTGGGTAGAGGAGAATACTTAAGGCTGCTTCGAGTCCACTACGTAAGTCCCAGTCCTTGGCTGGATCAAGCCGCTGATTGGTCACTTTGAGATCAACGCCAATCTGGCTAGGTTTGTTCTATTGTAACCAGTCACTTAGCACAACTAGATACAAGGGAGATAATTAAATTTTTCTTACTTCTCGATCAACAATTCTTCGCACCATGAGTTGGTATTTCTTCATGTCGTTGGCGGTGTTGAAATAAGGTTTTTAAAGTTGCTGTGCACGAGCGTTGCCTCGAATATATATCACATCTATTTTCACTCCAACGACCCGACACTTTCTCTACTCGAATTCGACGCAGATACAAAGCAGACAATTTATATCCATATACGATGAGAGCCTACCTATTAATTCATATCGACATAGTAGAAAGTCTTCAGGAAATGTAATCCATGTACATCAGCAGTCAGCACATGACACACATGGTAGCCCCCACACAGTGGACATATCTTCAAGACCTCGTATTTTCCCAAGCACATCGCATCCTTATGATCTATGACGGGAGCACTAACATCACAATATTCGATTGATTTGGATACACGAGGCTGCAGTATAGGTATATAGGTTTTCCAGACCTCACGGGGTGGGAGATTCGGCGTCAATAGAGCATTTTGGGGCCATCGTGTTACCTGCCGTAAATAGACAGACCCGCACATTGGGCACACATAGATAAGCCTACACAAGATGCAGTTGGTGGCTTAACTAGGTCTATCAGATCAGATCGTTGACACGAATCTGCCAGGGAGCGGAAGTAGATAGAATCTAGGCGTGCAGGGTTGAATTCCGTGTGTGGTTACAGCTAAAGCACTGAGATTCAACTCCAGGCCTACATCTCTTTCTACAGGGTGGGCACAGAACGGATTGAAGATTTGAAAGGTGTATCATTTCAATAGACCCCAAGGGCCTTTTTTGACTTTCCCGTTCTGCCTTGACATGAGGCCAACCCCGGACCCCATCCCCATCACCCTTTTGATTTTGCTCGACCAGTAAGAAGGATGGTGACCACAACCTTAATTCGCTAAGGGCGCATGGGACGCCTATCCGCAGTCGCCTAGATACATATGTCTCATTGCAGAAGTCCATTTTCAACCCGTCACAAGAAAAACTCCACGTAACATCACGCTTAATCCTTGGTCTTCTGGGTACCGCGGAGCAGACCAGTTCTGCGGGCGGCAATGAGACCGGCCTTCTGACCCTGGGCAGCGTAGCGGGAGATGGTAGAGGCCTTACCGATGTGCTGGTGGTTACCACCACCGTGAGGCTATAGAAGAGAAGACTCGTTAGAAGGTCTGTAGTCATGATGCGGGGCTCGAGATTGTTCAAATAGCCAAAACTTACGTGATCGACGGGGTTCATGGCAACACCACGAGTCTTGGGCCAAGAGTTGCGCTTGACAGCGAACTTGTGCTTGGCACGAGAAGCCTTCAGGAGGGGCTTGTCGGTACGGCCACCACCGGCGACGATACCAACCATACCACGGGCGGTGTTCTTGATGACCTTCTTGGCACCGGAGGGGAGCTTGACACGGGTCTTGCCATCCTCGGGGTTGTGGCCAATAACGGTAACGTAGTTACCGGAGGTACGGCCAAGAGCACCACGGTCACCGGCCTTCTCCTCGACGTTGGAGATGACGGTACCCTCGGGCATGGAGGAGAGGGGAAGGACGTTGCCGACGGTCAGGGCAGCGTTCTTACCGGCGTAGATGAACTGGCCGGTGTACATGCCCTCGTTGGCGATGAAGGTCTCGGTGACCATCTTGAACTTGTAGGGGTGGCGGAACTGGACCTTGGCGAGGGGAGCACCACGGCCGGCATCGTGGATGATCTCCTTCACGACACCACGGGTGTATCCATGACGCTCAGCGTAGTCAAGGGTACGGAACTGGGCCGGGGCCTTGTTGAGACGGGTGTTGGCCGCTGTAAAGAGAAGAAAAAAAAAGTTGATCAGTACTCTAATTTCAAGGCTTGTTCATGTCGTCCATTTCCCTCCAGTCTGTGGATTTTTCTTTCTCTCGTTGCGTTCGGGCGTCCGCGCTGACGAAAAGAATCGGGGGCGAGGATTGGGAAATTTTGATGCGATCGCACTCACTGAAAATGGAGCCACGGCCCTTCCTCTGGTTGCGGATAACGCGACCCATGGCGACTGTCTAAAGGAGTACCTGTGTTAGTATTTGCGAAGGACAGGCAGTCGATTGCCGGCGAAGACGAAGTCGAGTGGGAAGGGAAAAGGTCGTACCTCGAATTGAAGATGGGACTTGTCGTTGAGGAGATGAGAAATGATCGGGGATGGGACTGTGTGGGCTTTAGGGTGCGGTCGCTAACCTAGCCGAATCGGTGCTAGCGCAACCACCGATTAGGTAAGCTTGTAGACGCAGCCCTGGAGAGTAACTTGTACTTGAATCACTTGAACGGGGAGACTTTAGTCATTGAGGATAAATGAAGACAGAGAAATTAGAATAACCGGTGCTTTGCCTGCTATAGTATTGGATTCACTTTCTTATGTATCGTTACCCTGACTCGCTGATGATATTCAGGCTAACCCTCTCCATGAGCAGTCCGAATCGCCTGACTTACATAACACACCACGTGACTATTACAATAGCCCTGACGGCGACAGCGTGAGGCCGCTCTGTCCTTTGGACTGCGGAGAACTGCCAAGTTGGTGACTGGTTGCATCCAGCGAACCTACCAGCTGCAACTGATTCTGGTCTGAAGTTCCCCCCTCTTTCCTGGCCCGCTAGCACTTCAAGTCAACCTGGTTCTTTCCGAATCACCAACGATTGGCGCTCCTCAAACCAATATAACATTGACTATAAGCAAAGCCCGGTGATACATACTGATGATGTCGAGCTGCTGGACGGCAGTGCGTTATATTAGCTTGTGCAAGTAAAGGCCATTACTTGCATTATCTTAGGCGAGCATTGAAATCATCAATTCATAATATTCCTACTGTATAATACATCACTTCTACTCGAGCGCCCTCTCTCATATCTCTTGGCGCTGCTCATCTATATGCCTGTAGTTCCCTGCTCTGGCAAATCGAAAGTGCTATAGATCATTCTGTAATGATATACAAGACATTGTAGAGTTTCGGACTACAGTTTGAATCAAATCGCGCAAACTAAATGGACTCTTTCCGCGTAAGGGTTCTCCCTTAAATAATCGCCCTGCGGGCGCAAGTGCCATTACCGACGTGACGCTTGCTGCGCCGGCTCCAAACTCTTGTCCTTCACATCACCTTCCCCCACCACATCTATCATGGCACACTCGGACTCGGATCTTTCTTCACTCTCATCAGCTCCACCTACTGATGACGAAGCAGCCATGGCCATCGATGAGCCTGTCGGTATTGCCAAGTACTTCAAGAAGGAGTCGGAGACTCCGCCGCCGAAGCGGGAGCCATCACCGCCGCATGAATACGTTTTGGCAGATAACCCCAACATCGCGGTAAGATATTGTCATATTGAATGGCTTTGGTTAATTTCTGGATCCTTGGCTATTTCTACGACGCGTCAATTATTCTTGAAGACACGTTTGCTGACCCGTCGCAATGGCTAGTTCATCGTCACGTTCCGCGCGCGTTTCCACGAAGCTTTCCCCCGAGGCCTGCCACACTTCGGACCACAAGACATTGAGAAAGGAGTAGAGGACTCGGTCCCTGGAGAATACATTGAGCGCCTCCTATGCGCCCTGCTAGGACTCGTTTTGAACCGCAAGAAGGATGTTGAGTATGGTCGCCACCCTATACCCGGTCCTGCGCGACGGGCTGGCACAGCGCGCCCTTGGCCCCTATCACCCAATGGCTTCCCGAATTATGCGCTAACATATTCTTTCACATTATCAGACGGAATCACTATACGCGACCGCTAGAGGAGGCGATTCAGGTTCATCAATCGCAGTGGCCAAAGGCATGGGAGGGCAAGAACCCCCTTCACGGTGGCCGCACCTTTGCGACCATGTCGCCCGAGGAACGGGTACGCTTTCAAGCAACGATGTGATTACCCGCGCAATCATTCTAACCACTTATTCTCTTTATATTATAGCTGGAACTCCTACGAGCTTTGATGCTCTGGTCCCTCTCATCATCGGATGCGATCCAGGCGAAAATCAAGGAGTCCTACAAACAGTCGCGCCATGATGATGACCTCAACCAGCCTCTATCAGTTCAGCCGTGGGGCAGGGATAGCTTGAAACGTCGATATTGGCTTATCGAGGGCCAAGATGATACCCACTTCCGGTTATACCGTGAGAGCAACCCTGCTCTCAAGACTATTACCTGGTGGAGTGTTGCTGGCGACATCCCAGAAATGCAGGCTATCGCCGATAGATTGCAAGAGGAGAAGGGTACCAACTCTAAGAAGCTCAGCGAACGGATCAGAGCTGCCATTCCTCGGTTTGAGGCTTCGGAAGAGGTACGTTATTCGATAATAAGAGAGCAGGCCATGAGTCGGGGACGGTGGCTAACAGTTCGCGCAGAAACGCAAGCGCCGCGATTACCGTCTTGCACGCAAGGCCGCATTTGCCCGACCGGAACCCGGGTTCTCTCTGTACGAGGGTCGCACCCGTGGCAAAAAGTTGAAGTACACCTACGATGACGACGAGGACATTTTTTCAGATGATCAACCCACTAGACGATCAGCTAGGAACTCGTCCGGTGTGACAGCGGCTGAACCGTCGCGTCCACGATTCACAGCAAGTGGCCGGCAAGTCAGGTCCCGGGCCGGCGGCGCGTACGGTGAATCATTGCTCAGTGGCCAGCGCGAGGACTCTGACTATGATGAAGAAGATGGCGCAAGGCCGCAAAGGAGTCGGACATCGACTCATCCCAATGGCTATTCCGGGTATGGTCTTGACGACCTAGACGATGAGTCAGAAGCTCGTTCCAACGACAGTGGAAACGAATGGGACGGCGGAGATGAGGAGGAAAATGATTTCGAGGGTGACGACGAAGGAGAGGATGCGAGTGGGGATGAATCCGTCGTCAATGGGGAGCCCAGAAGCCTTGTGGTTCAGCTTCGATACAGCAAGGGGAGTGCGTCTGGTGGGCCCAAGGATCCAGACGAGCCTCCTCCTGCAAAGGATGTTCCGATGGAAGATGCTACACAAGCTGGCGTGTCTCAAGAATCATATATTCCTAAAGAGACGCCACAGCTGGTTCGGGCATCAGAGCCTGCAGCAGTCCCATCTATGACTGCGCCGGCTTTCCCTTCGGTACCAGCACCTCAGGTGCCTGCTCAGCCAGCAGTTCCAAAGATGACTGGACTACCTATGTCTGCGCTCCTGAACACCCCAGAACCTGTTGCTCAACCACCACCGTCAGGAGCACCGAAAACGGCCCAACCAGTCGGTTCAAACGGCTGGAATGGGTCTCATCCGGATGCTGTGAATTGACCTAGCTCCGAGCTGGCTCGTGCCCAAGGACCGCCAACCAACTGAGTGGCTTTTCATTATTTCTACTTTGTCAGATAGGCCGGCAGAGGCCTCACGTTGTCCACTTTAATGATTGAGGGTTATACGCAGTTTGCTTAGAATGGAGGTGTAACGCTTCGCTTCGCTCTTCGGTCAATTCAGGTGCTGTAGATAGAAACCAATCTGGAAAAATTGATAATAATGCTCAGAGTCTGAGCTGAAACCATGTGTCTGGTATACAATGTACATTTTAAAGGTCGTCGTAGTATGTACTGATTTTGAATAGTAAACATGATCCAAGTACATAACTTCGACGAAAAAAAGATGATAAGACACTCTAAAATGTTGGGATATAGAACGAAAGAAGACAAAAATCCAACCCAACGCCACAGATGCTAGTAAGACAATATAGAGTTCCTCAAAGCCACCGAGAGAATCCAATCCCCAGCGTCATGACGAATCAGTCAGAACCAGCGTTGGAGAACTGGGCTTCGTAGAACTGCAGAAACTCCTGCGCCGTCAGCCACGGGAGTTCAATCGGTGTATCCTGTTTTATTGGAATGGGTTATTCACCTCCTCGACCTGAGAGGCCAGCTTGGGATCCTTGGTCCAGCCCACAGGCGGCAGTTTCCAGTTGTTGACACCGTACCACCACCTGCGGATTCTGCTTCCTAGTGTGTGTCCACTGAGCGAGGCATTGCGGTTCCAGAAGCGCCAGCCGGAGAGCGCGAGTGTCCAGACTGTGCCTTGGATGAGGGGGAGGAGGACCTGCAGAAAGAAACAGAGTAAGCCAAGCAATCCGGAATTTGTGGTTCATCTGAAAGTTTCCTATCTTCAGATGATTCATCCAATGTAGGTTCCCCATACCTGGTCCCTGACGGTAATCCACGCTACTCGACCCCAGGTGTCGGCATCTTTCAAACTGGCGAGATAGCTCTGCTCAAAGCGCAAATCGGGCAACGGAGGAAGCGTCTGACGCCGACGAAGGGGTCGGATTACGCGACTTGGGTCAACAATGTCCGAGGAGAGGCTGCCAGCATCGGAAGCCGGGGCTGCAACGACGGGCAGCTTTTCCGAGGCTGCGGTGGACGGATTGATGTCGTGAGCAGCAGACGGGTGCGATACGATGGAGGCAGTTTGGATGGTCTCAGCGACCTCCAGTATATGGTCAGTCATTGTGGATTGGAGTGGGTGGAACAATGGCAGTGTGGTTTTGGATCTGGAGAAAGCAAGTTCCAGGACGAGATGTGGAGCTGGGGGTGGTTGTCCACCTGCGGACCTTCCGCCCGGCTTCTTTTCTGCCGGACCCCTCCATCCTCCTCCTCCCACCTTTTCTCAGTCGCCTACTTTTCTTCTCCTTCCCCTTCTCAATTCACTTTTCTCCCATTGAACATATTTGCAAAATGGCCGCTCCTCAAGGATACCCTCTGCTGTGCTTGGAGAACCCTCTCCTTGGTATGTGTACTTCCGCTATTTTTCTCGATGAGATCTGGTATACTCTAGATTGCTGACACCCCCACTAGACATCCAGGCTCGCGGGTACGAATTGATCTTCTTGTTGGGTTATCTTGTCCAATTTACTAACAATAGTTTAAAGTGATGCCGCTCTTCTCGAGAAGTATGGCCTGAAGGAGAACGATGCTATCCTCGCTGAGGAGCAGCACATGGCTATCTACGAGGACCTCCTTGCCCGGGAGGCTAAGCTGATCCCCGGTGGTGCTGCTCAGAACACTGCCCGTGGTGCCCAGGTAAAGAACACTTCCCGAAAATGTCGTGAATCTATCTAAGTACTTACGCTTTTCTCCAGTACATGCTCCCCGAGAACTCGGTCGTCTACATTGGCTGCATTGGCAAGGACAAGTTCGGTGACATCCTGAAGAAGACCTGCGAGGAGGCTGGTGTCCACACCGAGTACCGTGTGGATGAGACTCAGCCCACTGGCAAGTGCGGTGTCGTTATCACTGGCCACAACCGCAGCATGTGCACCCACCTCGCTGCTGCCAACGAGTACAAGATTGAGCACCTGAAGCAGCCCCACGTCTGGTCCCTGGTCGAGAAGGCTCAGTTCTACTACGTCGGTGGCTACCACCTGACTGTCTGTGTCCCCGCCATCCAGGCCCTCGGCGAGGAGGCTGCCGCGAAGAACAAGGTTAGTGATCCCACCGCTTGATAATAGTAGATATCCCCGGCTCACATACTTGCTACCTCCAGGTCTTCATGCTCTCCCTCTCCGCTCCGTTCATTCCCCAGTTCTTCAAGGAGCAGCTGGACAGCGTTCTCCCCTACACTGACTACACCTTCTGTAACGAGACTGAGGCTCGTGCCTACGCCGCCAGCCACGAGTGGGGCACCGAGGACGTTGTCGAGATCGCCAAGAAGCTCGCCCTTCTGCCCAAGAAGAACACCCAGCGCCCTCGCGTTGCCATCGTCACCCAGGGTACTCTGCCCACCATTGTCGGTGTTGCCTCTGCCAACGGTACCGTCGAGATCAAGGAGTTCGCTGTCCACGAGATCTCCAAGGATGCCATCAACGACACCAACGGTGCCGGGTAAGTCTTACACGTGCTACCCTCCTTATACCATTTACTAACCTTTTTAACCCAACAGTGATGCCTTCGCTGGTGGCTTCTGCGCCGGTGTTGTCTCTGGCAAGTCTCTTGACGACAGCATTGACATGGGTCAGTGGCTCGCTAGCAAGAGCATCCAGGAGCTTGGACCTTCGTAAGTTTTCCCCTATAAAGACCCAAGTACATGGATCTAGGAGACTAACATTCAATCTTCCAGTTTCCCCTCCCCCAAGCAGACCTACGCCCGCTCTTAAGCGGTCAATCTTATTGCAAAGATAACCCGAATAGAAATAAAACCTTTCAACACAGAGATTTTCTGATGAAGGTCTCGGTGCACCAAACACCTTGTTTGACAATGCACCACGCAACCCTTGGATGATTCAACCCTCTATACCCAAATTTCTCTTTTTATGTCATTATTTCCTTTTATTCCAATCTATCTACCTCACCCACCACCTTCCTCGACTTAACGTCGGGCAATTCAACGAAAAAGGGATGCCGTCCCTTATGAAATGATCTTGCTTCCATTCACTTTTTCTTCTCATGCCATCGCTGTTTCCTGCAGGGATCCAAACATTCTGAACCTGGATATGGTATTGGTCACATGTGTGATACAAAAGGGGGAGCAGGGCAGACAAAAATTCTGGGGAATTACGCGCTGAAACAAGAGTGCCCCGTTTTCAACAACGATTTAATGACTAGATAAATATTAAATATCGATAAATCACGCAGTTTTGTAATTACCTGACCTCCAACTGGTAGTTACGAAGTAAATAATTATAATATGAAGGTTCAGAAAACGTGAATGGTTATTGACGGGGCATTTTCAAGACAATCCTGGCCGTTGCAAGCCATCAAACGAATCGATAGAGAAGAAAAACCCAGGCTTAACCCACTCCCTACCAACTGCTCACTGCAAGGTAGATCATACTCCCTCCACTCAAAAGATAAACAAGAGGCTTGGCTTAACAAGAAAAGAAAAGGAATTTTGAGTTCCAAAACAAGGATAACTGCTAACGTATTCATTCCTCATCGAAAAAGAAAACCGGGACGAAGGTTGCATATGCAAGGCAAGGCAGCTTTTTATCCCGGGGGCTACGTTCTCCTGTGTTGCGTGTTGAACGCGCAGTGCCTATCACCCCGGTCCCTCGAGAGGAAAACGAAAAGTAGGAGAACTGCCACAGGGATACCAGGTTGATGTGGACTATCATGTCAGAGATTTTGGATGGATCTCATGGCTGAAATGAGGGATACTCCCGGGCTGCTGGGGATCAATCTGGATGACACTCGAGATATGCGCTGTCAGCGCGAACAAGAGTTCATCTAGATAACCGATGTATCCCATTTTCCATGTTTGAAATGATAGTCCTCCATGGAAAACAGGGCACGTTCATGATAGTACCAGTGAATCGTGCTTGAGTTCATGGTCTCGCTCAGTTGGCAAACTGTGTATTCGTGCACACATGCAATTGATACTGGTAGACAAGTCGCATGCAGGCTTTATCAACCGCCCTGTCCACAAGGTGGGGTTTGACCAATAGCGCCGAGCTGGGTGGCTGATTTGCGGTGACCGTTGAATACAGGGTTAAAGGCCCCAGCACCCGAAGCCAGACTGCTAGCGATAAAGGCATCATTTGCCCACGACTGAGTTGGGAAGCCACTCGAAATGGGTTGGCTGGGGACGTTGTAGGACAAGCGACGTGGATCCGGGCCCCAATTGTTTGCCGGGTGTGGATTGGATTGGGGAAACCATGATGGCATAGAGTTTGACATATCCATGGAGCTGGAGAGCTGGCTCTGGGCCATTAGGTTATGGCGGAGCAGATCATTTGCGATCTGGTCCTGTGATGGGGATCCAGTAGCGCTGGGATTTATTCCCATTGAGTTCATGGAAGATGGCTGACCGAGACCTGGTGGTGTGTGTGGGGAGGAACCGTCCCGCAGTGGTGCGGGCGATGAAGTATTCCAGATGCTAGGGATACTAGGGAGCGTGTGGAGGGGTGTATAGGATTGAGATACTGATGCACGGAGAGCTTCTGCTGCGTTGACGACAGGTGGACCAAGGCCGGGAGGAGCCATCGGAGTACTAAGTGACTGTGGAATTTTCTCGTTGAACGGGAAGGTGTTGAGGTTTGCCGCCATGCGAGCAGAAGGCGTGGGCATCTCCCCGGAATCATTCAGGAAGGCGAACTGATCGGGGACGTTGGGCGCGTTCTCGTATGTGTCGGATTCAACCAAGCGCTCAACATCTTCGACGATGCGGTGCATGTTGGCCGACATTGATGCGGAGGCTGCGACAGAGGCAGACTGCGAGTCACCATACATGCTTCGAGCCTCGGTACCAGAGGCTGAATCTTGGCAAACTGCCGGGATATCCTCTCGTTCAATTACCGGCGTCGTGAGGGTATTCTGGCGACCATGGGGACTGGAGAAGAACTGAGACGGTAGTCCATCCTCTTGGTAGATGAACGTCTTTTTGTCCTCTTCATCCACAAGAGAAACAGGGATTTTCTAGAATATGGTTAGAAACTTGTGTATTTAGCTCATCAAACGATTGTAACATACGTTTCTCACGACCAAATCCAAACCATCGATCACGAACTCGCGAATTCGGTAGAGCATCTCCATGTTTGGATGGCTTCTCTCGACACCTGGATCGTTCATCCTAGGCTTAAGCTTATCGCCCATACCAACATATCGACGAGAAGTCGCCGCCTGGTCCAGTGGCGCAAACCCGAGGCTTTCTTCATCCTCTTCTAGAAGGTAATCGATCTCGGGAAGATGGACGACATCAAATGTAGATGCCAACAGGGTCAGGGTGCCTGCGTAGATCTTCCAGAATTCTTGAATCTGGATCGTAAGAGACGAGTCCTGCTCTTCCTTTGGTGAGATAAGAAAATCACTGGTGGTCAAAAGCCAGGAGCTGTAATGCCGCAGAGCAGGTAAGATCCGGCGAGCAACAACGGTAACTTTGTCGGGACCGTTCTTAGAGTCTTTGCTGCTGTTGCTCGAATCCTCACCAGCAAAACGCTCGAGCTCTACCAACAGGATCTGCAATAACGTGAAGAAGGTTTTCACATTGATGCGCTGGAAGAACATGCGCGCATTGGAGACCGACTCCTCGGTAGACCGAGTTCGGGCAAAGTCTTCTGCAGCAATGTTGACAAGACAGAACTTTTGGAGTGTTCCTTCATGCGAGCGCTCCCTGATGTCAACTGCCAGTTGGCTCATCACTTCACTCTCCAGCTCATCATGCTCGGGGAAGTCGTTGCCCTTGTAACATTGCGCGTGGAGGTAGACAAACCACGGTGCCAATGCTTTCCCGGGAATTCCTTGGTCCTCAGGCCTGATTAATTCCCGCTTGACCCATAGGTTCATCACCTTTTTGAACTCAATTTCCAGGTTTCCCTTTGCAGAGGGATGCGGATTGTGGGCAGACAACGCCCGGTAGAGGTGATATGTGGCTCGGAAGTGGTTGCCATCAGCGAGCGCGATTACCGCCAGCTGATTATGCGATGCGCCAGAGGCAGGATAGATCACCGAAGCCAAATCGTAGTACCCAATGGCTGGGCCCCAATTGCGTTTGTTGCTGGCAAGTTCGGTTTCGCGATATCGAGAGAGATCGCCCAGTCGGATGAGAGTCGCATGGCAAGACTGAAGGATGCGCAAGCGCAGGTCGGGTGTAATCGCAGATGGAGGGGTAGTCGATAAGTCTAGAAAAAGCAAAGAAAGAGAACACATGTCAGTGCTCGGTCGATCACACACAAGGGGGAATAAAAGGCTGCGCACTCTCAAAATTGAACTTGCGCGCCACTTTCTCCAATTCCACGATGCCTCCGAAATGCGATGATAGATGCTGAATGTATCCCCTGTAGAATCGCTGGCTGGATTTGATGAAATCCAAATAATGCTTCTCCAGCTTCCGTTTCTCGACGGGTCTCTTCTTGGTGGTTTCCTCTCGATACTATTCAAGTCGCACACGTTAGTCCACAATCCGCTAGTACTCCACCAGACGGGCCATCGACTCACGCGAGCGAGCAACTTGCGGAACCGAGTATTAAGTTTCAAGTGCGCATCCCACAGGCGACCCTCCACGTCGGTTCCACGAGCGGTATCGAAATCGGAAAGGATCGCATTCTGGCAAGCGGTGCGGAAGCTGAGACAAACGTGACGTAAAAGTTAGACTTTATATCTTTGAAAAGCGCGCGAGGTGTATGATATTCCATTTTGAATCGCGTAAAGGGGACGTACTCGGACAAAAGTTGTGAGATTTCGGCAAAGGTCGGCTCCTTCTCAGCGAGGCAGCGCAACAACTCCCGTTCGGCATCGAGCGCAGTCCTGTATGACAGAAGATTAGTTAATTAGTTTCTTTTTTCAACTTAGAAGTTGCTGATATAGGTTGAAAATAAGAGCAAATAGAATCGGACTGCAAAGGAAAGACTGACTGCCACGCATCCTGAAACGAGGACGCCATAGTCGAGTTGGGACGTGCGGATTGCCCACCCCACCGTAGACCTCGCCCGTCAGATGGCTCTGGGTGGATGGACGTCTGCGGGCGAAGGCAGCGGTGAACAAGCCATCAGATCGGGACACCCGGAGGCGAATATGGGGGTGGGGGTGTAAGAGGGAGAAGATGGCACAGGGAAAAAAGGTCGAGATTGGGAAAAAGCGTGGAGAGTAGTAGTCGAGGGCGTGGAGTACGGCCGCGGAATCTGTGGCTGCGCCCGCAGGTGTGGCTAGTGGGGGGTTCCAGAAGGAAAAGATGCGGTGGAAATAAAGTGAACTTCATACTAAGACTGCTATAGTCAATGAACTTGGTGATTATTCAGATATTTGCCTACAAGTCGTAGTCCAATTCTCTACCATTGCCTAGATCAGTCCTGGCCTTTTTATACTTCATCACCACTCCTCAACTCTCCCACCTTCCAACTCCTACATCTTTTCCTCTCCCACACATCTCCTCCACTCTCTATCATCCACTCATTGAACCCACTACTGCACGCCTGCACTTAACCTGCACCAAGCCCCGCTCCAGTCCGATCAGTCACAATCCATCACCCCCTCCAGGCCCAATACCAAGCCTGCTACCCCTAAACCCCAAACCCAAAACCCGCCGGGACAAAATGGCCAAACACTCACGCTCCCAAAGCCACTCCCGGAGTCCCTCTCCCAACCACGACTCACCCTTCACCTCCAGCTCCAGTCCCAGCTCTCCAACCTGCTCAACGATCAGCACGACAACGCTACCATCTGATCGGAGCAAAATCCCCTGCCTGAACACGGCTGAGCTCACCGACGTCATGCATTGCACCTTACCGCCACATCGAGAGGCGGTCTCGTTTACCTCGTACGAGGACTACGAGGTGCACTATCAGCAGGCACATGTCAATCGCTGTTCGGAGTGTAGCAAGAATTTCCCCACGGCGCATTTTTTGAATCTTCATATTGTGGAGAATCATGATTCGCTCGTGGTGGCGATGAGGGAGCGGGGAGAGAAGACTGTAAGTTCTTACCTTGATCGTGAATGATTGTATGGTGGAAGATATACTTTCTGTCTAGGGTTCAGCTTGCTAATATTGATTGCCGGACTAGTACGGCTGTTTCGTGGAGGACTGCGAGCGCAAATGCTCAAACCCGCGGAGTCGACGACTTCATTTAATCGACAAGCACATGTTCCCTCGAGTATGTGATCTCACTTTGCCCTCGAGGTACCATCCACAAGTGAGAACTGATATACTGACTTCATCCAGACTTACAACTTCTACATTGTCAACGACGGCATTGACAATCAGACCTCGCTGCTGAAACCGCTGAACAAGAGCAACAGACGCCGGATTTCCTCAGCATCCATCTCGTCCATCCATGAGGGACGACTGCGGCACCGGAACTCGGTATCTCAACCGAGCGCGGAGCCTCGGTCACCCGTTCGATCCGAGACAATCCCGGACGAGATGGAAGTCGACAGCCTGGCCCAGTCCATGTCTGCGCTGCGGTTTGTGCCGGCGAGCGTGATGAAGAATCGAGTTAAAGTACTGCAGAAGAATGCTTGATATCACAATTTCATTTGTGGACAAGTACTGTCTTGACTGCGTGGAACTGACTCGGGAGATGAATATGTGAAAATGTTACGACGTGACGAAATATCATAAAAGGCCTATAATGAACCCTGGGCCTGGTGTCTACCGAAACACCCATCATACAAATACAGAGATCTAGCCTGGACAGAATAGCTCAACCCTCTTCGCAGGATATCAAATGCATTCCATTCAACCGGGCCAAAGCCAGATTCCAAACCATTTTTATAGGTAAAGCAAGGATCAAGAATCAACTAGGGCTAAATAAGAATTCATCATTCCGTGCCCTGGCTAAGTAAAAACGCGCGCATCACCGGGTATAGACAGCAATCACAAGGGCTGAAAATCATAATACATACAGAACCATGAGAGCAGACCGTCAAAAAAATGAATAATCGTCCCACAGTGATCAATCCCAAACCTCGCATATACAAAAACTCAAAAAGCCCCGCTAGATATCATGTTCGTCAAAAGTCAAAAAGAAAAGCCACATGGTCCAAGGAAAAAAAATCATTACGTGGGTGTCACTGGAGTGTTCAGGGAGAGACAGTTTTGTATCCCTGCTTTGTCCCCTCGCCTGCTCTCTAGGAGGCAGTCCAGGTCTCCAAGAGATCGGCATAGGCATCCAAACTAGATCCAACCAAGTCCACAATCGCCCAGCTGGTATTCCCCTTGAAAGTACGCGCCCACACACGCACAATCGCAACGCTGAGCTGGCGCACCTTGTACGGATTCGCCATGAACTCCAGGTCCGGCGCTCCGGGTGGATCAACAGCCATGTCGGTTTCATCCATCATGCTCTTGATCCACAGGAGGAGTTTCCGCTCGTGTTCCGATAGTCGCTGCTCAGACTGTGTCGCGGGGATGGCGAGCAGCCAGCGACTGAGCAAGAACGCACATTCCAAACTGCACAGCGAGTGCTGGATACTCCAGAAGAATGAGTGCGTGCGAGCAACAAAGTCGATGCCCAGTCTTACTGGAATCGAGAGGGCGTGTGCAGAGTGCAGCAGTGCCATGATCAGGCGCGGACTGCGGACGAGAGGTGGGGATTCCCCGAGAGCTGAGGCAATTTGATGCGGATCTTGGGTAATCAGGTGGCGACAAGGTCCCAGATCGACGTGAAGTCGAATATATGCGAGACCCAGAAGTGCAGTCGAGGTGAATGCAATAGGGCCAGCAGGATTCTGAGGGTCGATGCTGGATTCCGGCGTGCGTTTCCACAATGCCTTCCAGGCACCCAACGAGTTATCCAACACGTTGAGATCTTCCTGTCGCAGGCTGGTCCCTTGCATATTCGGGGCTGATAGACAGAGTTGGCGAGCAAAGAAGATTTGCTGTATAATGGCGTGGATCAGGATATAGTTACCCAAGGGAGATATAGGAGCTGGAGGGAAGGAGGTCGAGGATTTCATGAAGAGTCGGGCAAATGCGTCTTGGAAGGGGACATCCGAGCCTTGTCGGAGACGTTGAAGGCGCCGCCATTGGGCGGCATTATTGGCCTTCCAGAGGTCGTGGGAGCAAGGCATGTTCAATTTCAGCTCCCCATTGAGAATCAGGGGAGGAATATTGTACATAATGGAGTGGAGATTGAAGAAACAGTAGACAATCATTTTCGTCCGTCTGTTACCTTCTCTACGAACCCACTCTTCCCAGCTGATAGGCTCTGGTGTAGGGGGAAGCTCAGCCAAACCATGTTCTCGGACGAGTCTTGCCAATGTGCTTTGCAGCGAGAGAATCTCCCGCAGAAGTTCCGGGTGTCTCTCCCATGAAGCAAATACGGTCAGTAGCAGGAACGTCCGTATCACTTCCATATGTGCATCAGAGTCATCGGGGGTATAGATGGAAGGGTTCACGGGCGGATTATGCATATGCTGACTCTGAAACGGGCTGCTCGCTGTGTTCGAGATCATCGACGAACCACGCGAGTTGTGGAAGCCCGAGGGAGGAGAAATATAATTCCACGATGGCTGAGGCACTTGCCGGCTATCCCTGCGGCGAAGGCGCTCTAATAGAATGGCTTTGGCCGCATGGAAGAGGTCAATTCCTCGACCGTTTTCAAAGCGATAATGTGATCCGGCAGCTGCCGTAGCCAATGTGAGCTCTGGAGAGCACTTGGCAATTGACAATGTCGGCACATGCACAAACGGAAGATGTTCATTCAAACCGTTAATATACCCCGCGAAGAAGCGAGATAGGGTATGCCGTGATGGAGGAACAAACCCCTTGGGAAGAACAAAGGAGAATTCTTCCAATTTTTGGACAAAGATTTGGCGATCGGTATTGGTTATATCCCATGCAGGCCGGGAGCCCTCATCGGACAGACCAATACGATCCTCAATCTCGTGAGACTCGGGCTGTAGAGACGGTAACCTGGACCCGAAATTTGAGAAAGAAGGCTGCTCGTCTGCCGGACCGCGTGGGTCGCTCATTAGATCACCTCCTAACCTCGTCGACGCGGTAGCCTCCCTCACTTGCTGCTTGGAATCCATTGATAGACTCGGCGGCAACATGGGTTCTTCGACCGACGAGAAGACCCCCGAGTCCCAGTCGGACGACAAGCCCACGCTCTCTAGGAAAACGGTAAAGTCTTGGACCGGGTCACCCAAGTCTGTGAGGTCGAGAATCGACGGTTCTACACCATAATTATCGGTAATTCCTCTCTCCGGGACCGGTGGTAAAGGTTGAGATGGCGTGCCGATCGCATGGGATGGTTTTCGCATGGACTCCAAGTTCTCCTGCTGTCCTTCCAGTGCGACATGACTAGCAGCGTGCGACAGTAGATTCAAATCGTAGCCCCAAGAGGGATTGAAATGGGTGGTCTCGACGATCGGGGGTGGTTGAACCTGCACCTCGGGAGGTGGAGGGGGAACTTGGGTATGGACCGGGATAGCATCGGCCAGCTCTAACATGCGGGATTCATGGTGTGCAGCGGGCTGAATTATCGTCGACTGAATTGAAATCTCGTGGTGATGGTTATCGCCGTTATGAGCGCGGTGTTCTCGACCGGCCGCAGTTTCGGCAGGGTGCACCAATCGCTCATGTCGCACCAGCAGGTCACTGTGAAGCGCCAATATAAGCAATTGGGGGGTTGGGCAATGGGGGCTGTGGAAGCACGAGGAGCAAAGGGGGGGGGGGGGGGGGGGGGGGTTCGATAAAAACGTCATGGACTTACCTCCGGGCGAAGGACTTGGAGCAAATGTCACATGAGAAAGGTTTTTCTTTGGTATCTGTTGTCCGACATTAGGAGAGTTGGTCGGACTCGTGGAGTTTGAGGGAGGGGGGTTACTCAACGGGTGCGGAGATGGCGTTGGAGATGTTCCAAGCGGGCGAACGAGCGACTGCAATATTCGCAGGAAAGGGACTTGCGGTGAGTGGCACTCTTCTTCTTGACTTTTGCAGTCTTGTCGTCCTCCATGGTTTTTTTTGGGATGGGGGGATGGGTTGGGGTTTCTGCGGGATTTGGGGGGAAGAAGAGGGGAAAGAATTTGAGGTCCTTTAGGAACTGAGCGGGGAAAAAAAGGAATTGTGGGGTTTTGGTTTTTTTTGGGATTTTGGGGGGAGGACCTTTTTGCTCGGGTCGAGTTTCTGGCCTTTTGGCACAGTTTGGCACTTTTGAACACTCTAGTGAGGGGGAGAGACGATAGTCACGTGGAATATTAAAAGAGTAAATATGACAGGTATTTAGTAGTCTAGCAGGATAATCCAATGCGAAGGCAATGCTGACCAGAATACCAGGGGGAGTACTTAAGGTATGGTTGGGCTTCAATTATGCAAGAGGGCATTATTAGTGGTGGCTGAGGGGGACGGCCGAAGTCTCGGGTTATAGACAGGCAACTACTAGAGATGCATGGAGACTAATTGGCTATAGGATGAAACCATAGACGTATTTACTCCATAGACACAGACTCTAAGCAGCACACGGGAAATACGGAAGAATGTATGGGCTCCACCAGTGCGGAGAGCCCGAGGGGATACGGAAAGGGCCGATTTCGCCGATTTATCGCTTCATAGTTGAGATAGTATACAATAGTCTTAAGTATAGAGTATACTTGAGGAGGACTGATTTCAGGAGATAGTAGAGAGAAGTTGATAGTTCTAGAGCAATTGCATCTTCTCTTTTCATCTACCCATCAATTGATTACCGCGGAAGAGCCGCGTTTTCCACTTATCCGGAGTGGCTCCGCGGCAGTTGAAAAAGGCACCACATTGTTATTGCAAAAGTTGGTCAATCTACACTTCTCCTAACTTATTCTCTATCGCATAACTTGATAATTGGGACATACAGTTACACTCTGGACAAAATACTAATAAGGAATGTCAATTATTTCCCGTACAGAACGCTACTTTCTTGGTTAAATCGGACACATCACATTCGAGATTCCTAATTCAGCAGCCACACAAACCCACAAAGACCAGGCGATCCTCCACTACCCTCCATGTGTACAAACCGTAACTGCATAAAGCATAGTCCCAAATTCATCAACATCCTCAAGCCAGCGATCTACCCTGTCCCGCCGCTTCACAATACTCAATTCGTCCATATCGTCGGGAATCGGCCACAACTCGTCAATTGTGGGACCTAACTCACTCCATTCCGCAAGGTATAAATTATACTGTCTCTCCCAGTCCCCACGATCCGTCGCTCCCCATAGATATTTACTGGCCGCTATGGGAAGACCTCGCAGCTCAGTACCTAGGAAAATCGGGAGGTTATCTCGTGAGGCTAGTATCCCATCAAAGAGATACATCGCGTAAAGTGTTCGCCGTTTAGCCTCGGCTACAATCCATTCCTCCCATCTCGGACGTGTTTTGTGTTGATCGGCCACGCATATTAGTCCTTGTCGGGAAGCAGAGTGGGCGATGGTCTGCAGGTTGATTAGGGCTTGGCGGATGAAATCGTCTGTATCTGAACGAAGACGATTCAAGCTTTCACCGAGTCGAAAGTACAGCACAAGAAAGTAGATCAGATAGGCTTGAAACCCGGATAACAGCGTCAGATCGTTTTTGTATGTGGTGTGTTGCTCTATGATATTCCCCATCTCACGCTGGAGAACCGTCATGGCGGCGTGTTCACTCCCAGGCAATGGATTTTCACAGATGCGGACCAGACTTAGACATGTTGATAAGGGCGAATTCGCTTGCTGGTCGGTCATTTGTGTGGGGTGAATAAATGCCAATCTTCGACCACGAGTAGCTGCACCAGCATATGCCTTGAGTATTTTGGTCATGAAGTCAAGAACACCGAGAGGATATGTTTTGACTTTCTTTCCTGGGATTGGGATATAAGAGTTCATCCAGCGAGTGGGTATTTCGTCAACATTGATAGGGCAGCAGAGGTTCAGCCCGGAGAAGTCAAGAAATTCAGGCGTATCGCCCAGGGAGCTTATGGTTCTGCTCTCTGACAAAGATTGTGCCATGGGTATGGGGGTTTCCCCCGTTGTATGTGAAGCATTGCGTGAGGCCAGAGGTGTGGGTGGCACTAGATGCCAACTATCCATATTGCCCTCATGGAGGCTCGACACAAAATCATCGGGCATGGACACTGGGCTGTGTGTTTCTCGTTCATCGTTGGTAGTGCTTGAGCTCGATAAAGTGTATTCTTCGGAGGGTCCTGCCTGACGGTAGACACAGGGGAGACCACGTTGTCTGCATCTCGTACACCCCGAGTTTTGACGGTCACATTTGGCCTTGGCATTTGAGCACTGCTGGCATGCCTTCTGGCGCGAAGTCGCATATCTAGAGGTTCTCATGACTAGCGGATGTTCGGGAATCTTGGAATGATGGGACCAAATTATGTTGAACAAGGGCTTTCTGGGGAATGTACGTGGGAAGGAAGTAATTGGTGATAACGAAAGAAAGAATTCCTAACAGATCAAATTTGATCGTATGAATTAATCCGCCTCTCTAAATCAACTGGGATGGTGATCTTGCCTCTCCAAGAGCTCCGGACTTGAGCGGGGCTCTGCGGACTTGAGAAACTCAGATCCGATCAACTCCGAGGACCCACCACAGCAGCCCATTCCATTTTTGTACAAATCATGGAACAGGCCCAGGTTCCTATGAAGGGATGACATGTCCCTGGCCAGTAGAGAATCGAGTCCTTGTATGAAAAAAGTACATGATAATTCTTAAGTACATTATGCAATCAAATCCCGAACCGAACCATACTGGAATCGGACCTCCTTCATGCCTCGTTCAATGCCTGTAGCGCTTGCTCAAGAGAGATAACCTTCAGATTCATCTTAGGCAGGAGATCCTCAAGCATCACCTTTGAAAAAACCGTATTGTGGTCTAGTGGAATTTCCAGAACATTGTCTGCAATGACGAAGATATTGTAGTCCAGATCGAACAAGCGGTAGACCGTAGACATCACCACTCCGGAAAGAGTGAGGCCAGACTATATCACTTTTCGTTAGTCAACCGTTTAAATCTCCGAGTTCATTGTGGAATACATACAATGATAACGGTATCGATCCCCTGGGCTTTGAGGATCTGCTCCAAATTGTTGCCAGTAGTAGCACACCATCTTGTCTTCCGGAGAACAACATCCTTCTCATCCAATTGAAACCGCTTGTCAATCTCCGCACTAGGCGTGCCAACTTCAAACGTTCCAAATGACTCGATCAACCGAGCAAATGGCTTGCCGGCTTCCAATTCGGGCTGGCCACGGTTGAAAGCCAGAGTTGTATAGACGGTGAGTGGGCGCTCGTTCATCTGATGAATGGCTTCGTGCCATTTGGAGAGATTATCGACCAGTCTTGTCCCTTGAGACGTGCCTTCACATGCAGCTAAAAGCACGGTCATCCAATCAAGGTTGAGGATGGCATAGCGCTTTCCAAAGCTCATGGGGGCTTCGGGAGAAGACATTGTCGATGCTTGTTTGGTTTTTGACGCAAACAAATCCAGTCTTTTATCATCAGCTGAGAACTTGAATATGGGTATGTGAGAGATTATAAACTAGGAATGCCTTCCATGTTGGGCTCGACAATACGGTGCTAACCTCGGACTTGACCCACCTGAACTCCGGATTATACTCTGAATGCCGAGTGCCGCATGGCATAGTGAATGTCATTGTCGTTAAGGAAACAGTTGATATCTTATGGAGAGGAAAATTTCAGGCGTTAGAATACTAGAAACAAGTCTTGGGTGATGTGAAAGCGAGAAAATCAGAACAAAAGAGCATAAGTATGGGAGCTAGGCGTCGCTGTTATAGAAAAAGGACAGATTTGATTGCGATTATTCCAAATCTTCTTTTCATCGTCATAATCTAGATTCTGAGTGATAGGACTGATCTTATTCTAATAGTACATATTACCTGTGCTCTGGGCACCCTGGTTCTCACAATGCCTCTCTCTTGTAGATGTATATCACCTCTAATATTGAGCTTGATTCTGCTCCTTCGCTTCCTCGGCTGCTCTCCGCCACGATGCAGCGAATCTCCACTGAATAAGCGGACCGACCAAGGCCAAAAACTGCACAGCTGCACAGATAGTAAAAGTGACACCCGCTCCAACGGCATTGATCAGAGGCATGACAAAGCTAGTACCGCCGGCAGCGAACAAGCATCGAGCCAAGTTGATGCTAGCACTAGCGGCTGCGCTTCTTTCATGGAAGATATCCACAAGATAGGTCATGATAACCGACTGCATAGAGACGACAGTCCAACCAGTAATAAAAGTCGAGATGATGGGAACCGCGATGTGGACTGTGTACTGGATAGTCCAACCAAAGAGGATGAGAGACAAGCACTGAAAGCATGCAAAGATCGGGACTAGTCGGAGACGCGCCTTTTCCAGTGGGAAGTCTTTCTCTTCCAAAGCGGTGCTATTACCCTCCGGATCCGGTTGTGCCTCGAATTTAGTCTTGACCTTGCGGTAGTCGAGGTCAAGGATTTTGCCGGTGATCAAGGTTCCCACCATGGACCCAACACCATTAGCGATGAACGTCAGGCCGATTTGGATCTCACTGAGTCCGTAGTTTTGTTTGAACAGAGAAGACATTGCTGTGATACTCATTTGCCACACTGCATAGTATATGGCAAGGAACATGATAATAGGCGCTGCATGCTTGCTCACAAGAATGCGAAAGGGTCCCGTCAAATCGATATGTTTTCTGGGAGCTTGCGGTGGCGTATCTTTCGGGTCCCACTCAACCTTAGTGAGCTTTTGATACACAGTCAATGGATATTTCGCCATGATATTCGACGCGGAAGGCACTCGGGTTCCATTCGCGACCAACGATCGCAGTGTCTCAGGTAACAGAACGAGCATCGTGATCAGGAAGGCCCCGCTATAAGCAGTCAATACCCAAAAGATAGCTCGCCACCCCAGGGTACCGGCCACGGCACCTCCAATAACAGGGCCCACGGCCACTGGGACTAGAAGCCCAGCTTGAAAGATACCCATGAACCCACCACGCTCGGCTCGCGTGGTGATATCCCCAATTACGCCGGAGCCGATAGCAATCGTGCTTGCGCTACCGGTACTCTGAAGGCATCGGAGAACGACGAGGGTAGCGTAATTCTTAGTCTCTGCTAGACCGATACATGCCCCCATGAAGACCAAAAAGGTGAGTAGGTATGCGATTCGGCGTCCTTTTACATCCGAGACGGGTCCCCACAGACTTGGAGCGAGGCCTTGGAAGATCAGGTACGAGGTGACGGTCAGGTCGACGAGCTCTAAAGATACATTCAGGTCGGAGGCGATGGTGGGGAGTGCTGGGAAGTAAATGTTTGATGCGAAGCCGGAGACTATTGAGGGATTAGCGAAACAGTACAGCAACGGCGTTGGAGGTATAACTTACATGTTGCCGCAGTAGAAACGATGGTCACGATGAGCCATTTTTGTCGCCGGTCGAAGATGCTGAAGGGGGGTTCTACAGTTCCCGTCTGTGGCTTTTCTGGAGGGTTGATTGTTGTTGATGGCGGTTGTGAAATCACCGGAGCATCAACCGGTGGCTGCTCCTTCTGGAGCTCCTCGGTGGGCGTATCGGTATTCATGGATGGGTCAAGTATAATGAACGTAGGGCTAGTTGGAAGATGTAAAGTTCTAAAAGATATGCAGGGGATATGCTTTGCTAGCACGAGTCGTGCGATTTGTTCATCCTTTTAAACGTGACATCACCGAGGTTCCCTGGAAGAGAGTACAGCACTTAAGTTTTGATTTCGGAGCTGAGTTCGGGCTCAGGCTAGAGATTAAGCCGGAGTTGAGGGTGCCACTACCGGAGTTGAGCGCCATTCGTTCTAGAAGTGGGTCAAATCAGAATTCATTGGAATCAAGGTTTGCACGGAGTAATGATGTCCAATCATCAAGTAAGGAGCCTTGTAGAATGAGGGACTCCACTATAGCTCAGGCATGAGTGATCTTTTAAAAGGTAAGACTTGGTATGTCAGTGTCTATTCAGACAAGAACCGACAATCCATCATGACCGGGTCACGTGAGTATGTTAAGCACTCGAACTCTGGACGGAATAGTCCAATTCCAGAGAGAAAAGAAGAGACAAGCTGGAACCTAGGACTACAGTGCACAAGAAGAGGCAGCCGAGGGAGAGTCCAGATTCCTATAAATATCCGATACCCCGTGGGGCCTATTTCGTAGATCTTAAAAATAGGTCCAATACAAAACATATATATAGCGATAACCATCCTGCAGGGATGGCCAAAAGTGTGGTTAAGGTTATTTCAGTCCGGCTGTAAGAAAGTAGATGGCTCGACAGGGCTAATAGGAGAGAGATAGAGGTTTAAAATGACCCTAATGATCTATACATGAATATACTCCAAGTTAGAAGGTAGTGGGAAATGGTATAATCGACGGTGCCAATACTGTAGAAGGAAAGACGGGTTGGCTACTCTGTACACAGCCAAGCGTACTCCAGTTCAAGGGATGAAACATGTCCCTCCCACGGTTGAGCACGCTAAAACCTTTCCCGTCCCGCGCGCACTGGTGCAGCGTTCAGCATTCAGCATTCGGGCTTGAAACGAGTGGGGGAAATGGTGAATCTGACCCCTTGATCCACCATGTCTGATACATTAGTCTACTGTACAGTCGACTGGTACCTGGAAGTACTCTCTGGTCCTCTCGGCCCGGACTTCCTCCTGCTACAAAACCATCCTCTCCCTGTCCACTCACTCCTCATTCTACCTGTCACCTCCTCACCTTCCTGCTCTTTAATCAAGAAGTAATCAAATCTTTCATTTCCTTTTTTTGTGGTTCGTGAGTGGAGAGAGTCCACCGCCTATCGGTGCCCATCTCGATAACGCCCGATCTCGACCACACTAAGTTGGTCCACCCGATCATCTCCCAAAAAAAGCTCAGACACCTAGCTGCATCGCAGTTCCTCCCTCCCCTCATTCCAATCCAGCCTGACGGGGGATTGAAACTACCCGGGAGTACAGTACCAGGACCTCCCCCATTGTGCTACACGGTCAGTCATCCTGCATCGTTACGTCCGTCGACTATAAGGGCGTGTGAGCCCGTGGGACTTCCGGGCTTGCCCCTCTCAGCCCTGTCCGGGACTCTCTCCCGCGCGACGAGCGACCGAGATAGCGACCGCAATCAAAGGACGTCTACCGGCACGGGTTACTGACCAAGTAGCAGGGACTCACGAGACTATGCGTTGACCGATCCCCCACATCCCTTCGATATATCTCCGATCGGTCGATCCTGGTGTGAAGAGACGAGGCAAGGATAGGCGGAGGAAGGGGCGCTGTGGTTGAGATCAACCTGCCGAGGAAACACCTACGATTCCAACGACAACGCGCTACGACCTAATCATGCTGGCTTCCAAGCCTCAATACTCCGCTCCCCTGGGCGCATCCAACTCCCAGAACTCCGCGTCAGCCTACCATACGAATTCACAACGCCCTGCGACGGCCACAAAGGTACAAGATGGAGTCGGATATAGCAGCCCGACCAAGTCGGAATTCTCCGAGGGACAGGACGAACTCTCGGCTGTTCGGTAAGGCATTACTGGTGTTGGGCTGTGCGGACTGGACAACGGGATGCTAACTGCCCTCCAGGGCCTGGGATGAGAAGAAGGTGGTCGCGTGGCTGCATAGTATCAAGTGCGGCCAATATGAATCAATCTTCAGAGGTGATTCCCTCCTTGGATCCGGTATGGAGCTTTGAATAGACACTGACATCACGCAGCCAACAACTTTAATGGAGACAACCTAATCGAATGCGACCAGAAGATCTTGCAGGAGATGGGTATCAAGAAAGTGGGCGACCGAGTACGCATCTTCGTGGCCATCAAGCAGCTGCGAAACAAGGCTATGATCAACCCAAGGCAAAAGAATATGGTACATTCGCTAGAGCGTTTCTTGAACTATGCGACAGTCGCTAATTCTCGCCATAGAATACCCTCGCTGCGCTAGAAGCAGCCGCCTTGTCCTCTGATCACTCGCGACTCTCCTCCATGCGTCTTCCAAACAGACGTATGTCCCAGCTGATGGAGGACGGCATTGGCTATTCGGGCAAGTCCCCCACGTCTCCCCCATTCGGCGACTGGCGCAAGGATGGTTATTTCAACCATCCCTCCTCTGGTGGCTCGGGATCCGGCCGCAACCCGAGCACTCCAAGTGATGGCGGCCGGGGAAGCTCACACCCACGCAATCCCAGTATAGACGGCCTGACAATGGGCCCTCTTCCACCCAATTCTCCCGTGATTCGTGTCATCTATACTGGTGGTCAGACTAAGGTCCTCGATATCCGGCACTGCAAGACCCCGGACGAGGTGATTCTCTGCGTCCTCAAGAAACTGCAGCTCCCAGAACACCAATACCGAAACTACTGCTTCTATGTCCTGGATGGCCTAGACCCGGATCTGTCAAACTGCAGGCGGTTGACGGAGACCGAGCTTATGGAAATCTGCGACGGCCACAACAAGTCTGAGCGTGGTCGCTTGATCTTGCGAAAGATCCATGCTGGCGAGCCCGACGTCGATGAGCTTCGCCGTGCATCCCAGCTCGCTTTCGATGAAAGTCAGGTCACGCATCAGAACGCTCTCAATAAATCCAATCCGCGACAGAAACACAAGATCCAACAGCTTACAGGCGAGTCCTGGAATGTCATTAATACCAAACAGCCACTGTCCCCAGTAGGCCCTCGCCATCGTCCATCTGCTTCAAACGATCAAGATCAGCCATCGCCTGACACTGATCGCAACCATGTGGCTACCAAGCTTCGCTCATTCTTCGGACAGAGACCACCAAGCGAGATGATTATCCACGAGCTCCAGTCATTCTTCCCCAGTCACGACAGGGAAGATATCGCGAAGACAATGCGGAGATCGCAACGTCTCAGCCGTGCTGCCAGTCGCCTCAGTGTTGTTAGTAACTACAGTGTCGCGTCAAGTCTCAAGGACGCTCCGCCTCTCCCCCCATTGCCTCCCATTCCTCCAATGCCCAACATTGCCGATACCTGGTTCCAACCGCAAGGTGGAGCACAGGCTGCTCGTGCTTCACGGCCACTCTCTATTTCCAAATTCAACCTGCCTCAGGCCTCATATCGGGATTCGATTGCCTCGAGCTCTCTCCAGCCGTTGCAGGAAGAGTCTCCCACCGAGCCAAACCGCAAATCCTACGTCTCCTTTGACAGTGGATCTGACGAACCAAACTTGTCGCGCCAGAGTATGATTGATGAGAGCGCCAGCGTCATTGCTACCGATGGCGGCTCCTCCAACGATCGACTCAGTGTGCTCGTTGCCGATGACGGTGAAGAAGACGACGCAAACCTGATGAGCGACTTCCTGGCCGGTAACAACTTTGCTCCTAAGAATTGGATGAAGGGATCTTTGATTGGCGAGGGTTCCTTCGGCAGTGTCTTCCTGGCTCTCCACGCTATTACTGGTGAGCTCATGGCCGTGAAGCAGGTCGAGATTCCGTCAGCTACCAAGGGTACGGAATTCGATCAGCGCAAGAACAACATGGTCACCGCGCTGAAGCACGAGATTGAGCTTCTGCAAGGGATGCACCACCCCAACATCGTACAGTATCTCGGCACGTCAACTGATGACCAGTATCTGAACATTTTCCTGGAGTACGTGCCCGGTGGCTCCATCGCCACCATGCTTAAGCAATACAACACCTTCCAAGAACCACTCGTCAAGAACTTTGTCCGACAAATCCTTGCAGGCCTCTCATACCTGCACAGCCAAGACATCATCCATCGCGACATCAAGGGTGCCAACATCCTCGTCGACAACAAAGGTGGCGTCAAAATCTCCGATTTCGGTATCTCCAAACGCGTCGAAGCATCCACCGTCCTCGGATCCCGCGCCAGCAGCGGAGGCGGCGGTCACCTGCACCGCCCCTCTCTCCAAGGCAGCGTCTACTGGATGGCTCCCGAAGTCGTCCGACAAACCGCCCACACCAAAAAGGCCGATATCTGGAGTTTGGGCTGTTTGGTCGTGGAAATGTTCATCGGCGCCCATCCCTTCCCGGACTGCAGTCAGTTGCAGGCTATCTTCGCTATTGGAAGTAACCAGGCTCGTCCGCCTGCGCCGGAACATGTCAGCCCCGAAGCGGTGGAGTTCCTTGATATGACTTTCCAGCTTGATTATGAGAAGCGGCCTACTGCGGATGAGTTGTTGAAGTGCAAGTTCTTGGCTGCGCCTATTGCGTAGACGGGTGCACTTGGCATACTATCTGCCTGCTGGGTTTTTTCACTTCTTGAGTCTGTATAATGATTGTCTCATGTATTATGTTGTCGATTTTGGGGTTGAGGGTAAGAGTGATAGCACGGGTGTTTTGATCCGTCTATGTGCTCGGTTGCCCTTTTTCGGTAATGATGCGACAGTTTTGATTATCAGCGCCCTTTTACCAGAGTTATGATCCTCTATAGAAACAAATGAATGGGACTGGAGTCATGTACCGAGGACTACTTGCAAAACTATTGTAAACTACTTTGCCACTACAAGGAGGTGGAAATTCTTGAACTTGTTTTTGAACAATAGATTCGCTCGAAGTGAAATGATAATAAATGGAGATAATACACATGTTTGGTGAATCGCAGTGACCACTATGCAGGTCACCTCTAAAGTTACAGGTTGTATAGGAACACAACGCCCCAGGTGTGGTATAAGATGAGAAACCAAGCCAACATTAGAAGAACAGAGACATCCTTCTAGTGCTTTACTGCACGATCTTCCCGTAGAATGGGATACCCATAGCGCTCAGGAGGAGGCGGGCGTCCTTGTCAGACTTGGCGGTGGTGTGGAGGGTGATGTGGCAACCAGGGATCATCTTGGGAGGGTACCTAAATGGAAAGAGATGTTAGAATCGAGATCTACAATCAGGATGTTATCTGGGGCAACTCACATATCATAGTTGACCTCAATCTCAGGGAACAAGGCAACGTGCTCCGGTTCCAGACCGAAAGTGATATTACCACTGCTATCACCGCTGCTTCCCTTAACACCAGGCCAGTCCTTGATGCGAGGCAGAACCACATCAATCAGCTTGCCGAGGAAATGGTACATAGTCTCGCCGTGCATCTCAGCCTTGACAGCAACCGTGTCACGGCCAGGAGCAATGCTCCACGTAGCAACGCTAGCCTTGGACTTGAACGTCTCCACGCGCACGTTCGAGACAGCCTGCACTGCCATACCAGCCACGTGCAGCCATCCAGAGTTCTCCTGCGCCGCACCCTTCACGTAACTGTGAATCGTGATGCGCTCAACCTCGGGGATGTTGTTGAACCGGATCGGCTTGCGGAGTAGGCGCAGGACATCACCGCCACGGGGTCCGCGGAGGGGACGGTTCTTGTGGTAGGGCGAGCTGTCGTCCCACTCACGCAGACGGGGGGCTTTGGGAGGAGGCTTGAAGCCTGGTGGCGTGTGCACGTAGCATAGGGTGAGGATGTCGGATGCGACGGTCGAGTTGTAGGTCTGCTGGGCGCGCGGGAGGGAGAAGGGGCCCGGGACGAACAGGCGAGAGGATGGGTCGGAGGGAGGAGGAGGTTGGTGAGGGTGGAGAGGACCGCGATCGTACTTGGGAGAACGGAATTGGTATCTAGAAATAGAGATGTCGATGTCAATTGCTAGTTCTTTGCGAAAGAGCCGTCCGCAGTTCTGTTGTGCACTGCTAGGGACGCGGACGAAGCATTCGGCGAGATGACCTACCGCGAGCGAGGGAGCTGAGTCTTGCGACCCTTTGCCCGGGTAACAGGATCGAATGATTTGGCGGCAGTCTCTGGCACAGGGGTGGTCAAGGACGACGCGGTTTCCAGCTCGTCCAGCTGGTCCGACAGACGCCTGGACGGGGCCTCATCGGAGACATTGCGGCGGCCCAAAAAGACCTGTTGACGAGCAGAAGGCACAAAGGCCCTGGGAACTGCCCGTGCCAGGTATCTTGATGACTCCCTGACAGCCATTCTGTGAGCAATGGCGATGTTGTAGAGTTCGGGATCGGAGTATCTCCAATTGTCCAGCGGCCGAAAATTGTTTGCAACGGAGCGGAGGGTCACGTGTGTATTATTTGGTGCCCGAAAATTCGGGCGACGAGGCAGCAACCGAACTATATCCTTCAACTGACAGACTCGTTGACCATCAAGTTGCAAATACACTTACTATAACGTCCTATACTACCGAAATTAGTAGATAGCTTGATTCTATATCTTTGGAACATTGCAATTGGCTTTATCAATTTGATCAGACCCCCATCCCTAGGCTTTCCCAACCACGATCCTCCGGTATACTCGACATCGTTGGATACAACTCATCAACTGTCACCAAGGTTGATCTATAGACAAAAAATCATTATCTTTCAATCTACTGAAAAGCATGTCACTTTCATTTACTACCTTCAAGATGGATCCAAGTTCGAGAATAGCCATTGAGACAAGTTGAGAGTCATCGAGGTCACGTGCAAGATACTATTGCCTTATATATCAGGCGACAATTTAAGGCGACAAATTCAGGCCCCGACGCTTGATTGCCCCGCGGAGGTGCGATAAGTGAGTGAATCAACAGATAGCTTCATCTCATTCGGCACGCTCCTTTCCCTCTTTGAGACTCTCTCACAGCCTGCTTGTTTCTACTAGACCCGTCATCACATTTCCACTTCTGTCCCGTGCTGCCATCATCCTCACACATCCTTCGACCACATGATGCTTCCATGTGCTTAACGGAAATCCTGCAGCCTCAACTAAGCTCCGAGACCTTGAGCTTCCTTTTTCCCCGCATGTTGTCCTTCATCCAGACATCCACTCCTTAGATCGAGACCCCCTTTTCGCTGGGAATTCTACAACAATGAGTGGAATTCATCGCTTCCTTACCCGCCGGGATCGGTCAAAGGGTGCTTCCCGTCAAGCTAAAGAAGAGGTACGTGTCGCTTCATCACTTACATCTGACGTCGCACTCCGTGATTGGCTGCGGGAATGATTTTTACTGATACGGCAAACGATACAGCACCAAGTCGGTCCTGCGTTGCCTCTGCTACGAGGCTTTTTCGTTTCACAAGCCAGCAAAGAAGATAGCCAAGAGCATGAGAAGAAGGTATGACTTGTTGTCTAATGGTCGCTACATGAAATACCACTAACTGGTTTGATGAACTCATAGGTGAAGTTGGTCGAATCCCACCTTCGCTCCCTCGGCTACTCTACCCTAGAGGAGGCGCATGTCAGACATGCCCTCAAAAACACCAATGATGATGTCGAGAAAGCAATCAGCCTCCTGCTGTTGTTCGAAGACTCCATTGAGGGCATCATTCGACCCTACACACCCAGGACGAAGCTCCTGGGTGCTGAAAACCGACAGGGTGTCACCTGCTATCTGGACTCCCTACTTTTTGCCATGTTTGCCCGTCTCGACTGCTTTGAAGCGATTTTGTACAAATCCTTCAATGACGAGCCCCGCAGAAAGCTGGCTATCCTGTTGAGATTCTGGGTGAATCTTCTTCGAGCTGGGAAGTTGATCACTACCGATATCGTAAGTCATTCCTTACATCCATGGCCTTTCGGCCTGCCTATCAAAGCTATGACCACGAGCTAATTCAAGTGTACAGACCCAGCATATTCAGGAGGCCTTGGCAGAGTGTGGTTGGGAGGACGCATCCAGACTGCAGCAGCAAGATGCCTCCGAGGCCTTTACCTTCATTACCGGAACGCTTGAGTTGCCTCTCCTTACCCTGAAGATGGATATTTACCATACAGGGAAGGAAGACGTCAGTGACGACCACAAGTTCGTCAATGAGCGACTTCTAGAGGTGGCTATCCCACCCGAGCCGGCCGATGGCTCTACCATCACTCTGGAAGATTGCCTGGAGGCCTACTTCAATAATCGCATTGAAGTAAAGCGATATCTTGAAAGACGCAACACTCTGAGCTCCCTGAGCTCCCGGCGATCTAGTGATTCGCTCTCGATATCCAAGGGATTCACTGCACACGTCGAAGAAGTCGAGACAACCCCAACACCGTCTCCAGCACAGTCTACCTCACCTGTACCCGAGAAGTCAAACCCGTGGCCATCAATCTCGGGAGCCGCCAACTCTGTGGGCTCACGAAAGCCCGGTCGGCGTGACAGCATTGTCCGCGAGAGGTTCATTCCGGACACAAGTGAGGTGCAGACGGGTGATGGAGATTCGGAGCAACCCCGGAGAGGCATCCTTAGGAAGGAAGTGATGATGCCTGCTTGGCAATTCTTCAGCCTCATTCGTAAATACTCCCTCTTTACCATTCATGGGATGATTCAGCTGACAATTCTTTTTCCATTTTAGCTTGGTTCACCGAAAACACCCCCACAAATGACGCTCAAGTGGCAGCGCATTTTTCATCCCAACGGCCCATTCTCGGCGTGTGTCTGAAGCGATACTCTTTCACTCCGAATGGAAAGGCCATCCGCCTCAATACCTACATTGACATCCCAGTTGAAATCGGTATCCCCAAGTTCATCCAAGATGACAATATGGATGTTTCTGGCGATTTCAAGCTTTCCTTGCAGGCCGTAGTCTGTCACCGTGGAACCTCGGTGGACTCGGGCCATTACATCTCCCTGGTTCGAGGCACCAGCCCCAATGCCGCCCCACCCAGCAGCTCTGGGGATGGTGCTAAGCCACAAGGCACCGAATCCCCTAAACACTGGATGCGATTTGACGACCTTGCTTCTGAGAGAATCACCCTCATCGATATCGAGACTGCCCTGAAGACTGAGTCTCCTTATCTCCTGTTCTATCAGATCCTTCCGATTGACCAGGATGCGTCCCTGGCCAATCTCTCGAACAAGCCGTCGTCACTCGCATCCGATACCACACTCGACGTGGAGATGGGTGATGTGTATCGAAAGCTGTCAAGCCTAGCGGCTGACACGGATGGTAGCACCACCGAAGATGTCACCTCAGCTAGGCCTAGCTTCGAGATCACTAGCCCGGACAACACCACTCAGCCGCTTGTAAACACTGAGCGACGGTCGAGTGTGGTATTCTCAGATCCTCCCTTCACTGGGCCTCCTCGTTCCATGCCGTCAATGTCACCACGCTTGATGCCTATGGAAGAGGAGGGTACCAGGGGGTCGTTTAGTTTCTCTCGGCGTGGTTCTCGAGCCACCAAGAGCAATTCTGGTAGTCGCGCGGGAAGCCAGTCCGGCGAAAACAGAATTAGCTCAACCTTCTCTCGCTTTGCTGGTCGTCTGAGCAGAGACAAGATCACAAGTGATGGCGAAGGTGAGGTGGACGAGTCCGCCTTTGAGACTGACGATGCCGCGGCCGACGACATCAACCTGGGACCCGCCAGGTTGGAGTCGAAGGATAAACCCGGCAAGGATCGAGGGTCAAAGGGCAAGGCGAAGGGGAAGTCCAAGGAGAAATCCAAGGACAAGAGTCGAAAGCCGGACCGGGAATGTGTTGTGATGTAGTCACACACACTCGTGGCCAGTGGTAGGGGACAGAGGGAGGAGGGAGGGAGGGGGGACTTGTTTTACAGTCTACGTTCGTGTAGGCTTGAGATACCCAGGTCCTACGGGACTTCATTTGTTTTTACTTTGTTCTTGCGTTTCTCCCGGTTTCGGGCTTCATGTTTTCATGACGAATGATACCCCCAACATGCATGAAGCGCAAATGTCAATTTTTTTCCTGATCTTTCCAACAACAACCAGCCCAACCCATACTCCTGTATATTCATAGCTTGCGAGAGGATCTAGGGCCTGGAGCCGAGCACCACCTCTGTGGTTGATACAATGGATCCTTCCTCTTCGATTTCCCCGTGAAGAATCGTATCAGTGGACTTGGTTCAAAGGGAAATGGAAGAAATCGGGTAATATCCTCGTAACCATTCTTCTTGCACTGCGGACACGGTCCATCGACACACTTCTTCCCGCCCTTTTTGATAAAGCGCCAGATATCGCCTGGCCCTGAAGCCCGAGGATTAAGGGCCTTTGGCTGGTATCCTCCGCATGGCTCTTGGTTAGGGCGTTGGAGGGCTTCGTGACATTTCTCGAGCTTTGTAAGGAACACATGGCCGCAGCTGACGCGGCCAGTGTACTGGTCGGCCTTGTATTTGCACATGTTCTGACTTTGACTTTGCTTTTTTATCGTTTAGGAGATGTAGATAGACTGAGGACTTTTAGCCAAAATAGCTTTCTATCTCCTGTTAATGTGGATGATGGATAGATATAGAAATAATACGTGAGAGTGAGAGGCTTTTTATATATGATACCTGAAAGAAAGACTTAGCTCTTTGACGATCGTTTATTTGTATCCTCACATAGCTACTGTCTTCGGGTCTGAGTACATAGTTTTCCTGAGCTCTTTCACGGAAGGATCAACTATAAAGGATCATACCCATGGCACTACAAAAAGTCTCTCGTAACACTACAAAGCTGAGCCTCGTTAGGACCGAACCTTAGGAGTGACACACAGAACATTCTATATCTATTTGGGCTCTTCTGTATATTGGTGATAGTTTAGGTTTTCAAACAAGAACTAGAAAAAAATGCCTAGCTAGATACCAATGAACCTCTTCTATTTCTAAAGGTCTTTTGGAATGTCTTTCTCCTTGTCTTTTTAGAGAACTTTAGAAATATATATCGATTTATCTTTGAAAGCATAACTAATAAGATAACAAGGCGACCGCGCTCGCGCGGTCTCCTCCCTTGCTGTACGTGGGGAAGTCGAGGGTTATACAGGAAGCGGAAGCTGGCCAGTTGGTCGCGCATCAGTCGAGCATTCATAATTACATCAGTCCATGGCAACGACATAGCATTTTTCTTTCCGAAAACTTTGTGTTTCCCGTTCTTGTGAGCAACCTAACGTTATGGTGCTCCCAACCCGGACGAACCCGTCTACTGAAGGTTGTCCCCTACCGCCGACATGCCTCCTATGTCAAATGCAGATCCCAAGTACCTCCGACTGTGCGATCGCGGGATATCGAGACGATCAGTTGCTTAAAGGTCGGCAGCCTTGGAAAAGTTACTGGAGGACCAGTCATAAACATATGATGGTGCCCTCGGTGAAAGTCGAAGAGGCAGACTTTGGTGATTTACCTCGACTATGGTCATGTTTTTGTCGAGCTAGTAAGTCATAAATTATATTCCGAAGTTCTATATGGACTAACTAGTATACTTAGTAATTAAGGAGTCGGAAACCAAGTATCGTATAACGGGTATTAATAGTATAACGGGTATTAATATCGCTCGATTCAGAAGACCTGAAGATCTATACAACTTTCCAAATGACCCGAATCTCGCGAGAATTGGCGGGAGAACAAATGCCCGATATGATCCTCAAATATTCACTAAATGCGTAGCGGCGGTGGCGGGAAGACAGCCAGATAAGCATAAAGGATAGCGACTTGGGTTTATTATCCACGCTCATTGCTGGGTGCTGTTTAGTCGAGCGATTAAGATATCACCGACTGAGATCAAGCTCGAAAAATTTGTCAAAGCTTGCCGAGATCACTGGCGCAAGTCAAAATTAGAGGTTCTAGTCGATTACAATAAGCGCTGGGTGAGCAGGCCGAACCAGGCTATGCCGCAGCTTGAGTTCGAGTGTGATATTTATCAGAATCCAGTGATCATTCCAGCTCTACGAAAGATCATTATCTACGCAACCGAATGTCCCATTACAGTAAACTCCCGTTTTCGGCACGGGCCTCCGTGCAACAGAATTCCGATGTGCCTAATGAAAGTGTGCCACTAATATCGCGCTAAACCTCATCTAGTAAGAACTAGTCTGTTTTTGGTCTAAAGTAGTCATCCACCCTTCTCTGCTTCCTCCCATTGATCTCGAATCGAGAAAAAAGATGAGCGATCCTCTCTATATCACGTAGATCTCTCTCAGTAATTCCCTCTTGGTGCTGGGCAAATTGAAGAGCTTTATGCATATATTCAATAGCTTCAACACGCGAGAGGATATCCAGCGGTGGTCCGAATATATATTCGTCCTGGTCGTCCTCGCTATCCTGAACCCCATTATCCCCACCTGTATTTTCTTCTGAAAAATGAACGATAATATCAGATAAATCAGGCTCTTCCACGTCGATGTTTTCTCCTGGAGGGTCTAGAAATTCATCTAATGCCATAACCTCTGTACCAGGAAGCCGGTCGGTCACCTCTGCGTATAAATCACCTAGTTGAAGGTCCTCAGACGGAGACGTATTCATCTCATTAGTGCTAGGACTAATAAGCGTGCTCTTGATAAAGCACTTCTGAATAGTCTCATCTAGGACGTCACGTCTCCAAGCCTGGGTGATCCAATGTAGTGTGTAATAGAGGCTCATTCTCTGCGTAGGATCGACGCCGCGGTCTATCATATTAACCATCCATGTCAACCATTTCTTCCGATAATGGTGCTTAAGGTTTCTGATGATACCCTAGTCTAATGGCTGGTAAACCGAGGTCGCGTTTGGTGGCAAAAAAACGACTTTAATATTAGACGGCGGTGGCGCATGTTTAAGCGCAGAGAGATGCGCGCTAAAGTTATCGAGCAATAGCACGACTCGTCTTTGTGTGCTAATATGCCTATAAAACGAGCGGAACCATTCTTGCATAACATTACCGCGTATCTATGCGTTCTTGTTCCATCGCCAGACACATCCAAGTGCTGGGATATTGAGTTTTCGTAGAGCACGAGGTATCTTCGCAGTGCCTATTAACTATAGAGGCATTCGATCTGAACCAGTAGCATTGGTCGTTACTGCGAGAGTAATCCTGGTCTTGTCTTTTTTATAACCAGGACTACCCTTACTCGATAGACCCCTATTTGGCATTCGACGCCAGAATAGACCTGTTTCATCCATATTATAGACATCGTTTGGCTGATATTGGTCGCAGATAGCCCGAATAGCTTCCATGTCGGAATACATCGAAGCCGGAACCGATGCAGATTCGCCATAGGAGGTATGATATCGGATCGAATGGCGCTGTTTGAACCGTGATAGCCACCCTTCAGAGAAAAGTGGCGGGTCGAGATCTTTATACTGGGGTATTTTCTTCCAATATTCGACGGCTTTGCTCTGAATCAATGGGCCTGTTATAGGAAAACCGGCATTCTCGTGACGCTGCTGCTAGATATATAGGGCCTCATCTAATAGAGGCCACCGAGATGCTAACGGGCGTTTGTTCTGACCAGCTAAACCAGTATCAAGGTACTCGTATTTGGATGAAAGAATCTTGGAGACGGTCGCACGGTTGATATGACGATTAAATTGAGATGAAAACCACTCAGCGCATTCTCTCTGAGTAGGTTTAGGGCGTGTCTCCGATGCATAGATACGTAATGCTTTTTTCTGAGCATCGGATATGCCTTTGTTGGGTTGTTTTGGTATAGCCAGTTTAGCTGAAAGAGCGACCGAAGAAGGGGTGGAAGGGTTGGAAGGGGAAAAATCCTGCATTCTGATTGGTCGGTTTATATGACTAAGCAAAAATTGAAGAGAATTTTGTGTGCCAGACAAAAAGGTGTGCCGGTTGGCCTCTTATATATGGGAAAACTCTAAGAAGTGGGTCCATCCAACAGATTTTGGTGCCTAATAAAAATGTGTGCCTAACCTGGGAGTGCCGAAAACGGGAGTTTACTGTACGACTATACCCCAGGTATATTTCAGTAAACTCCCTACAAAAGTTATCTTTCTCATCTCTGAGTGGATCTGCCCGATTAACTATACCTCGGACGATGTTCGAAATACGCGGAATATGCTCCTCGCGTTCGGATGGGATCTACTAGATTGGCTTTGGCTAAGGCTGCTATCAGAGAATTTCTTCTTTGAGCTGGATATTTTGAGAAAGTCTAGCTCTACGCCACCTCGAATGAATTTACAGATGCTGCGACTTGACGTGATGCGTCTCACCTTTGATCGAACTTGGTATCCTCACTGTGGACTGGCATATCGGCAACGTATACACAGGAGTATAGTTGCGATCAAGAGAGGTTTGGGAATGGCTTAATGGAAGTGTCTTGCAAAAAGAATTGCTTAGGAGGTGAAATCTATTTGCTTTTTATATCTGTACGGAGAGCATATCTTTGAATATTCGGGCCACCCACTAAGGTCATCTACCAAACGACCATAGGCAACTAGTGTTCTAAGATTAGAGTGTCGGGATCTAAATCATCTGATATTGGTCTAAAGACTGAGTGTCGACTATCTTCTTAATAGATGTCTTTGATAAATACTGAGTAAACTTGTCTATCTTGTCTTGAGGATTAACAACAGTAGTAACACTGATATATGCGGCCAAGCCTCATTCCTGCCTCAGGCAGCCATGGACTGGCCCTCCGCATTCCCAGGCAGCTCCACGTCCCTCCGTCGGTTGCTCTACAAGCTCCTGGAAGCTCCGCCAACTCTGCCCTGAAACCCGAGACGGTCGGCATGAGATAGCGACCAGTTTGCGCATCATGGCGCTGGACGGATCCAGCAGTTATGTGGCTCCGAACAACCTAACGGAGCCTTCGGACTCCCTACCCATCTTCGACGTCCAGCGGGTGCAGCTCCAGTTCCCGATCGCGGCGGATTTCGTAGCCGCCCAAGTCGCGAACAATGTGCTCATCTTAGCCTTGTCGACAGGTCGGATCCTACGGATTGACCTTGATACCCCGGAAGACATTGATGGTAGGGACACAGCTCAATCTATACCCTCCCCGCCGCGCCGTACGGAGCTGAGCTAACCATGTTCATGTGCAATAGACATCGACCTTCCAAAGAAATCCTCCGAGATTGGGTTGATTCGACGCATGTTCCTTGACCCTTCTGCGTCCCATCTAATTATCACCACCACGCTTGGCGAGAACTACTACCTCCACACTCAGTCGCGCCAACCCAAAGCTTTGTCCCGGTTAAAGGGCGTCTCTATTGAGAGTGTCGCTTGGAATCCGTCTCTACCAACTGCCTCAACGCGCGAAATCCTTCTGGGTACGACCGACGGAAACGTGTATGAGACCTACATTGAACCTTCCACGGAGTTCTATCGGCGCGAGGAGAAATACGTCACTGCGGTGTACAAGGTGCCGGACGCCTCGCCAGTCACTGGGATCTGTGCCGAATTAGTCCCGTCGAGGCCTGATCAGAGACGAGTTCTAGTGGCAACACACGGCAAATTGATACATGTTCTGGGCCGGACGGGGAGCGCCACTAAGCATGGCAGAGATGGCGGTGGTTCCATATATGCGGATCTCTTCCAGCGAGAGACGGCTCTGATTCATGATGCTTCCAACCCATCGGGCTCCGCACCATCTGCCTTGACGGTGTCCTCTTCGTCGACCACGGGAGGACATCAGGCCGAGGGTCTCACAGAGAAGGAATTTGCATGGTTGAGTGTTGAGGGTATTTACCATGGTCAGCTTTCATCCGAGACTCCCTTCGACCATGCGAGTATGCTTCCTCGCACGAAGTTCCCTGCATCCCAGTCTGCACGAGGAGGGAAGAAGTTGATTCAGGATCCGATTTCTGCAATGACTCTGACCCATTGGCATGTTCTGGCACTGGTCGAAGGCCGAGTGGTTGCCGTCAACCGCCTGAATGAGGAGGTTGTGTATGATCAGGCTGTTCTGGAGCCTCGTCAGAGCTCGTTGGGTCTATTGACTGACCTGACGCAAAACACCTACTGGCTTTTCACTAGCAAAGAAATCTTCGAGGTTGTCGCCAACGACGAGGATCGGGACGTATGGAAGGTCTTCCTCAAAGAAAAGAAATTTGACGAAGCACTTCAGTACGCTCACGGCCATGCGCAACGCGATGCTGTCCTGACGGCTTCGGGTGACTTTTTGGCAGAAAAGGGCAACTTCCTCGAGGCTGCCAAAGTCTGGGGTAAGAGCAGCAAAGGCTTCGAGGAAGTCTGCCTGACAATGGTGGATAACAAGGAGTATGATGCTCTCCGAAAGTACCTTCTTTCTCAGCTCTCAACCTATAAGAAAACATCCGTCATGCAACGGCTTATGGTTGCGAGTTGGCTTGTGGAACTTTTCATGTCAAAACTGAATTCCTTGGACGACAGCATCGCGACCAAGGCAGAACTGACCGAGGGTGCAACGGAGGGCCAGGTTCAGGACCAACTAGGTGACATGCGAGCCGAGTTTCAAGAGTTTGTTACCAGGCATAAGGCGGATCTAGACAAGAAGACGGTTTACGACATCATCAGCAGTCATGGTCGTGAACAAGAGTTACTCTTCTTTGCAACTGCTACCAACGATCACAACTATGTTCTGTCATATTGGATTCAACGAGAGAAATGGTCGGAGGCACTGAACGTACTCCAGCGCCAGAGCGAACCAGATGTGTTCTACAAGTACAGCAGCGTGCTCATGACTCATGCGGCTACTGGGTTGATCGAAATCCTGATGCGACAGACAAATCTTGATCCTGAGCGGCTTATTCCAGCACTGTTGAATTACAACAAGACCGCCAGCGTCTCCCTCAACCAGAACCAGGCTGTTCGCTACCTGAACTTCATCATCGTCAACCACCCCAAACCCTCGGCAGCTGTCCACAACACTCTCATCTCGATTCATGCCTCCAGCTCATCAACCTCCGAAGCAGGGCTTCTCACTTATCTTCAATCGCAGCCATCAACGCCTCCTCCATATGATGCAGACTTTGCCCTTCGACTCTGTATTCAGCACAAGAGAGTTCAGTCATGCATCCACATCTACAGCGCCATGGGCCAGTACCTGCAGGCAGTCGAACTCGCCCTGGAACACAACGACATCGAGCTCGCCGCTATTGTCGCAGACCGTCCCGAAGGTAATGATAAGCTTCGCAAGAAGCTGTGGCTCCTAGTTGCAGAGAAGAAGATTCGGCAGCCTGGCACCGGCATCAAAGACGCCATCGAGTTTCTCCGCCGTTGCGAGCTCCTCCACATTGAGGATCTCATTCCCTTCTTCCCGGACTTTGTTGTCATCGACGACTTCAAAGATGAAATTTGCACCGCTCTGGAAATTTACTCGCGCCATATTGATGACCTCCGTCAGGAGATGGATAACTCGGCACAAACAGCTCACCAGATTCGGTCGGAGATTGCCAGTCTGGACACACGCTATGCGATCGTGGAGCCGGGTGAGAAATGCTGGATCTGTTCGCTGCCTCTGTTGAGCCGCCAGTTCTTCGTCTTCCCTTGTCAACATGCCTTCCACAGCGACTGTCTGGGGAAGGAGGTGCTGGAAGGTGCGGGAGGCAAGAAGAAGTATATTCGGGATTTGCAGGCCCAGATGAGCAATGGCGATATCTCATCGGCTCGGAGAGAGGATATTGTCAAAGAATTGGATGGGCTGGTTGCTGAAGCTTGGTATGTGCTATTTATCGCAGTGAACCGGGGTTGATATCGGTTCCTTGTTGCTAATTGTTTCTTCTAGTATTCTATGCGGCGACCATGCCATCAAACAGATCGACAAGCCGTTTATTGCAGCCTCGGAAACGACAGATGAGTGGGCTCTTTGATCACAAGACATTATCTTGGGAGGTTTATGTCGAATTCTTTATGCTCCTTGGTGTGTTACTCGTGGCAGTCGCATATAGTGTTTTCCTGGGTCAAGTTCTCGGAGAGGGCGACTTTTCGTTGATATTTGCAATACCCTTTTCTTTTCTCGAGTATGCTCTTGTGCTCATAGCGGTCCATTTACGTACATATCAATCGTTCCAGAAGATCCGCGATCCATATTTCTTCCTCTTTTGATGAGATGTAGCTAAATAAGTACATCTGGAGCCGATACAGTAGGTCCGTGCAAGGCACCTAGGATCTGGAGGTGGAAAGATACATCACCATCGCAAGGATCATCAAACTCCCGCCATTGAGTTTGTTGTCGGAATAAGCAAGCCGGACTAAACAAGATTAAGAATAGCCCATAGAAGGCCAGATGTGCAATAAATCGTTAAAAGGTACCACTTAGAACAAGCTTGTGTTCAAGACTCCTCGGAAATCCACCACGTTCCCCCCGCATCCTAGCGACGGGATGTGCATTACCTAGTAGTAACTACCAGATAGATACCCATCAATGCCACAGTTCTTTTGAGTACAAACAACGATTCTCGATTTTACACCACATCCTGAATTGACCGAGGTCTCGAGTCTGGCGTATCGAAAATCCGTTTGCCTATTGCACCCCACATCCCTGACGTAGCAACATTGAAACAATACTCGACCCACGACCTACTACAACAGAACACATTGCAATTCATTATCCAAAGCTAAAGAAAAATAACTCAGCGTAGCTCCAATCACAACCGAAACAAGTAAACCCCCAGTTCTATGTAATCGGTAGACGATCCACAACAATAGCAAAATCGTAAATAGAAGCAATTGACGCCGGAAACCCCACATACTGCCTTCTCGTTGGCAGCCGCCCGTTTCAAAGTCGTCTCAACATGATCGTCCACGTATAAGTAACGTAATAGTCCACTATTATTGCTACAGTATTACACTTGTGGTCCACCGTTCCTGAATTAGGATTGAATCACTGAAAGTAATCCTCATACGACTGTACCCGCCATCGGGCTCTGCCATAATGAAACAAGATGTACAGTAATACAGGCCCAGAATGACGTTGACGGGGCAGGGGGGAGGGGAATGTGGTGGGCGAGATATGAAGCATGCGACTGTGTCCTAACCGGGTGGCAAATCGCCCTGCGGACGGTAACCGCCGGCCCCGAGAAGACAGCAGAACAGAATGGCTGGGGTAGCTTGACGGTAAATTATGTATGTGTTTTTGTATGTATGTAAAATGGTGTGGTGGTACATTCTATAAAAATATACGGGAGTAGCATGTACATACAGCAATTTGAGGGGTTATTCTGTTGGGATGGCGACGAGTCACAAGGTACTACTTGCTATGTAGCACGTACAGTGTCCTATGTACAGTACCCTCGACCATGTACTGAATATTCAAATTTTGTTGCTGTGTTGACTTGGCAACCGTTAAACATAAACACGACCTGTCAGACGGTTGGAAGCTGTCTATTAACGTGGGAGAATATGGATACCAGATCGTGTAAGGGTCTGAATTTGACGTGGATTGCAATGGCCGCTAAGGGCTAGAGGCCGACTTGGCTTGAATGACTTTACTTCTTGTGTATACATATAAAGTAGGACCGTACTACCACAACAATTACAAACCTTAGGCAACCAGGTATGGAATTTTGATGCTCCAATCGCTGGCATATCCGGATATCAGCCCAGCGGCTATTGCGCTCTTTTCTCAGTTTCTGGGGTGGCGTCTGTATTCGACCTGGTCTATAACTGCGTGTGATATACATATCATACAAAATAGATATTCTCAATCTAAACGGTGGTGCAGCATCAGCCCCCAAGACCAAAGCTCAGGGTAAGATCAAGGCAGACTCTGGGTTCCACTAGAGGAGCCAGTACTGTCGCATGATCTATCAACCCCATCAATGGCCGTTAGCGATGAAGTTCAGCCACCACGCCAACCTCAGGATTTCGAGGTCTATTCCCCGCTATTCAAATTATGCAGAAGCCGAGCTGAAATTTTCAATGGACTTATAGTGTAGATTGGAGGTTGTTTGAGGGAAATGAGGATATCCCTCTATCAGACCATCAACCGTGATATGAACTGGATAGTCATGAAGTTGAGATATTGTTGAATCTCGAGCACCGTGATATCACGTTGATACTAAGAGTAAACAAAGGAGTAAACAGAGGCAATAAACTAACCATGCATGAACCACGCACTGCAACACTAAACGGCAATCCCTCCGTCTTACTACTGTACCGTCCGACCTTCTTTGCCACATTGCAGTTCGAGTCAAACTCAACCGAGTCATGAACCCAGCCTTCCCCTGGCCTGAGACCCCCACGATCTCCCTTGCGTTGAATTTTGATTCCAATTCAGCCTGCAGTGTGGAGGGAGACTACGGAGAAAAAAAAGAGTGACCTACAGGAGATGGATGTTATGGCACACATCGTCTAATCTTTGTGCGACATACATACCAGCTACTGTACGAAGTACATGCCGACCTACATGATACATAGACCTTGAGTTCGGTACATGCTGCAATACAATATGCACAGCTACGAGACGCATCTTGCCTTCCTGCCTCCTGCCTCCTGCCTCCTGCATCTCCATCGTAGAACTCGAGCATCTCGCATTGCCCAACTCAATCAGACATGTCTTGGGGACACTCGCACCTCTCCCCAGTTGGTAAACATGCAACCAATAAACCTCTCGCCCAGCCAGCCATCTTGCCCACCAAATATCCAGCCCCCCGGCAAATAGCCTTACTACCGGGAAATTACTCGTCATGCTTTGTGACCTCTCTATCGCTGATCAACCCGATGCCAATGGAAGACCATGGAAACACATCTCCGTAATCACGGCTCAAGGCACGGGGCACGAGACCCTAGCAACGTTTTCCCCCCCAAAAATGAACGGGAAGGTTAGTCCCCCCGCCCCCTGGATGAGAAATCCGGTCATCTACGATCGACCAGATAATCAGACACGTATCTCGTTACACGATCCATAGCGAAGGAGAGGGGGGGGGGGGGGGGGGGGGGGGAATCATCACTCCCATAACCGTTGGGGAAGAACAACAACCAATAGTGTCGCCAGACAATTCCCCAAAAGCGAAGACCTGAAAAAGCCAATTGTCAATAGTAACCCCGCAAATCAATCACCAGACTGATCAATTTCCCGCAGGCCCACCACGGCATCACCCCTATAGGTCCAGTCCAATATTATTTGAGCTTTGTTGATTGTTGTCATGATTATTATCAACATTGTTTACCCCGTACTTCTCAAGGGGGAGGGGAGTGCCGGTCGAACCAAAAATCTGGGGAAACCCCGGTCAGCTGGTAAGACCCGATGATGGCGTATGTGGGAATTGTGGATATGTGGTTTAACTCGATTTGTGCAAGAAAATGCTAGACTAGACTCGATGGAGATGGGTTCCCCCCCTTCAACCAAACTCGAGTTGGATCTGATGCGGGGGTCCTAGCACAAGACCAGTGGAAAAGAAGGGGGACTAGTTTGTTAGTATCAGTAGTATTACTCTGGTCGTCGCTCGGCAAAAGAGAGGATAAAGACAGATAAGCTGGTGATCTCATACTTATCTCAAGCGACAGATAATGATGTTGTCGTTATAGTAGAACAGTGTCCTATCTGGACAATAATACGGAGTCCGTACCACATACAAACTCCAATCTCCCCTCCGACCTTATCCGTAGCCTGTATGGAGTGTAGACTCCAGGAGTAAATCCGGCGTGGGAATCGAACAAACTTCCCTTATCGGCAACCACCCGTGGCTCTACCACATACCGACCGAGCTGGCCCTCACCTCGCCCCCTTACCCATGATTCCATGATTCACGATGCGAAACTGATTTTTGGGATCGAAAGGGCATCCGGTCATGACTCTGCCATGACGATCGTGCGGGGTAATCCTGATAGGCCTGAAATTGGGTGATAAGGAAAACGCGTCCACGGTTGACGCGCCCGAGAGTTTCGACGGAGTTGGTAAGTTGATCCACGAATGGAGAATACGTAGATAGAGTTTTGGGGTTAATTAGACTTAGAGTGGTTGAGGGGGAGTTTTGGTTTATCGATTATCCGAACTCCCACGGGCAGTTAACTAACTGGACTGTGGTTATCTAACAGCCTATCAGCTCTGCTATCTCGGGCCTACCGGATCCGAAGGGCTTATCGTGAATTCGTGATAGTAAGTACATAGAGAGTGGCACTAGAGGTGCTCGCCAGTTGGTACGCTGTTTCCGTAGGGATTTCCCATACCGGAAGGTTTAGGCTGGACGGTACCAGGGAAGCTAGTACTGTACCTACAGTTCCCGAAGACTGCCGACCAGGATAGCCCCGGAGTCTACTTCCACGGGCCATGCGGGATAAACTCTGATGGGTCTGATAAGCTGATTATCAGGATGGATCCACGCTTGTTGTATCAGGTAGATATCAGGTAGATCAAATGCTGTGAACTATACCCTGAAGTCTCTGATAGACTACTGGACGAAGATGATGGCCCCAGTGAGCATCCATTAGTCGCATCCGTTAAACAATGTTCCCAATCTCCCGGGAATTGGGGGACGGGGCCAAATGCAAATGGAAGTAGACCCCATCTGGATACTGCGATAAATATTGCGACACGTTGCACATCGCATCTTATACGATCATCCTGAGCATCACGGGGGCGCTACGTTACCGACAAAAATAATATGCTCACGACTATCTTCGTATCATTGAAAGTGCCAATCAATCACCATCACCATCCACGATATGATATGATTGTACACCGTAGATAACGCCATCAGAGCACAACATCGCAGTTTGTACATGCGAAACACTCGCCGGTCGCGGGCGATACCAGTTCGCACCCAAGGTTCAGGGTTACGATTATCCGGGTATCCTACCATCTCCGGCATTGTGCAGGGGAATATCAGTGGTTATACATTATCTAAGCCCCGAATGACGAAACGTATGA